TAGCAGGGTGCAGTCACCCAGTTTCGGTGGAAGTGGCGAGTTCGATTGGGAATAAAGGAGGGAGGGAGTGTCTCAGCTTCCTTGGACCAAGACCATTCGACTCAGCAGCCCTGAAGACTACAACTGGTGAAAATTTGATTTTAGGGTATATTTCCCCTTTAACACAAATACAAAAATGTAATTCGATAGCCAGTCGATAAGGAGTTCCGGACAGTCGTTTCGCCCTAGAAAGAATGCATTCGAATAGCCCTTTCCAAAGTCAATTGCACACAAGCGGTCACATCTACCTACCTGGCAGAACCGTTAGTCACTCCGTCGTAGATCTACGACTCCTTTACCTCAACTTACTTCAAGGGATCATAACAGGACTGAACATAACACATGGGCGAGATGAGCGGGCGTCCCGTTGCGACACCGTCGAGTTGATGGGACCTACGGTCCGTGCCAGGTTGACGGCCGGTCGTCGCAGAGTTCATGCAGCCGCGGCTAGTGCTGCCGTTGACGCTTACTTATACATGTATTGAGAATCAGACAGACCTTTGAGTTCGTCCTCCAAGCATGCAGATCCGAGCGGGTCAAGAAGAGAGTCATCGACAGAACGCTTCAAGACGTCTACGTACCTCGCGATGCAACCTTGCTACACCTGTAGCGGGTTTTTTTATGCAGGGCCTCACACCGTCCATGTGCCCAACTCCCGGACTGCTGTAGTACTTGCGCACCATGAGCAGAGTCCAATACTGGCAATAGCCTCCCGTTGTGGTATTCACAATTCAGAACCGCGTTGGCGAGTTGACACCGTGTGGCGGCCGGCCGTCGCAGAGTCGACGTGCAGCACTGCCGCTTTGTCCTGCATCATCCGTCCTTTTGTGAGAGTCGGGTGCACTGGCTGAGAGCGCATGGAGGAGAAAAGGAGAGATGGGCGCACTGCCGGTTTCACTATACGATCAAAGCTGGTGTAGCAGAGAAGAGACAAATCAAACGACCAAACAGGCCGAGCAACGAACATATTCCAAACAGGAAAAGACCAGAACAGCACGTCGAAGGGGATTTGTTCTTGTCACATACCTCCGTCCAGTTCGTCACTTATTGCACGCATTGCGACCCGAGCAGGGCAGGAGGATGGTGGTCGCTTAGCCACAGAGGACAACACTACGTAGACCCTGGCAGTCCGTTGCCTTTATAATTATTATTACTTCCTTCTTCAAAACGCTGGCTATAGCTAGCTAGGAAAGCCTTCAGTGAGGCCTACGATTGTGACTGTCAAACTCGACGACTCTCGTCTTTTTGTAGACCAGCGCGAGAGGACTGAGGTTGGTTCATTTCGTCACCTTGGCCAAGTGTTTTTGTAGTTTGCGCCTTGGCCGAGTTCACACCCCAGTGTTTGCAGGTCTGGGGCTGCACAGCATCCGGCGTGGCCCAGGGCCAGTTCACATCCTGGTGCTCGCAAGTCTAGGGTGCACAGTTCTTAATTATTCATTTTCTGCTGCCCCGGTTATTTCTTTTATTATTATTACTTTCTTGGCCTTCGCTTTCTTGTTATTGCCATATTGGGCAACTTGCCCGTTAGAATCTGCGAAGTAAAATAAACAACAACAACAACAACAACAGCAACAACAACAACAACAACAACAACAACAACAACAACAACAACAACAACAACAACAACAACAACAACAACAACAACAACAACAACAACAACAACAACAACAACAACAACAACAACAACAACAACAACAACAACAACAACAACAACAACAACAACAGCAACAGCAACAGCAACAGCAACAGCAACAGCAACAACAACAACAACAGCAACAGCAACAGCAACAGCAACAGCAACAGCAACAGCAACAGCAACAGCAGCAGCAGCAGCAGCAGCAGCAGCAGCAGCAACAGCAACAGCAACAGCAACAGCAACAGCAACAGCAACAGCAACAGCAACAGCAACAGCAACAACAACAACAACAACAACAACAACAACAACGACAACAACAACAACAACAACAACAGTAGGGGTAAGCGGACTATGCTAGGAAAATGACCAGATTATGCTCTAGCGGATGCTCGCAGGATGCTCGAGAAAAAAGCCAATTATGCTTTTACATGCTTCCCCAAAAAGACCAAAAGAACAGATAATCGTCATGAAAAAATGACTCAGACCATTGACATGACATGATGTGGACTGGGGGGGGGGGGGGGAGCTTTGTGGAAGTACAAGACAATAATAATTCTGCAAGAGGAATACCAAATTCGCAAGCAAACGCTGAACTTTTGGGAGATGTCCTATAGTGGCTGCTAAAATATTATTCCAAATCGACAAGAAGCTCTATGTATGGTCCTTCAATAGCAGGTGTGTATAATAGGGTCCAGAAGATAATGCTCCGAAAATGTTCGTATAATGCTAATCATAATGCTCCAAAAAGTGCAGTCCTTATAATGCTGATTATAATGCTTCAGCAAGGGCTATAGTGCTCTTGGTTTGGAACAAAAATGGATGAAAGGCTGCACATTGTCAAACTTCCAGGAAAGGATGCATAATTATAGTCGATCTGTCTCTGAAGCTGCTGTAAATAGTATCTCTCACGAGCTCCACCAATTCTTAGCACTATGACATAATCGTGTCTCCATTGGCTGCTCTCCACTGCAACTATGTTACTTTGATGCAGTGCTGTGGCTGAATAGTGGGTGTGTCAAATATTTTCCCTTACTTATCCATGTAGTGAGAGGTGAAACCATTATTGCAGGTGATCATTGGGATGAAGTTTATCTTGCCATTGGCAAAATTTAATAGTATTCCTGCCTGCAGACAAGCTGTCACATCTTCCACTCTGTGAATAATGTCTTCATCTGAAACAGCTCACGTGAGGCCAGATCCTGAGAGACGATCTCAGATCGAGATCCCTCCCATTTGCGGAAATCCTGAAAACAGGTGGTCAGACGTTATTTTGCCGCTCTACATCCCCTGCTTGCGCTGTTCTCTTCTCCTGAGGTTGCGTGGAGACAAATGGTTGGCCACAATACTCCTATTTTCTGATACTAGTAGCACTTGACTGTAGGCCTTGCATTACAACCGTCTGCCACAAACTACTTTACGTGCTTCGCCAGGAAAGTAAGACACGCGCTGCTGAGCACTCAAATCGACTTGGTTGTTGTTGTTGTTGTTGTTGTTGTTGTTGTTGTTGTTGTTGTTGTTTGGCTTTATTTAAGGTGGAGTTCCAAAACAGGCCTAAACCTAATGACAATGGTGCCACTGATAATAAGAGAAAAGAAAATATATAATAATAAGCGGGCAAACAGAACCAAGAAGAAGATACAGCTGTAGTTAGATAACTAATATGAGCACGGCAGCAGGGGAAAAAAAGTCACAAGCACGGCAACCGGGAAGAAAGGAGTGAGTGAGTGAGAGAGAGAGAGAGAGAGAGAGAGAGAGAGAGAGAGAGAGAGAGAGAGAGAGAGAGAGAGAGAGAGAGAGAGAGAGAGAGAGAGAGAGAGAGAGAGAGAGAGAGAGAGAGAGAGAGAGAGAGAGAGAGAGAGAGAGAGAGAGAGAGAGAGAGAGAGAGAGAGAGAGAGAGAGAGAGAGAGAGAGAGGGAGAGGGAGAGGGAGAGGGAGAGGGAGAGGGAGAGGGAGAGGGAGAGGGAGAGGGAGAGGGAGAGGGAGAGGGAGAGGGAGAGGGAGAGGGAGAGGGAGAGGGAGAGGGAGAGGGAGAGGGAGAGGGAGAGGGAGAGGGAGAGGGAGAGGGAGAGGGAGAGGGAGAGGGAGAGGGAGAGAGAGAGAGAGAGAGAGAGAGAGAGAGAGAGAGAGAGAGAGAGAAAGAGAGAGAGAAGGCGCAACTAGCACATCACGGAGAAGAAGCAGCAGAAGGTAGCGCGCCATTGCATTGTGCTCTGTGAAGTGAGGGCGCGTGCCAATGCCATGGCGTTACGCAGAGTGTAGCCCCCAAAAAAGATGTGAGTTATGTCACGTCTACTGCAGAGGGGGGATACTGCAGAGGGGGGATACTGCAGAGGGGGGAGAGAAGTTACTAGCCAAGTTGACTGTACTGCTACCTCCGAACGGATGTGCCAAAATATGCTCCAAATTTTCAACCACCATAATTATATGCCAATAATTATGCGGTATATTCCGCCGGAGCCTAATGTGCTTGAAACTGTCCATCTGAGCCATGGCCAGTATGGGACCAGGCCGAACCCGCTACAATTGTGGAAGGCGCCGACAAGTAAGTTAGTTTTCACTCCGTGGATCCTCGGATCCGCGACATACAGCACTCGAATGGCAGGGTCACGGTTCAACCCACCTGTGCCCTCAGCCTGCACTCACCATGAGACTCCATAAAGCCGGCGGGCGAGGCTGCGAGCACAGATTCGACGCTGACAGTGTATTGCCGCACTGACATTAGAATGTGATAGTGTATTGAAGAGAAGGACCAGCGGTCAAACGGACGGACGGAGTAAAGAAGGCGAAATGGAGCAGAAAAGCAAGTCTAGCGCTGGACAGACACAGGACGGTCTTGCGTGACATTGTGACATTGCTGCCACAGCAACCAAAATGGGTCTTTGATGATGATAATGGTGATGACACTGCAGCGCCATTAGAATTTTGACAGTGTATTGCGGTGACATTACTCATTAGAATTCAACAGTGTATTACTGCACGGACATAAGGATAAAAATCATTTTGACAGCGAATTATACTGCAGTATAGTGTAGTGTGCTACAGTAGTGGCGTGAATATTGTGGTGTATCTATTTCAGCATTCCCTAATCGCTGTTCGCCTAGGGCTGAGGTGAGAAACTGTGCCATTACATGGTTGCCAATGTACATGCAATGACTATGTGGGTACAATCACCTACATGTACAGTACTGCACGCGCGCCGTACGTAACCGTTATTGACATTTGGCACATGCGGAATGGCAAAAAGCGAAGTCTCCGAACGTATCGGTGATATGTACAGCAGAGTGCGGTCTACTGACAGAGCTGCGGGGCTCAGTGAAAAGTATATAAATGGCTTGATTGCCTGAAGAGTTCCTCGGTTTCCCTCCCTCGTTCCACCATCGTCAATTGACCAATATTCCCCGTTTGGCTCTGCAATGAAGCACCACACTTCGTCGTCTCTGGCAGTCTACCTGCAGCTGGCTTTAAGTGTCTCCCTTGCGTTATCACACGGACTAAACTCTTCTGAAGATGGCTGCCTTTCGTCGGCGTTTCAAGCAGTTGGAATTGATCCGCAAAGAGCTTCCCGGACTGAGCAAGCCTTCTCGTATCTCGGAATTCAAGTGCAAGGTATCTCGCAGTCGCTGCTGACAGCAGCAGCAGGTACGTTGTCGGTGATGGAACGGAATGCCATTCACACGTGTCTGAATCCCGGCAGCCAAGCAAGCCAATGCAATGGCCATGAAATCTGCAGTGGCAATGGACAGTGTGTGTTGCAGAGTGGCAGGTACGCATGTCAGTGTAGCTCACCTGCCTACACTGGACACCACTGTCAGACAGAGGTCGGCTACTGTGCGTCCAACCCATGCCTGAACGGAGCAACGTGTGTTAACGGCACCACCAAGGCTGTCTGCCGGTGCAACGTCGGGTATTCTGGAGACACGTGCGAGGAACAGTGGCTATCTAAACGGAACTTCTATGCACCGTGGGAGACTTACAAAAGGGAGATGAATGCCAAGATAGATTCACTGACACAACTCGTTCAGCAGGCTATTGGTACTGGATGTCAGCCGAGTACGCCCAGGCGTGAGAGGCGGTACAAGCTCTTCCGGACGATGATGACATGGGATGCCGCCAAGGCGCTTTGCGAAACGGATGGGGGAAGCTTGGCACAGGTACGAAATCAGACGGAACTGGCGGCAGTGATGGATGCGGCGGACTTGAGTGCTGGAGGATACTGTTGGATCGGTGGAGAGGACAAGAACGGAGATGGCGTATGGCATTGGACAAACGGCGACCGCATTACCTTCGAAAACTGGAACGGGAGCGAGCCCAACGGCATTGGACCTGACCACTGCATGATGCTCATTCTTCATGGCCGGGGCCAAACTGGAAAGTTCAATGATGGACGCTGCAATAGTGCTCATAATCATAGTAGGGTTGTTTGTCAGTATGATTAGCACACTGATAGCATACAGGAGAGCAGGCTCCGGCTGATTATGCTCGCGAAATCATGGAATTATGCTTTCATGGATGCTCGCATTACGCTCGCGAAATCCTCATAATGCATTGTCATACGGCCCGGGATACTTATTCACTTCCTTGTACTTATGGAGCCTCAAGGTTCGGAAAATTGTGCGTTTCTCGTACATGTACTTGCAAGTGGCCATAACTTGGCATAAGTATAACAAAATGCATGAGTATCCCCACACCAAGGTGTCCAAGCATGCTAGAGATCAACATAAGAAAGAGAAATCATTACTTCTTCTATTCTATTCTATTCCTCTATTCTATTCTTATATTCATTACATGTACTCAATAACGGAACTGCAACCCCAACACTGGCAACGAAACGCCTGCAGAATGTTGAACGGTTTGCCTTGTTCGTCCTGTCAATGTGTCATGCAAGTAATGTCTTTTTCCGAACGTTCGAACCTTTTTGCAAATCGTCTACAGAATTCCCAAACTCCAAACGTCTGTTTTTTTGTTTGTTTGTTTGTTTTTTGCTATGTTCATATACCCAACTCGTAAAATAATAATGAAAGACAATGGTACTGAGACAAGGACAAACGTGACAACTACTGAGTAGGGGCTGCAGCGAGACGCAGCAGTGATGGTGGGGCATTGATGGCTCTGCCGACGTGAGGTCTCGGCATCACGGCCAGAAACACGCACCAAAAACAAAAGATAGAGCAGCTGTAAGGGTCAGGAAAGTAAAAAAGAAAAGAGCAAGGGATAACATCAGCTAGTGACAGAAGTGTGCAGCGCATTCGTAGCAATGGGAGTCGTTGACCGGGCACTAGAATGTAAGTGGGTCGACAGGCAGAATGTCCGTGGACCATCGCCAAACCTGTCGACGGAGGTATTCGTTGACGTTGCATTTAAACTTTTGAAGATTTTTGCGAGTTGGGGCGGAGCCTAGAAAAGCAGGCGGCAGGGAATTCCACAGCTGGATTGCACAATACGAGAAACTGCGGAGAATGGTGTCTGGTGCTTGACGCGGTAGGGGATTTCTTAGCTGGTAACTGTGGTCGGTGGCCGTGCGGAGATCGTTTCGAGTGCCAGTGGCGTCAAGGGGCTCAAGCCGTGGATGACGCTGGTGCCGGGTTGCCTCCAAAGAGGAGAGAGGGCAAGGCTAGCTGCGCCCCTTGCAGCGTGTCATGACTGTCATAGGCCTGGGTTTTTTTTATTTTTTTTATTTTATGGATTTCCCAAAGGCCGAGGCCTAAGTCGAGGGGGTTTCGACGGCTCAAACGCTACACGCCATTCCTTGCCCCAGTCTGACAGACGATTGACGGTGTCCTGAAGCAAGGCAGCAGCAGTGAGGAAGTCGTTCCGGAGAGGAGTGTGTGCATGTGAAAATGGTTTACCCATGTCGACTACATGGTTCTCGGCTGTAGTTTATACTTTATAAGTAGACTGGTACTCTCCTGAATACTCGTGTTATGTCGCTTTGCCACTGAGTCTGTACCATCAGCTGTTTGATTGCTGTACCGGTATTCATCCGTTTCCAGTTTTATTTGTTGAAGTAAACAGTAACTGTTGACATTTCGTGTTTTTTTAGGACTGTCTGGTCATGCACGTGTACATGCAAAATGTACATGTACATGACCTCGTATATTCCTTTGCCTATTCTGCAGTTGCACGCGTGTGTTCACCTCATTGGCCTCGTTCGTTCCTCATTTCTTTTGTTCATTTGGTTTATGCGAAGACTAGCCAAGCTTGCTCGGGAATGGTGATGTATGCAGAGGTTTGCGGACTACCCGGCGATATCTCTTCTGCCCCGAGATACCTGATAAAGACTGATTCACCCGCATCTTCTGCTGCATGTACTGTATCAGCGTGAGAAAGAACTTTTAAAGAAGACGAGTTCGAGCACACCACAATGTATTGTCACAGAAGAACCTTGACTACCTCAACAATGTATTGTCATGATTTCTCCCCTGCTTTTCACTGAAAAGTGAAAACACTGTCTGTACATGTATTACCTCCGAAGCCTTTACCATGCTGGCATACAGACCACCCGCACTGATCAGGTGCATCAGTTGTGCACAATTGTGTAGCCTACATACTAGAACTGAAGTTCAATTACGTATACTCCAGTGTATGCCTGTTTTGATTTCGACTATAAATAAAGAGTATACAACAAGTATACAATGTCCTATCTATAGTGCCGCATACATACTGTCCGCATAGATCCGATCCAACACAGCAATGTTTTGGTTCCTGTCCTGATGAATCACAGTGTAAGAGTGTTCTTACTATAAATACCGGTATTACGAAATATTTAATAGTGTGTGGAGCAGACAACTACTTCGTTATTACTAATGTTCTGATGAAAATAACAAACAACGTACCCTTAACAAGGTCCACGGTGTAATTGTATTGATTTACTAGTATTCCACTCAGAGCAACCTACAGGTGATTGATGTACATTTGTACATGACATTGTAATGTCAGTATATGTACTCAAGTCAGTACAATAAGACTAGTGATAACATAATAAATTAATAACGTACGTGTATGCATGCTTGTACATACATACGTACATACATGTACATGACATTGTACAATTCAGTAAGTGATAGCATCATAACGTATATTTTGAAGTGCATTGTATACATGCATATACCGGCACATGTAAAAAGAACTTTAGACGTTGATGTTCCATTGTTTTTATAGTCAGCCGGGCAGAAAAACTCTTCATGCCACTCTTCCCGGAGGGTCACTTCCACTCACGTAGCTCTTACATGCAATAATAGTAGTATGATTCTGTTGCAGGTACACAACCTTTCATCTCGGTTTCTTTTTGGTATATTACAAACAAGTGTCAGTTACATTTGGAGAATCCGCATCAATTATAATCCAGTCATCTGTCTGCAGAGGGGAGGGAGGGAGGGAGGGAGGGAGGGAGAGAAAGAGAGAGAGAGAGAGGGAGACTTTTCCATCCACCTTCACAGGTGCAGGCTGCTATATACATCTTGAAGGGCTGTCAGTGCATATTCGTGAAGCGGATAGACGAGTATTAGATGCACTTCAAAGTGTTAGTGGAGAGACGCCGCTCACTGGGCCGCCATTTGCTATTGGCAGGGCATAGGCGTGTTCATAATCATAGGCTGCTTTATGCGGTTGCGCATATCCTGCTGCTGCATGTCCGTTTGGAATGAACGAAACCGGTTGGTGTGGACCTGTGAAAAACAGAGTTCACAGAAGGTTTGTGTTTTACTCTTCATAATTCTGTATTTACATTCGAAGTATAATACTATATCAGTAAAGAAACCATGAAAATCCAGAATACATTTCTATGCTAGTAGGTGCTTGTAAAGTGAGACGGATTTTTCGGGGAAATCCAAACCCGCTCCGAAACACTTCCTATTTGTTTACCACGACTCTTTTCCGCATAGATGTCTGGACTCAACTGATGGAAAAGAATGCTTCACTTACCCTTAGCAGGGGGAAAACAGAAGACGTTCGGGCTTGTGCCACAGAGACTGAATCCGACGACGGAACCCAGACATTGGAAAGGTGGCGGAAAACTGCCCATATTCCCTTGTTCTGGATTCTGTGGCAGCGGTGGAACCTGTAGTTGGCCTTGTGCTGTTTGTGACGAGCCACCTGCAACACAGAAACAGAAGAGCAGGATTTGGGCAGGCGCCTGTCTTGGTAACTGTGTACAGTCATGTACATGTTTTAAAATGCAGTTAGCAAACTTACAAGGAGTGACTGTGACTGTGAAGTCATGTGACATGTGACATGTGACATGCACAAGGAGTGACTGTGAAGTCCTGTGACATGTGACATGCACGATTCGCTCCAAAATAAGTTTTCAACATTACTTGAGCTCTTAAATTTTGCATTATTCAGTGACATGGGGAACAGAGCATTCCTGACGGATCTGTGAAATACCAACTACGCCATGCAGCTCATGTACCGCATGTTGAAAGCAAAGCAAATGCAGATAACTCGACTAGATGTACATGATATGTAGAACCTCGCTCACTGCGAAGCCCAGTGCAGCCTAGTTGACAATTCACACAGTGACAGATAGAACTTTATTATAAGTGTCGGGGGCTGTTCTGAACAGAAAGGGGTTCTCAAGAATCATCATACATACTGTAAAGCGACAAACTTTCGCGGCGCGCAAATTTAGCGTTTTTATAGATTGGGCTGATTCACGATGAGAAACTTTTGTGATTCTATCTCTTCAGTCGGATATTGTACTGTCTACAATCAATGTACGGAGAGGTTCGCGGCGAATTATATCCGCCAATGTGTGGTGGTCGCGAAAATAGCGAAATTTAATCTCTAGCGAAAGTTTCTCAATTTACAGTAAATAAAGCCACCGCTGTCATGTACAACACTGACCATGCGGCAGTAGGCAGTATAGTATGCTAGTAGGTCTCACAGCACTGAATTGAGTGGTCTGGGTCAGAGGAGGCTAGGCTGCCATGCACAACCGTGTGACGTGCACCGTTTGTCAGGACCAACCGTGAGTCCCGTGCACTCAGATATCCCAGGATTCCAGATAACAACCTAACAGATAGAAGTGAGCGATCGAGATGCACCTTAAAGGCGGTTTCAGTTTTTTAAAAATGATCTCGAGTTTGGAACCTGGATCTTGATTAGGGAACCACCTGTGTCCAGTATTCCAGTTTCTGTCGATATTTCTGACTCATTGCCAAGAGGACTAGTATAGCACATGTTCTGGGATTTTCATTCATTTTTGTTTCACTTAACTTAAAACTCAAAAGTAGCGACAACTATGATGAAGAAAGGAAAAGGACAAAATGTTACGAGTTATGACACACTGTCCACCAGCGTAACCAGTTCAACGTAGCGACAACTGTTAAGATTATTCACTGAACTTCTCAGGTATATTCCGACGGCATCTTTCAGAATGCTCACAGTGCTCGCAGCAGCTTTTCCCAGTCTCGTCAAACCAAGACCACTCGATTCAGCACCCAGAATACTTCAGATTCTGAAATTTCGATGCTACTAGCTCGTACCCAGAAAAACAACTTAGCAAGAATATAATTATAACTTACCGCTCATGCTATTCTTCTGGATTGTTCTGATTGTTCTATTGATAGAGCTTATTGATGGGCATTTGCCTGCTTCACATACTTTGTTACGAATAAGCTCGACGCGAATTCGCTCGGCGGTCCACGTTGATGTTGTCGTGTGTCCTTTCACTTGTTCTACATACTTCACCACTTCTGGCTTCATCACCTTTGGCGAACTTCCTCCTATTTTTCCCGGAGCCATTGTTCCTTCGCTTTTGTATCTAAAAGTAGCAAAACACAAGAATTCAAAGAGAATGTGTTCAAGGATTGTTGGACAGACGGATGGTCGGACAGACGGATAGTCGGACAGACGGATGGTCTGACAGACCGATGGTCGGACAGACCGATGGTCGGACAGACCGATGGTCGGACAGACCGATGGTCGGACAGACCGATGGTCGGACAGACCGATGGTCGGACAGACCGATGGTCGGACAGACCGATGGTCGGACAGACCGGTGGTCGGACAGACGGTGCGGACGGATGCATGTATGCGGATGGTTGGGTGATTGAATGGATGGGTGGCTGTATGCATGGATGCATGCATTCATGGATGAATGCATGGAGGACTGGATGGAGGGAAGGGTGCATCATTGCATGTTGTTGTTGTTGTTGTTGTTGTTGTTGTTGTTGTTGTTGTTGTTGTTGTTGTTGTTGTTGTTGTTGTTGTTGTTGTTGTTGTTGTTGTTGTTGTTGTTGTTGTTGTTGTTGTTGTTGTTCAAATGTATTTAAAGTCGTAGCACAAACCGGCCGTGATGCCTTCTTTGAAACATGTGACCGACTTTGCACAATAATGCAAAATGGAAAAGGGAGTAAGGAACAAGACTAGAAAAATCTTAAGATCTCCATGTAACTAAATCGCTTAATGTACTGTTCACTGTAGTACTGGTATTCCATAGCCCTCGTGATCACACCCCCGGGATAGTTTCATTTACTTGAACAACTATTTTATAGCTTCGATCCTTCACTCACCAATCTGATAGATTTCTACGTTATGGTCTTTTTGCATTTTACCCTTTTTCGTGCGCAGTTCTCATCTGTAATAACACTTTCGATCATGGAGACCCTCTCGACAGGCGAGATGCTAGCTTTGGGGAATCCCTTTTAAAACTATCAAACTTACTCACATGCTACGGAGGCATCGCTTAGAGAATGCAGAAACAAACTTTTCCCAAAGCCTCAAGGAGATACATGTATAAGCGTCCCCACGAGACTGGATCTGCAGAGGACTTACTAGTAATCGTTGTACCCAACAAGTAAGGCTCGGTTGGAAAATACCCATCCAGCACTCTGCAAGACTTAGAGTTGAAGGTGAACCAGGATTAAACGGAGTGGATGTCGACATATGAAATGCTTAAAGTACAATTATTAGTCTTCCTTGTAGCTATATCAAACTCAGTGTAACTATTATTAGTATTGGCTAGTAACTTAGTAAGGGCCCGTATGTGGACATGAGCCTTCACGCTGAGGTTCAACGCTTGTTGGATGAGCATATCCGTTAGCAGTTCCCCCCGCATGTTATGCTAGCCTCCCAAGAAAACAACCATACTTCGCCGTGGTGGACCTCCCAAGCGGAGATGTATTATCATCCTCCGCTACCAAGGTTGTATCCTCTAAGCGTACTCGCTTGCTCTCTGTCTCTCTCTGTCTCTCTCTTATCTCTCTCTCTCTCTCTCTCTCTCTCTCTCTCTCTCTCTCTCACACACACACACACACACACACACACACACACACACACACACACGCACGCACACACGTCTGGGTTTGTACGACTCCCTGATTTGCACCATCATATTTATTGAAGACCCGTGTCTATTATATGGCCACAAGCGGAGGGATGCCGGGCTATATAGACGTGGTCACAGCACAGAATGTACTCCATCATTATTCTAAGTTTCTAACCCATGTCATGTGACACACTGAAACTGAAAGGAATCGTCTGCAATGCACCATGACAACTATGGCCAGTGTGGATTGTGTAAACGGTATCTGCACATACTGACATAGTACAATGATACATGCACATGCTGTTAACCAGCAACATACACATACATGCACATGTACCTCTAAAACGTTCCCAGCAGATACCGATTGGTGCCAGTGTTGAAGACAAGTACTACTCTTAGTCTTAGACTTACTTTTGAGAGCTGATCCTATGCAGACAATCCACATCACCGTCTTCCCTTAGTGGTCCAATGAACCGGAACAGTGCAGACGGGCAGGGAGTACGGTGTGGAGCCAACTAACGTTACTTTGGCCACAAAGCACGAGTGCAATGGTTCGGATGGATGCTTAGCACACACGCCCAGGCGCCTAGCCAACGAAAATAGGGTCAACCAGGAACCGGGAGCACTTCTTATTTTTACCCTGAAGAGCTACAGTAGAATAATGTGGTTTGCTGACGTGTTCTGCCGGACTGAGGCGGTACAAAGTAGTCAGGGGCAGATCCAGGAGGGGTTCCAGGGGTTCCGTGGAACCCCCTAAATTTCGTAAATGTACTACTGGTAACCATACGTGTGTCCATGTACATGTATCAGCTATTCAGTTTTGACTATACTGGAACCCCCTGTAGAGATCGCTGGATCCGCCCCTGGTAGTCCTGTTTTTATTTCTGCTCAGAAACAAATTCTACGCTACGTGTATATGCAGTGTAAACGTACATGTAGATAGACTGTTACTAGTGTTAGCATTATGAGCAAAGCTTTCGAAGCATGCATGCGCTTGCTCTGCTGTAGGCCCATGAAAGGCAACATTGCCTGTTGGGAAATCCCTAACAAAATAAGAAAAAAAAAATAATAATAATAATAATAAACACGATACTAGTACTAGTAGTAGTACAGCTTGGGGTGACTGTAACTGTGCTTCTTGCCAACCTTGGCATGCCTTGCTCAAATATCACCATGGTAATAATGGAGGAGGAGGAGGTAGAGGTGGTCGTTTTACTATGATCACAGCTCACAGGCTAAGACAAAAATTGCATAATGGGAGCACAGTGATGGTGAGGCCTGTTGAACTCAGCCCCCAGGTCTCAGCGTCATGGGGACATCAAACGCACCAAAAAAAGAGAAGAAAAAAAATAAAAGTGACAGGTATATGATCTGAAAATGTTGAGAGGAGAGACAGTAAATAAGAAGAAGGGAGAAAATAGGACAGACAGTGTTAGGAGGAGAAGGAGAGAAGAGAAAACGGACATTAGTAGGAGTACGTGGAGCGGAATTTGAAAGTCGTTGGGCGAGGCAGTTGTGTTGCTGATGCTCAGGGATGGTCATGTGCCCACGACCATTCGTTGGCCTTCAAATAGCAGTTGACTGCAACCTTGAAATGTGGCAAAAAAACTTAGTTCTTGGTGGAGGCGTATTCTTGTTATTTTGCATACAGTTGTTTTACACATTACACGCAGGCAACTACATGTCAGTTGTCAGATGATAGCCTACGCCAAGGGCATGAAACTAGTACAGTGGTGCTCTGTACCTTGTGTGTATGTGTACGTGCATGAAGTCAGCGATTATTTTATACAAGATAACTAGCTACAGTTTGCATACAGCAGCTATGTGAGCTACTGTATGACTCATACAGCCCATGCTGGCAATTGCTACATAGTCATTGTATTTGCTACATGTATACAAGGGCCATACCTACTATCATGTAGCACAGGGCTGATAGTAGTAGTCATGTATTATGTAGTTTGGGGCTCAGCTAGAACAGGACAGACAGCACTGTACATCAATACAACACACTGATGATGCAACTACCTTTTCTTACATATACATTGGATCACAACAGAATACATGTATACAGTATAGACCAAAATTCTGCAGGCATTAGTGTGCATGACTTTTGCATAATTTGAACACTTCTTGTGGATGGAGAAACAAAGAAGTGAAAGAACACAGAAGAGCCTCCCTTGCCCCACCAACAAGGCAACACAAACAATACACCAGCAACACCAGAAGCTGTAGCTCAGCTGTCAGCACAGTGCTGTGACAGCTAAGCGCTATTGCACAGCTAAGCCTTCCACGCATGCCTTGGAGTCGTGCCACGGACTCTTTTGCATTTTGCGTTGGCTTGTTGGCGCTGTACTCCATGGATCTCCATGTAATTAATGGCATTCTTACTGCTCCTACTCCGTGCATGCCAGTCATCACATGCGGCTTTACACCAACTTTGCGGGCACTAGTTGGACACAGACTGTGACAGAGAGTTGGTCTTCAGTCTGCGAAGCCTCCGGCTCGCATGTCCAACGGTCCATGTCGCAAAACTTTTGTTTGTAACTGTTCTAGTCAGTTGCTTCAGTGCGCCCTGAATCGATATCTCATTATCCGTGCTTCACTAACAATACATGTACTTACCGTCACTCGGTCAAGTCTCAATTACAACGAAGCAAACAAGAAGAAGAAGTCTGCGGAGAGCAACAAGCACTTCCTCTCCAATCGCACAAGTCGCTACCTCTGATTCGTAAGAATGCGTTCAGCCAGTTTTTCTAAAAAAAATATCTTGCACACAAGCCATCATATGCACCTACCTTTTAATAAGTTTGGAAACACATCCGTGCGAAATTCGCAATTGCCTGCTTATCATGCAGGGCTTGACGCCGTGCCTGTGCATCTCGATTACCCGGGCGCGGCGAGCAGAATCCAAAGGCTTCCCGTTGCGGTAGTACCCCCGAGCTGGTTGACACCTTCTCTCGGCTTGACGGCCTGAGCAGCCAATGAGATTTGGCTGTTTTCGGTAGCTGTCACGACGCTAGCTGTAGCGAATTAGTAATAGGACGAAGCAAAGCAACGACAACATCACAGTAAACAGAACAAGATCAGAAAGAAGGATAAGAGCAGGTTGAGGTTGACGCGGTCTTGTTCTTGTCACATACATGTACATGTACCTTGGGTGATGTCCATTGCGTGCACTGATGCAGGAAGCAGCTTTGCGGTCCGCACTGGTCAAGAGGAATGCTCCTGGAGTTCTGGCCTGGCGTAGCCAGTCTAACAGTTCCCAGGACAGTCTGTCGCTTTCAGGCTTTTCTTCCTTCTTGGCGCTCAACGCACCTTTAGCTTTACGCTAGCTGTCATCTATCTGCGCCTAGCGCTTGGCATGCAGTACTAGAACTTACTAGTAGAAGACTAGCCTAGTACAGTAGGACTACTACTAGTACTAGTAGTAATAGTATTAGTATGCAGGCAGACAGAAGAAGCTTGTGACTGTCACCATGGTCACAGTCGAACACTTGCCGTTTATACAGTGTGTAACTGCGTGGGTTTTGTGTTCTTTTTTTTGTTTTAATAGATATTTTTTACTTTACGTATACGTCTGGTCTAGCCTCTGGGTTGGGGGCGAAACATTGGGAAGCTGCCACATAATGTGAGCGGTTGTCAGTTGACAAAACCCCTTTTTCTTTTATCAAGAGACTGAGTGCATAATTCTAAAAATTAAAATAATTGGACAGTTCCAATCCATTGACCCACGGTTCCAGGGGAATAAACAGCCATCCAACCAACACGATCACCTACATGTACATCAGTACATGTACTCCCTCATCGCATGGCCATATCGCCAAACCTGCCCACGGGCCATAGCCACTGTTCTACCAACTATTAGTAGTATTACTTCGCAATTTTTGTAGGCAAGTCCATAGAACGTCACTGTACCATCGCATCGGTCAGTGCCGTGAATCACTGAATGTTGTCGCATGAGCTGATCGACAGATTGTTTAGTATTATTAGTAACTGGCACTGGTGGTACATGTACATGGTGTCAGTGGACGTAACTAAATACTTGTAGTTCCTTGGTTCACACGAAAATCCGGTGGAACAATTTTTTTTAAATAATACTCTACGCATGTACTCAGTGCAGTACGCTAGAACTTAGTAGAAGTTAGTTGCTATGGGCCTATGGAAGAGCATAGTAAAGTAAGTAAAGGCTATGGAAGCACAGACTCAGTGTATTAAAGAGATTAGGCTACAAGTACTAACAATAATCATGATAATGGATCCAAGCACTTGGCGTGCAGTAGAAGACTAGCCTAGTACATGTAGTAGTACAGTAGTAGTAATACTAATACTAATACTAGTACTAGTAGTATGCAGGCAGACAAAAGAAGCTTGTGACTGTCACCATGGTCACAGTCAAAAACTGGATCCACTTGGATCCAGTTTTTGTATGGATCCAAGCACATTTCAAGCGGTCTTACCCACAGCATGGTGATGTAGCCAGTGAAACTGACTGATTTGGCTACTGGGGGCGGGGTTACAACTGGTGGCGAAATAAAAGTCACACCTGCATGCGACATGAGTGGGTTGCTATGCACCCACATACTTAGGCAATAGCAAAGTCACACCTTAGTGGATCCAAAAATAGAAATCTGATGTCAACTAACTACTCCCTGGCCATTTTGACGTCATCACTTTCAAGCACTAGTGCTATCGCGCGCCGTGTGAAGTCTGGCGCAGAAGTGTTGGCGTTGAAATATTCTGATATCGGCATATCGCTTTGAAATGGTGGCGCTGTTGCAAGTCACCTCTGATGATTATGCATTGCACAGGTGTAACAGTGGTGTTGGTTCCCTGACGCAAAGACCACATTAACATAGCCCTAGGCGAATAATGCTCGAATAATTGGCAGATTCTGCTCGAAAAGCAGTGAAATGTAATTGGCAGAACTATACCGTTGAAATACGGTAACAAACCTCATGCCATGGCAGGAACCTCCCTACATTCTGCTCCATTTCTTTATCCACATACAGTGAAACCTCGTTAGGAAGAACACTGATAAGAAAAAATGTTTGCCTAAGATTAAGAAGAACTAGTACATGTATTCGTAACTGTATTGGATAAAACCCTGTGTATTCACTGGGTAAAACATATGGATAAGAAGAACTCCCGTTATCGCGAACAAAATTAATATCACCGGTCCCTTGATGTTCGTCCTAAAGAGGTTTGACTGTGCTATAAACATCATGCATGAAGCGTACCAGAAAAAGTACCAAATTCTGCCCATTGTTCTGTCATCGGCATGGGCTTATTTTAGGGCATAGGCGTTATTTCGGACGCAATCTGCAGAAGATCAATCTATCAGCAACCCACTAGTTTCAGTGAACCACCATTCACACTGAGCGCGGCCGGTACAGGTACATCAAACCACAGCTGGAAATTTGGTCGTAACCAAGAATGTAGCGATAAATTACAGATTTGATAGGTAAACCACTTGTCCACTATATTCCGCCCTGGGCTTATTTCGGGCATGGGCGCTAAAACGGACTTGAAGTGTACATCGCCTAAAACTGGGCTTATTATCGGACATAGGCGTTATTTAGGGTGGGTTATAACTTATTTACAGAATTTCAGCAGTAGACTAGGGAACCACAAGGTGTGCGTGTGTGTGTGTGTGTGAGAGAGAGAGAGAGAGAGAGAGAGAGAGAGAGAGAGAGAGAGAGAGAGAGAGAGAGAGAGAGAGAGAGAGAGAGAGCGGAAAGGGGAAACTCGCAATGCCCTTTTCCTGTAGGCAAGAGTAAAGATGAGCAGGCAGTGTTGGTTATTCTAAGACCATGATTGAGAACCAAGAGGTACCAGGATCAAGTTTTTGCTTGCAAGCAACAAAACACAGGATGCGTCGAGTTCGTTTGTCATTGACTCATTTTCAATTTTTGATGTTCGAACAAAAGATAACTACATGTAACTTATGTATAAACAACGGATTTTGCAGTGTCCGCTCCCAGGCTGCAAGGGTGATGGAGAAATGACCCGCAAGAGTACTATACAGGGATCCAACGCTAACACGGAGAAGGCTCCGTAAGTCCGACAGTAGATGCCCCCCCCCCCCACACGCACAGTCGGTGTAGTATGATGCAGAGCTGTTACACCACACGAGCACACCGGCCACGTATCGCTTTATTGGTTTGGACCAATCTCAAAATGTATTCAATTGCCCAAAATGATCTAGGACAGAGAACAAAAAGTAGTACATGAATATAATGAAATATTTTTATGTTCAATCAGTGAAGAAGGAAGAGATGAAAACTGTGGTTGTGATTGTTGCAGTTGTTGGCCTTCTTCCACATCTAGTACATGCAGCAGGGTTAAGAGTTTAACGGTCCTAGCAGCCAAGCCGTTTGCAAGCCAAGCGACATTGCTTGCGGTTGTAGCAAGCAGCCATGACAATAAGATAGAAAGCAAGCGAGCGCACTGGGCGTTCTCATGACCACGGCATTCACTGCCTCTAACTCTGAGCTGCCATTCCAGCCAGGAGACGGTTGCCAAAGATGAACGTTGGGATTCCAACGAGGGTCAGCAGTTTGATAGTAGAGAACATGTTCTGAAAAAGCAGGGCAAAACGACAGACACACCAATCAGTAATTCTGACGTGTCACATGACTGTAGGTACAGAAATGACCAATCGCATTGCACCTAGCAGGGCCTACATCATACACGTAACATGAGGTGATCAAGGCATGCTAGAACTCCATACTTGCTGAACGGCCTTTGATTATCCCAAAGCCCGCCCAGGCGGGCCTTGATTTTACGATCAAAGCCCGCTCCACTAGGGCTTTGATTTACCGATCAAGCTCGCTTATTTTTTTACTCGAGAAGGAGTCATGCTTTCAAGAGCGATAGGAAGATCGAAGTGCGTGTTCATGTCAGAAATCCAATCAAAACAGTCGTGTTCATGTTCCATCAGCCAATCACAGCCCTTCGCGAAATATTTATAAGTTTGATATGAGTTTACAAGCGCGGGTGCAGGTCAGAAACGTAATCAAAACACCCATACTCATGTTCGATCAGCCTGCATCACAGCCCTTCGTGCTTTGCGCGGCAGGCTGTGATTAGGCGATCTCACACTCGCACGCTTGCTTGATACAACGAAGCATTACAATTACTCCTACCCCTATGAGAAAATATATTCGATATGCTGACATATCGTGCAAACATCTGGGAATCTGTGTATAAGCTTCACCTCATACAAAAGAAGCAACATTATTCGTGTGTGTGCGCGCGCGTGTGTGTGTGTGTGTGTGTGTCTCTGTGTATATGTGAGGTTCGGGCACAAGGAAGCCATGAACTTTTCTATCACACACGCACAGGTGCTGAGATGAAAGAGCGTGATAACTGCACAGACAAGATAGGTGCTGTGCCTAGACTTACCGATGCCAGCCAGAAGTAAGCATAAATAAGCATGATGGCTGCAGAACACAACACAGAGAAGAGCATACATGTACACACACACACACATTGTAAAGAAGACTACACCTACACCAACGAGCACTATGCCATTTTGCACAATGGCCGGACAGCAAAAATAGCTCATTATATAATTGAAAATGCTGCATGTGCAAGGGTCGAGAACGTTGGTTTCTTGTCCTGGATTTCACCTAATCTGTTTCCAGAAAGGAGCTTGAGGTAACGCCCAGCTTAGCTCTAGACTGAATTAAGGCTATGCTGCACTCTTGCATGTACTGTTGATAGCGTGGCAATACACGACAAGGCATACTTTTAAAAGTGCAGGACTGCGTTGAGTAGTTGCATCAGGCTCTCAACAAGTAAGCAAGCAGTGTGCACACTCACCGATAAGGCCAGCCAGGAAGAGAATGCCATTGAGACCACCCTTGCTAAAGTCGTTCAGGTTTACACCGACACGCATCCACTATAACCAGGAGCCACAATGAGAACAACAACACCACCATAACAAACACACACAGACACAGATACAATAATGGTAAATGATTGCACTTAGCGAAAGCACTAGCGGAAGTAGTAGACCCAGGAGCATGGCCAGCAAATACATTCATCAGCTTCACAAGACATCTCGAAGCGAGTGAATCTTGGCAAGCATGAAAATGAGAACAGTGCAACGCTTGCCTAACAACCTGGAGTCCTGTACAGGCAATACTCTGACAGTACACGTACATGTAGTTTGATTACTTGTTGGCACACGGCAGGTATACTGTATCAGTGATCCCTCTGCATTCATTTTAGCTCACTCATACTGATCACATGGCAACTGCTTGATCATAATCTAAGGACTCACAGCAACGAGAAGCAAGAGGATGGGTGACAGCACGGCAAGAGTGAAGGCATTGGAGATGACTGCGGCAGGCCGCTTCTCTGGCTCGCGGAATTTGTGCTGGACAAAAAAACATCAAGTGGAGAGAAAGCAACAGAAGCATGACGAACAATACATCCACTGGGAGACCACTAGCATAACAGCAATGCTTGGAGCGAACATCAAATCCATCACAGCCACCATTCCACAGAATGCAGTCGAACCTACAAGACACACACATATTCACAATTGCAACAACTAACAAAAAGTATAAGCACACCAAATCCGCACAGTGGTTGGAGCATACCTGGATTTCTGGACGGGCTCCATACTGCAGCTTGGCCTTTCCTGTTGCTGGAGTGCCGGGGAATGACAAAGAAATAGAGCCCTGGGCACACAGTAACAGACATATAGCCAGTCAAACATCATCACTTCACATCACTGTGAGACCAGACAGGACCAGGGACAAGACATGAACGCATATAACCTGTAGCAAGGAGTGGGGCCATATTTGATCTGATTAAAACTTACGAACTTCCATGAGACGGATTCAGTGACGAGACCATCACCAGCGATAAGAGTCTGGACAAGACAAGACCAGGCAAGCACAGAAGAACAAACAAACATCGTGTTATTACTTGTCATGCTGGAAGTCCAGCTATCAACACTGCACTGTTTCAACCCCACACCCGTCATTGTTGAATATTCGATAATAGCGTGGATTTCCCCAATAATACATTTTCATTTTTTGTTATCCTCTCCCATGCCGTTGTACATAAGCGGCTTGCCGCGGATATGTCAATACTACTACTACTACTGTTTCAAACTAAAAAAACACCAAGAGACATGGTGTGAAAACTATCGTACGAGTCAGGAGTGCAAATTTCTAAAACGGAAAGAACAGAAAAGTGGAACTCGCTAAGAAGGAGCAATTACTAGCAATTTTCAGTGCAAACCTGACCGAATATTTAACTTTCTTATTACATGTACAGTCAAACCTCTTTAGGACGAACACCAAGGGACCGATGATATTTGTTCGCAATAACGGGAGTTCTTCTTATCCGTATGTTATACCCAGTGAATACACAGTGGTTTATCCAATGGAGTTACGAATACTAGTTCTTCTTAAGCAAACATTTGTCTTATCAGTGTTCTTCCTAACGAGGTTTCACTGTACCATAAAGTACCAATGATGCGGGTCATCCAATGGGCCCCGCGTAAACAGAACCACTCTGTTATTGCATGGTCCAAGGTTACTGATTGATTTTCAAAAAGATTTCTGTTCGTTCGGAGGTGGCTGGGTTTTAGAAGTTTGGGTTAAACAAAAGTATTGCATGCACACGGCCAATACCCAGTACATGTACTACTAGCTGCCGAAGATTGAAATCAATACTTTGTTGAAGTTCGTTTTACTTTCAGAAAGGGCGGGCGAGTGGCGACAAAAAATGCCAAGGCCTTTCGCTTTTGAAAAAAAAAACACCAATTATAAATGAACAGAGTGTAAGCAGGAGGATCAGGATGTACTGTGGTACACTGTCAACTCACCATGTCATAGTCTCCAGAGTTGGAGTTGAAGGACTCCTTTGCAGCAGATCCAAGATTCTAAACAAACATAAAGGCACAGACACATGTTATCGCAGAGCGATGCACACAGATCAACTATACATGAGAATACATCCACGCCCACTAACTTAGCACATGTCCTTCAAGTACACAAAAAACCAATAGACACTGGACTACATGGAATAGAGTGGTTTCACATCTTTGTCATGTGACTAAATTTCTGTAGAAAGTGATCATGTCATGTGGAAAGTGGAACCAACATGGCCGATATTATGTGTCCCATAGATACAGGGGTTGAGTGGAGTTGGAACCAACATGGCGGTCCTGTATGTTCATGTGATAGATGTGAAACCACTCCATAGTCAATACCAGGTAAAGCAAGCCGTTGCCCCCACAGCCTATCAGTGATCTACACTACCTTCTGGTGGCAGCTAGCAATTGAGACTTTTCTTAACTGCATACAAACTGGATACACGAGTACACTCACCACTTCACACTTGTAACGGTCCTCATCAGACTCGGCAACAAAGAAAATTTCCTGGCCAGTGGCACGGTGGGTCATCTGGACAAACATCTACAAGACAACGAGAAGAGAGAACACGCTCTCAATCACAACATGTCACAGAATGCAAATCTGATTCACGGACACACAAGTCTCAATGTTGACGGCTTATAAAGATCCACAAGGCAGATATAGCGAAGACAATAGCAAGCACAGCTTCTCCAAGCATGGGCAGCCCCCCACATCCAGGGAGTTTGTGAATGGTTTGGCTATACTCGTACCTGGTGCAAAACAACAGCCTCGCCCTGGGAGTCCTGAGCATTGAATGACAGTGCCAGGCGCTGGTGCTGGTCAGCAGAGAGCTTATCAGAGCTGGTCTTGGGATAGGACAAGCTACACACACAGGCACAAACACACATACACGAACCACAGTCTATTATTGACAATAAGAGCCACACAATCTGTACAAAGTATATCTTGACAAGAGCTTTCCCCATATTTTTCGTCACAGAGGAAGTGTTGACCGAGCGACAACCTCTTTCTCTCTGTCCCATCTCTGCCACATCCGTACACAACCCGTCCAAGTTCCGCTGATACATTGTACACGTATACTCCTATGACAAGCGATACATTGAGTTAGACTAACAGCTATAATGTACAGTGAAATTGTGGAATGTACAGATGACACCGAGGAAAGGGCTACATAAGCCTGACTAGGCCGGACCACAAAAGTCTTTTGTTTCAGTACTGGTGCTGATCATGATCAAGGATCAAAGTCATCACTTAAATCTACAGTCATCTTCAGGTGCACTATCTCTTAATTTGCTGGCCCAAAATCCTATATATAGGATTTGAAAATGTGTGCCTTTTATGCCGTTGTTATTGGTCATCACGACCAGTAATAACGGCATAATGGTTTTCATGGAAGTTGTAAATATGTTTGAGGCATGAATGTTCACATTTTAGATTCATAGGGCGATAATATTTCTGATGAATACCCATTTTCAGCAAAAATTGGAAATTTGAGCATATTTGTTCAGCTGCTGTCATGGAAAGGACTGAAGCAGTGAATGTGCAGCAGAAAATTGCAGGTGTGGTTTCATGACGACATATCGCACATGCCGTCATGAAACTACCAGTGTTAAGGATAAAACAAGGTCCAATAAAATCTCAAATCCTATATATAGGATTCGAAAAATAGGGCACAGGCCTTAGTAATATTGGGCAAGGAGATGAGCCTGAGATGTTAGTGTTTGAAAAAATTATCTTATTCAACTCTCGATATCTACTAAGACCTAGCAAGGAAGAATTGGTCACATACTTTTCTCTATGCTCGTGCCACACCCATTTTGAGTTGAAAAATATGACCAAAATCCTATATATAGGATTTAGCAAATTAAGAGATACTAGATGGGTTGCTGGTTATTTTAATAAAGGCCGCATGCATGTGATTGTGAAGAACACGGTTTTGCAGCATTTAACTCTGATCCGTCATGCTACTGTCAGGTTCTCACTCCCGTATATACACATGCACGTGCACTCAAATGACCTCGCGCACCTTTTCCCACTGTCCGGTTCTCGAACCGTTTGATCCCGCACTCAGGGATGACACATACATTATCATATCCAAACATGCACACACACACGCACACATATATTTACAGCAGCTAACAAAGGAAAAGAAATGCTGATTTCTGTACGACTGGTGGCTTCCTACCTAACAGTCTTTGCCTTGACATCCTGGTCAGCATCCAGGATAACGAACTCAGCAGAGGTGATCTTCACGGGGTCAACCAAGTTGACATCAACCTAGGAACAAATGGGAAGCAACAAACTTACTTACACCGATGATTTCTAAAGAATGATGTTTGGCACACATCAAATCAGCCAGTGTATATTGGGTATGGATCATCTTTCGATGAAAAGAAGTAGAACATTCAAGACACCACAAAAACAATAGTTCCACAGAAATACAGGCACAGAATCACAAAAATGTCCACAGCACGTGTATCGCATGGAGACCAGTCAGGTCCACAATCAAGCACTTACAGAGAACTCTTCCAGCTCAACGAACTGCTTGTCCGAGGAAGAAGCACTGCGAGACAGAACGATATTCAGCCAAACAAGGGGTGTCAAAGGAAAGAACAGGCACAGCAGTGTAATACAGGACAGAAACCTGCAGGGAAGAGATCTCCTCCAAAAGCTAAGAGCAGGTAGCAGTGAAGACAACAATTACACATGTAACTTATGTGCAGGTGGCCAGCAAACAATGCTCGATGCACATCGGCCAAGTACCAGGGACCCCCCACTTCAATGCGTGAGGGATGACACAGCTAGCACTCCTCTCCCTAGTCACCTTTGCCTTCCCGACAGAAGCCAGGTGCCCAATGACAGAAGTTCCAGAACCCCAGCAAATAAATTGAAATAAGAATGCATAAAAATCGCTTTTGACTGCTTGGTACTCACGTGAATTTGAAAGAATAGGCACCACGAGGAGCGTTCTTGCCTGAGAGGTCAGCGGAAAACTCACCACTGTGCATGGGAGAGAGCAGGAACATAGAAACAATGTTCAGTGCACATGAAAACAACAGATTCTACTGCTGTACACAGCTCATGTCATTATTGTACACAAAAAAAGCTACAGACAGTACAGTGCACAACTATGCCCGTGATTGGTCAGCCAGCTACCCTGGCTATTACTTTTCCAGGCATGATCAGAACCGACTCGGCGTTTTCCCAACACACATTGCAGGGCAGAGGACATAACCAGTAACATGAGCTACACCGTATTGCTCTCACTTCTTATCAGCCTTGAGCTTAGAGTCAGAAACGAGCTCCTCCTCATCCTGCTGACCAGCAGCGACGAGAGTGACAGAAACACCCTTGACTGCGGCATCAAGCAAGTTGGTGGCACGGACCTGCACACAGAACGATCCAAAACACATCAAGAGTTATAGCATGCAGTCAACTTCGCTAATACCGACTGCGTATAAAACGACAATCCGCGTATAACAACAGAATTTCCATGCCCAGGGCAAAGTCCCACCTAACTGTAATACATGTAATGCGACTTCGGGTATAAAGACACTTCGCGAATAAGGACACTTTTCTGATGCCCCGCCGAGTGTCGCTATACGCAAAGTTGACTGTACACCAAGCAGGGAGTAGCAAAAAAGGGGAGGGTGGAGCTGGAAAGGAGAGAGACATGCAATAAAAATATGGATACGGGCGTCGAAGCACAAAACATTCCGAACACTGAATACTACTTTGTATATGGACTCTGAAGTGGACATACCTTGACAACAGGCTTGGCAGCAGAGACGGATGAAGAGCCAACCAAGCTCATCGTTATAGGTGAGTACTGCAAACGCCAGCACAGATAGAAACAAAAACCATACAATTGCTAAAATTACAAAGCAACAAAACGTGTAAATACTGCACACGCACGCACGCACACACACACAGAGTTACAACTGTTGGTGGACAACTGGAACCATTCTGAGTATCAGTGGAAGCATGGGGAATACGTGTCGAGAACACTATTTTGGGCAAACCACCTACCCCTAGTCAAATGCGCCAGGCAAACGTTGCAGATCACATACCTTTCCACCTGCAATAGTCTTCAGGGACATGAGGACATGGTATGCATCAGCAGCAGAGGCGGTGAAGCGGCTTCTGAGGAAATAGTTGGCAAGCATGATGACTTGATCCTGGACGGACAGCATACACACAGACACACACATGCACAAGTGCCAAAAAAAGGGGGGAAATAGTTCATGTACAGTAGAACCCCCTTATTCGGGCTCCTCAGATCAGGACAGCCCGTCTACCGGGCGTTATTCTGATCTCCGAGTCACAAAAATTTCCACGAAAACAGCATAAAATATATTAATAGAAAGGCAAACAACAACTAGTTGCATGTACGAGTGAACAGTATGGATGTCCCAAGCAGGTGACAGACAATTCTTATATGCGGGCACAGTTCGGTTCCAATGTGCCAGGATCAAGGGATTTCCACGGTACTTGTTCCAGCATCTGCATCCTTGCCATCCTGTATCTTCGAACACCCTGAGCCTCAAAGTTCGATACGATAAAAGTGAAACACACATACAAAAAAAGTACAGCTAACTTACAGCCTTGACACCAGCTGGTGCTCCTGAGGAGAGTGCAAACATGCCGTTGACAATGGCAGCAGTCACGGGAAGACCGTCCTGGTCATAGTGAAGGAACTGGAATTGACAAGGTAAAAATACAAGCATCACACAGTCAAATTACAACTTGAATTTTCCTCGCCGCCTTGACGGTTGCATGTCTACTACCTGCAGTAATACCATGAATTTTCGAGCTCCGGGCGGAGCTGGCTGTGTTACCTACAACACAACAGGGCGATCGTACAGCACTTCATAATGTGAGCCCAGTAAAACGCACTGCTGTGCAGTTAGGAGAAAAGTGATGAAGGGATGAACGGACCCTGGTGACAACAACATACATGTCACTCCAAAGTAATTCCCAGAGAGGTTCTTCAACCAAGTGGATGCAATCCAGGAAGACAAAGCAGCAAGATCACTCAATGATAAGTCAAGAACACCGTATCAATGCTTCAGCTTACCTGCAGAACGTTGCCACCATATTCATCAGCAAAGTTTACCACATCCTGTCCCAATTAGAGCAAACAAGAAAATAGAACATTACATTAGTAGAACAAGATGCTCTATCCTTGTGACACTACACACCGATACAAGGTTGATCAGTCTTCCCTGCAGAACTGCACACAACAGCCTTGAAAAGAAGCTAGTTAGCTGGAGCATTTTCAATTCCACCTCCAGTTTTAATATTAATAGTGAAAATGATGGAATGATGTAGTTACATGGCATACATGTATATTTCGGAGAAAGGGCAATAAACATTGAATTATTAACGAGTGAAGATACAACATTAGCAGCCTTGACAACACTACTGGACAAAAAGGGGTGATAGAAACAATGGGCGTTATCAAGTAAAATATGGAGCTCTGGAAGATACAACAAAATGTTATGCATTGGGCCACAATGCACTTGCCACGGGATCTGCACAGAATGGCGAGGTGATAGGTTCATCACTTGATTTAGAACCTTCACTACATGCCCACCTGTCATGATTGCCTCCATGACATTCTACACCCCAAAGGAGCCACTTGCAAGAGCTGAGTTGACAGTGCACCTTTGCACCAGGTCCTAACAAGTCAAAATATAGCACACTAGGCATGAAAATACATACCTCGATGGTCTCAACAACAGGCTTCAGGGCATCAGACTTTCCCAAAATGCTGGCAGCAAGTAGTGCATATCCGTGGCTGCAGTGAACACACATGATAGGGATCATAAGTACAGTCGGAACTCTCAAACAAAGAGCAAAATCACAGTGGAAGCTGGGTGCCTCAAGCCTATATACAAATTAGGGCTCAGGGGACACGATAAGATTTCGAAATTGCTCTGACACAATGTCCTGCCACTTCTGGAACCGGTCGGACATGGCCGGACACTGTGATTGTTTTTACAAGTCTGGTACTCAGCACTCATAATAAAAAATAATTATTATTGTCTTCACCAATTTCACACACGACACCACTGCATAATGCACACATGCAATGCATTGATGATCATCACACTGATCTCAAGTATTGTAACTCTGATTCAAATCGCTGTGCGTTTTTCAGCAAGCATAGTAACTGTGAGTGTGATATGAGCGTGCAGTGTTTCCTGGTTTTTCAGCGGCAGATCAAAGACATTCATTTTTACGCAGTCGACAAAAGACAAAGTGGGCATCTGCTTGCCCATTCTAACTTCTTGTTGCCAGCTCCAAGATCGACAACATGTCACTACTCGAGTTGGCTGAAGACTCCCATCTTTGCAAACGCGATGTGCTCTTTGAACAGCACGTAGTTTCTACGCGACGTTGAATTTCTGACTTATTTCGCTGCTGCTGCTGCTCCGTCGATCTTGCACAGCGCCTGTGCAACAGGAGCGTAGATCTACTTGACTGGATTTGCAGAAGCCTGCTCCTTTCGATAGAGGCATATCGCAAGCTGGCACACATTTCTGACGCCTTGTTTCCCTGGAACAGGGACGTTTTCAATATTTCGGAGTGTACAAGCGCCTCGCGGAATAGTTCCTATTGTAGCGAGAAAGCGAAGAAATTTCATTTCAAATCCTCGATCGTTTGCTACGCTCAAACTGGAGCTACACTGAAGTGGACAGCTCCCTGTCTTGCTGTAAAACCCTGTTGTCACAGGTTGCTGCTCCGACTTCGTGAGACTTCTTCCCAGGCAGAGCGCCATTGTCCTCAGCCGTTCTCTTTCCCAGCGACGCTATTTTGTGAATTTCGATCGGACAGATTGTCCGTTCAAGAAAAAAAGCGCCCGATTCGAATTGAAAATGGTCGGAAAATGTCCGATGTCCGACCGTTATCGTGTGCCCTGGGGCTGAAACGAACACAATGTCTCAGTAATCGAACGTATTGACGCTAACGTAGGAACGAATATTCTTTATTGATAACTCGAGAAAATTGCCAGAGTTCTGACATGGGCATGATACTGCCAAGAAAGTCTACTTCGGGAGGAAATGAACGCCATTGCCATCACAGACTTCAGTGGCCATGCCTCGCTCGCCATTCAGAGCAACATTGCCCCAGAAGCGCTGCCGGATGGCTCCGTAAGGTTGCGCGCATACCACGCTGTGGTGCCGTCACTCAGGTACGTAGAAAATCAACGAGCTAAATATTTGTCTCTGGGAGACTATTGACACGTGGATCGCTCTCCACATCTTCTCCACCATAAGCACTGCGCGTGGCCAGCAAACTGTGCTCATACTCACACAGATTCCGTGTACCAAGAGTAGGAGCTTATCAGGAAAAAGAAAAATAAGTTCCAATATTCGTCACCTCATGAACGTTCGTTCTGCGAAGCTAAACGAACAAAAGTCTTCAGCCCTAATAAAAATCTAGGAAAGAAATCCTTGTGCACTATGACCATTGAAGGTTTATGTTGACCAGGTGACAAAACATAACTTGCAACATAGGAGCATTGAGAGGAACTAGCTGTACATGTACTGCTCGGATTGGATGATGCAATAAATATAAATACTCGTACCACTAGGAGAGTTCACTTCAATTCAGCAATGACCGAAACAAACTTGCAAATAAAGCTTTACCTGGCAATGGAAACCTTGCTTCCCTGGACAACCGATACCAAGCTTTTGGCAGCGGCAGCAGCATCAACTGCACAGAACCAGAAAAGCATTTTTCACAAAAAACTCATTCACAACTAAAACGATGCCTCAATGAAAATTATGAATGCGTCACAAATTCACAATACACACAAGGCCAAACATGGGAAGCTAATATTGATGTAGCAACTTACAATTGCACAAAGACATAAACACAAGCACCTACCTGGCAGGCCAAGAGCCTTGCGAGCGGCAATAGCATAGTAGATGGGCTGAGAATCGGTACCATCAGCAATGCTCAAAACAGAGTCGGCATTTGCAATGTCCAACTGCAGTGGTAGAATGAACAAGGAGCAAGCCGATAGCACGAGTTACAAACATACACAAGTATGAAATTTTCAATATCAAAGTGATACCAGTTGTGAAAACTATAGCATGCGGATGGTATCGAAGCACAGTTAGTCTCATGCACGCTGTACAGATGCGCAAACCCTATGGAATCCAGTAGAATCTAGTAGAACCCCGTAGACCTGGTTGGGTGTTAAATGTACAGACTATTGAAAGGATTGGAAGAATTTCAAATTGTGTTAACTATTATTTCCACTACAAATGTGCCCTGAAGGCATTTCATACGACAATTATTTTTTTGAAAGATCAAGCAGCTGGTTGTTGGCTCTAGCTAACGTGATGCTGAAAAGGCAATTGTCTTCCATTGATTATTGCGCTAAATTCGTAAAATGTGCGTGTATAGCACACAATGCACACCCGACCGGGCATGTACACACCCACGGGATTTTGTACATCTGAACAACGTACACAGGGATCATATACAATGGTAAAGTCACAGGGTCCGCTCTGTAGGCAAGTTACATGTCGTGAAATAACGCAACAAAAGTCAACAACGACAAAAGAATAGACTACAAACACGACTGTAGTGAATGTTTATGCCTTGCACAATAATTAAAAAAAAGAAACACAATGAATTTTTTACATTGAGTCTAAATGAGGTATCCATTGCCGAAGACATTTTCTGCATTCTTTTCAATAATATTGCACGCAAATAAACAATCATTGGTAATGGAATATTGGGACTATACCTACTATCAGTTTCCCATTGTGACTTTCAACGTGATTAATCAATAACATCTACAGGATAATAATAAAAATGAATTAAATGTCAATATTCTCAATAGTATGTTTAGCAAAAACAATTCGACTAACCTTGCAATTTCCAAGTGCCTTCGCAGCAGATGCGGCATGGTATACCGACTCAGCGCTTTGGGCGTTCAACCCCTTCTTTACTTGAGTACAAGCATTCTGATTCAATACACACCAAAGTCGAATTAAAGCACATAGGGCATGTTCAACTGATGTATCATGACAGCATCATCACAATCCGGGCACAAATCGAGAAATACAATTTCTAAAAAAAACAGATCAATGTACCTGGCTATTTGGAATACTGGCGCCAAGCAGACCTAATCCAGCCGCTGAATAATGAATAGATGCTACATCTGATGACGCTAGTCCAGATGAGAAAACCTTCCCTAGGCGGCTTTGGTCAGCTTGTGACAAAACTCCAATTGGTGATACTGCTGACGCACTAGCCACAAGAGCCAATACGGCGAGAACGCTCTGCCACATCTGGACCACAAATTGAGAGAAATCCCAAATCGTCAGGCTAAAAAACTGTCGGAGACAGCACCTCAAGTGTAAGCTACCTTTCGTAGTGTGTTTGGCGAACGGTGAATAACACCAAAGCAAAATCAAATTTCCAAGGACACAAACACCTTGGCCACACAGACTTCTTCCCCCGGAGATTCAACAAAATGTGAAAGATGGCGAAAGCTACGTGGCCTCGCTGTTGCCATGGACGCCGTATCGGTGTATGTCGTCATGATGGTAGCAAAAAAAAAGAAACAAGAAATGTGCCAAAAAATCCTTGCACCACGTGCCGTTTTCGGTGTTTCCCCGGCCCCATGCATTGCTGTGTGGCCTACATCATGTACATCATTCTACTATTCTAGATCGCTACATGATTGGGTCAGTATATCACTGAATCAGTTTAGTTGCAAATGTTGGCAGGATACTTCCACAACAAGCTGCTTGGTATGGATCATCAGGATGTTGCTCTATCGAATCAACTACTACAGCACCACTAGTAACTAACGTTACTTTTATCCTCATTGTTCTCATCCATGGGGCAAAGACTAGTTTTGTGAGAAGAAGGATTACATTGAGTATTTACTTCATGCTAAAGTGTTCGCAGCTTGATTTCGCAATCATGTACTTGAATTGAGCAACGAACATACACCCGAGGTCAATGATCTTGAACTGAAGGCACTCACACGGTACTATTTTACCAGACGTTTTACATAGAAATGGCCAGTGCAACTGCAGAGTCGAAAGCTGGAAAACCTCCATGCCGGGCCTGTTCAGATTTCCAGTCGTGGGCAAAGGATACTAGTAAGAAGGGGGTGAGTATACAGTCATGTAGATATGCAATACGTACATATGCTGCACTTGATTTTCATCCGGAAATTACATGGCAATGTAACGTTTTACTACGTAGTATATTTATTCACTTGGTTACAATCAAGGGATTAGAAAGGGGGAAACACATGGTGAAGCTTGAACCGCTTCAAATTTTACTTACATGTATGGCACTTTTCTCACTATGACAGTATGGGCCGACCGTGTCATGACTGTAGTAAGTCTAGAAGTTTGGCAGGATACTGAGCATGTCTGGTCTTTGATGGCTGCGGGTAGTCTCGGCTCGACGTATTCACAGCTCCGGTGTACGTGCAGTGCAGATCCGTTTGTGCGAAATTGTGCAGATTAATCTCGACTTTCATGTGGTTGATACTGGCATCAAGGACACTTGGATGGTATTCATGAGGGTCGTCGGACAGCACTGAAACAGTCAAACATGTAGGAGATTTCAAGAGTGCCTTGCACAGCCTCAATATCAAAACAGTTGGGGTTGTATACACCATGTTGGAATTATGCAGTTACATGTACATGCTCTCCTAGTTTATAATTAAAAAAATGTCATTACTTTTGGTCTTTGGGATGCTGAGTTGAATGATCTTGGCCTGAGGAAGCTGAGACGCTCCCTTTGTCTTATATTCCCCATCCAACTTGCGCCTTTCCCCGAAACCGAGTGAGTGTACCCCATTGGATAGAGTTTTGTGTCGAAAATTGTCCCTGAAAGCGCCACTTCGTTCTTATAGAAGATGAACGTGAAACCCCTAGAACCTGTAGTCATCTAGACGCTGAGTCAAATGGTCTTGGACTCTTGGTTTGACCATTCTTCAAGACAGCGCTCGGCCCCTTTCCCAATCGGACGCAGTCCCGTACGCCATCCCGTACTGATGGCAGATGCGTACACCAGTCACCTGGTCACCGTGCCTGTGTAGTGCACCGTGCAGGCAACAACCTGCAGTGCCTGTGACTCGGTTGTAGTGACACAGCATTCCATGAAGAGTCCACAACCCCCTGAATGGACTGTTGGTCGCATGTATCCTTAGCCAAAGAGTAACTTATGTGACCGCGAAGAGTTCACTGTGCAATGCATTTGCATGCATGTACACATTGTTGAGTCTGTGCATTAAGTCCTTTCGCTTTCCAGGTTCAGGGTGTTACTTGGTAGCCGCTCAGCGCAGCTTGTTTGTGTTTTCTGCATTTTTGTTTTGTATCCCAACCGACAGTGCCTGCCTCTGCCGTGGTGCGTGTGGTGGGCAATCACAGCTGGGGAGTCATAACTCTCCACCTACTACCCGTGGAGCCAAATTTTGATTCCCCTAATATCAAGAGTGCATAAACAAGAGTATGCAACTGTGATTGTGGGACCGTGCGTGGCGCGCTGCCTTCATTGCGTAACTTGCCTCCATCACGCTCTGAAAGCATGCACTCAAACCCACCATTTCTCGTACGAGCACATCCATTTTTACTCGATTCGTTCCAGTACCTACACGATCTCTAAATTTTGGCGTGTGAACCCCAGTTCCGTATGAAAGTTCATTTCGAACCAGAGGGAAAGTGTGGCGTTTGATATTCCGCAGTATGCAGACTGCAGCTGAATGATGTAATGAAGGCAGCGCGCCGCTGGCCCATAGAAAAGAGATCACACTCACTTCCATACTCTGGTTTGTGGACTCTTGCTAATATACTATCATATGATTGGTCGCATACTACATGTACTACATTGCTATTCATCATCTATGCTATACTTTGGGCTTAGACTTGCAACCCACTGTCCAGTCATCTCGTACATTGATCGCCGTATACCGGTACGAGTATGTGAAATGCACTGTTCGTGCTCAGTAAAATCCATGCACATTTTTTTTAAGTCATCGCCCTGCACAAGCCAGCAGTGTTTACAGGTCTAGAGGTCTGCACAGTACCCAGTGCTAGCTACTTCACCATGCTCAGGTATCATTGAGCAGCATTGTAAATGCAGATGGGGTGAATGCCGCATGTTGAATGTGTACACTTTGCCCGTATGGAGTTTCCTAGATAATTTCATCTCCAAATGCGTCTGTGACCTCTGCCCAGCTTTATCCGGACAATCAAAATTTGAATTATATAAAATATGGATCTTTGCTTGCACTGTATAAATCATGTACTACTCTTCTCTCCTTTCTGCAGACTGTGCCCAAGGTTGCACCAGCCGCACAGGCACCAGCTGAGGAGAAGCCATGCCCTGAGGATCGGGTGTCTTTAGGAAGGGCAACCTGGTCCTTTCTTCACACAATGGCTGCATACTATCCAGACAAGCCCAGTGAGCAGAAACAGAAAGAAGCGAAGCAGTTCATGAGGCTCTTTTCTCGGTTTTATCCTTGCGACGATTGCGCTGAGCACCTGCAAGTATGGTGAGTAATGTTATTACTCACATTATAATACTAACCTAATACCAAGAGTTCATAACCCCCCCCCCTAGAGTGTGCAACGCCTGATCCAGCTCTGCACAGGGTCTTGGTCGAGCGTAATCGGATCTTTGCGTCATAATACCGTACACATCTGAGGGGAACCCGGGGAATTGCGGGTACTCTCGGATCAAAAACAACGGTGCCCTGCCTCGAGACCGGCCTTGCGCTGGTGTGGAGTGTACGCGTGACATCAGAAGATCCGATTACGCTCGACCAAGACCCTATGCAGAGCTGTATCAGGCGTTGCACGCTCTGGGGGGGGGGGGGGGGGGGGGGGGGTGGGGGGTATGTACTCTTGGTAATACATGTACTAGTATCCAATGTAACTACCGGTACTCTACTGTCCTACTTCACGTCCTGCGGACAGGAAACAGGAACTAGTTATTGTACGTGCAAAAAGCATTGTATTTTATCATCTTCACTCCATGAACATTGGTGTGCTAGAGTGCACATGCATGTGTGGAGGTAATGCATTTGCCTATACACTGTATTGAGCTTTTTTAAATGAGCTCAATTGCCCAATATTGTTCAGATGACTGATGGAGGTCGGGAAAGACGTGCGTGCTTGTGGCATGCATCCTTTCCCTATGTTGTCAATAATAATCAGCGTAGCTGATGAACACGTATGTGCCATGCTGACGCTTCTGCTTGCCAACACCACAAGCCCTTGATTTGTATATCAACTACTGAAAATTGTCCCTGGCCATACACTGCACATTCCATAACAAGATTTTAAAAGAATAACCGAGACTGAGTTCTTTCAAGTGGTTTCGTGTAATGGCGATGGACAGAACATCTCCTGAATTTATAACCCCACTTTTTTCCATCTTTCTTATCCGGCATCCAGGATGAAGGACAATCCCCCTGATGTCAGAAGCCAACATCAGCTATCCCAATGGATGTGCAGTGCCCACAATGAAGTCAACGTTAGGCTGGGGAAAAAAGCATACGACTGCTCGCTTGTCAACGAAAGATGGAAACATGGGTGGAAAGACGGCTCTTGTGATTAAGCCGGATAGTATATAGAGAGTAGCCGTACAATCATGACAGAGCCACACCATGAAATATGCCAGCACCTCACAGTACCAAACTTAACGTTATTTTGAGCTGATATTCTAGAAAAATATTCCTACGTTGAAGAACGTGAACACGCCCACACACACACCCACACACACCCACACACATACATAATTATGCTGTTGCTACTTTCTTCACTAGCTGCTTATGTCGCTGATGCTTGCGGATTGCCGAGTTTAAGGTATTGCTCAAGATAGTTAGGCATACATTCCATTGATCAAATAATCTTCCTTCTGCTTGTGAACTCTCGTTCGAGCGAATCTCACCCATTGCCTCGACACCATGAAGAAAACGGCAAAGAACGCAAGCAGGCCCACTGCCAACCCAATAATCAATGTTGATGTACCAGAGAACCTGGCGTTTGCATTGATAGGGTCTGGTGTGGATGACACAGCCTTCAATAGTGCATCGCCCTTTAGCCCAGTTGCCCGTGCAGCATCAGTGGAGGATTCCGATGGTTCCGCATGAGCATCCGTGGGTGGCGGGTCAGTTCCAGACATGTTGGACATCATGGCACTATCAGATGATGCCACTGCTGTTCCGGTTTCTTGTTCCGATGCAGATTCAGACGTCTGGTCCATAGCTGGAGATGTGTATGTAGCTCTCTGCGTAGTTGGGATGTTACTGGTTGTGGCGAGGTCTTGCCGAGTTGTAACTGTGTGCGTGGTTACCGCAACTGTCGTTGTCACGCTAGTCGTTGCTATGAGCGGAGTAGTAGTGGGCGAGGGCTTGCTTGTTGTTTCTACTGAGTGAGTTGTGACCACTGGCTGTGTTGCTTCAATGCGTTCAACATCTGCAAAGGAGCGCATTAGAACAAAAGAAATCATGTCAAAGTCGTCACTAACCAGTTCGGGCTACATCAACACACGGACTGTATTACACGCACATGTGGTATAAATATAAGAAGCTTTAGCATCACGGATCTCACATTCAAGTTCGCGAACACCTTTCGGCACGCGAACTGGGAAGTGAACTTCACTCTTTTCTTTCCGAAAAGTAGTAGTCGAAACACGAATCATAGATTCGTCTCAGTGCAGTCGTAAATTTACTACTGAAGTATGTTGTACTGTCGACATGTACACAACTTGATCGTGTACTGTAGAGGCAGAAAATTTCGTCGGTCAATAATTTCGTCCAACTCCACAGAAAGGAAGTTCGTCCGGTTGAAAATTTCGTTCATGGACCATAAGCATGTATAGAAAAGCTCGACAAATCGACATTAGTCCGGCATTTAATTTAGTCCAAAAGCTCCTTGGACGAAAAGACGAAATTAAATTCCAGACGAATATTTATACACTACTGTAAAGTACCTTTGACCCCCCCCCCCCCCCCCGGCCCCCATGCCGTTTTCGCAAACGGATAGACTGTTGTGGGGGTCTTGCGCGTTTAGAGCGGCCGGGCGCATAATCACATACTTGGTCTCTCTCTCTGCGTAGTCTGCCAGCTCTGCAGAATGCATAAAAAAATCCAGCTAATGCTGTGCATGGTATAAAGCGACTGCCATGTGCACCATAGGGCGGATTTTTGGCGAATGTAACGTAAACTAGTAAATGGCTGCATAATAAGGCAGCTTCGGCCCCTAATACCTATGCACATAATTTCGGAATTACTGCCGATTAGTAAATTCTGGCATGAAGAACCGAAACGATATGCGTTCAACCTGAGATTTGGAACTTATATGTGCCCCGGGCCGTGGTCTAGGCAACTCGCGATCATGATCTTGAACTGCTGACCGCAAGTGTGACCCATGCAGCCCAGCGATGCCGCGGATAAGCTCCTGGGCTTATCTGTTTCATAAGGACATTTTGGTGGGCTTATACGCCGACACCAAAAATGTGCTATTGAAAAGAAGTAAGAAATACATTGCTGAAAATCACTGTGCAAACAAAAACACCCGATGATTGTGTTGAAATGTACCAAAGAAAAACGAGAAAAACGTACATGGTACGACCTGGGCCCATGAGCTTGTACAACGAAGCTTCGTGATTTTCGAACTTGGCCTGGGCTTATGCGCGAGCATGGGCTTATACACGGGTGGGCTTATCCGCGGGATTCTACGGTATGTGCGAGTACGGATACGCCGGCCCTGGGCCAACTTCGGTGATTGGAACCACTGCACTGACCTGCAGCAGTGAAACTCCGCATGATTGTTTGGCGTTACAGTCGCCTATATTGTCTCCCTGGGTGCTACAAATCCCCGATGCATGGACGCACATTGCTATAGAGGCCGATGTACTGCAAGGGAGGTGAAAGCGGGTAGAGCGCTGTGATTTCTGTGCAACTATGGGATGTGTGCACTCGCCTAGGATGCCAGGCAATGGGTACGGCACCGGAGGGTAATTGCATGTATCATTGGCTACTTCCATAAGGCATCTAGTTTTGTGCTGGTTCACCCTCCTCTGATTTTCCGTGGTGTGCATTACGTGTATTCCTAAATGGATTTCGTATCCCCAATACAGTGACGGACTGGCCTTGGTGTGTTCATTTGTTTACACTACTTAGTAGTTAGCACAGCACTGCTCAATGAAATCCAGCCGCGTCTCTCAAGTTTGCGCCTTGCATCATTTCGCAGCCCAGTGTTCGCAGGTCTCGGGCTGCGCAACGCCCGGCGCGTACTTGAGTGACGCGGCTGGATTTCAATGAGCAGCACAGTACTGTAGAGAAAAAAGGAAGTACTAGTACTGCACTACACAGTATGCCATACTGCTTACCAGTCACAGAATGCTGAATTATTCGTTCAGGCAATGCTTGACTCCCGAAGGGTGCGTCGGAGACTTTGGAAATGTAGATACCCTGGTGAGCGGCACGGTCCACCACACAGAAGTGATTACAAGCGAGCAGTGCACAGTTCTCCTCAGTTGCTACCTGCTCTGGCGTCCGAGATCTCCACACAGACGCATCGGGGCCGATGAACATGACCGTGTCGCAAGCATCATACGAACAACACCAGTCGTTGCACTCGCTGCGACTCTTTGCACGAAGGAAACGAACCTCTTTGGCACCGTTACGAAATGACGATCTCGTGCTGATCATTCGGTTTGGGATTGTCTTCAGCTGTTTCCTCTCCAGCTTGCAAGTGGACGGTGTAAACGCCGAACGGATTCCGTTGTGGGCTGCATGGCCGCTAGTACTAGCCACCAACAGAGAGGTAACCGTCAACCATGCCAGCCACCAGCCAACTCCTCTTCGCGACGTAGTCATCTTCTTTTCGACTGGTTTGCGCGCATCGACGGGCTACTACCTAGTACCTCCAGCCCCTGCTGCTTGCTCGTCGTAGAGTCACACTGACTGGAATCGCCTACGCTAACAGCAGGATCGTACCGTTGGAACTCAGCTTGTTTTCAACAAAACAAGGTTTATCTAATACCTCAGCTTCCCCAACTGGTACACAAAGCAGCGTAGCAGTACACTACGTTCCGTGTCCTCCACCAAACTCGTATTAATTTGTATCGTTGTTTTTGCTCACACACAAACAACCAGCGTCTCTCACTCCCTCCTCTGCTCGCGGACTCCACGTCTCAAGCTGACCAGCTACAAGACTAGTAACCGAGCGAATGATGTTTGTGTTGCTATGCGGGATGCACGGTCGGTACGCCGGGAGTCCGTAGCCTGGCGTAGGTCTTCCTCGCGATCGCCTCGGATCGGATCGGCTGATCAGCTCCACTTGCCGGAGTTCGTAGATCTACTCATGTCATGATGCAGCCAACCCAGGAAAGAAGGTCTACCTACCACTTGTCTTTATCTACAGTTTTTGCGAACGCTCTGGGTCTGACTCACACTCACAGTCCGACTGTCACTTGTCTTGACTTGAGGGGATTAAAGGGGAAGTTAAAGGGGAAGTTCACCCTAAAATCAAAATTTCACAGTTTGTAGATTTCGAGGCGCTGAGTTCGGTGGTGAAGGTCCCATCGCCGTGCGATACGCCGTTCTGGAGATATTTGAATTTGAAATTTCCCATGACGTCATCCAAAATGACGTCATGCGGCCGGCGCACACCCCCTCCACACCCTGTGACGTCAAAGAGATAGAGGCTCGAACCTGCTTGCTTTTTGTGAGCAAGAAAGAGTGGCGTTTGTGGAGTTTCTTTCTTGCGATATGAACAGTTTCAGCCAGGATGCCGTTTTGCTGTGCTTTCGGCTGCTCTAACCAGTCTGGCAAGCCCCCTGGGACTACGGTGCATCGTATTCCGCGGGATAAAGCTCTCCGAGCGGAATGGGTTGCAGCGATTCACCGCGAGAATTTGCCACCTAAGTTTGAGGAGAGTTCTGTGATTTGTTCGGCACATTTTGAAGAGGATGCCTTCCAGAGGAACTTGCAGGAAGAGCTTTTGGGTGGAACGTGCCGCCGAAAGCTAAAAGCAGACGCTGTGCCATCGATTTTCCCGGGCAGGCCTCCCCCAGCGAAGCGAAGGATATCGCAGTATCAGGAGAGGAAGGAGAGAGAAGAGGTGAGTGAATGGTTCTGGTGATTTCGTGCATTGAGAGCGCGTTGAAATTTTGTTTGTACATCGCGAGTTGGAGAGCGCAGTTTCACCCACTGCGTTGAGTACATCGTACTTAGAGAGGAAATTATTTACATGTGCCGGTATTTTGTTTGCAGTGTGTTGATTGCCAGGTATTGAAGGCAGAAGATCGCACAATATAATTATTTGAAATTATTTCCATTATTTACATGTCGTGAAAAGGCATACAGTGGTCACTCTCTGTACTCTGCTTGGCAAGAGGGTCTTGTATTGCATTGTCACTGTTGTCTGTGTGTATTCTGCGAGTAGATCCTAGCTCAAGCCTATGCTGAGCCATACGCCGCAGCATTTCGGTCTCCAGTTGCAGGCCCAGTGAGTCCAGACGATGGCATGACATCTGCTGATGCGTGCACACAGACCCCAGTCGTACTGATGGTGGACTCAAGCACGCAAACGCTTCAGTCGTCTTTACTGGAGACGTTAACGGCTGAATCTGGAACGCAAACTGTCAGTAGCTGCATGTCCATGGCAGAATGCGGCACACAAGCCTCCATCGACATGCAAGAGAAATCAACTCAAACACCACGGCGGGGAAAGCCCCTTTTAAGAACGCATATGGCGTCCCACCTGTTGACACCAACCAGGCCCGCTGTGTCTTTAACGTGTTCGAGTGCGGAGTCAGCTGTGAGTGTGGGCGTTGATCCTATGTCAGAGTCGGAGGCTGAATACTGCCCAAGTTCGTGCAGTGAGGCATCAGAACAGCTCCAGAGTCCGCAGCAGGAGAAAGACAGCATTCACATGGTGCACGAGTCTTCGCTGGACGAGTTGCTAAGGCGCTGTCCAACATGTGGAGCTGTTGTCATTGACCGAAATGATCAGCTAATTGGCGGCATGCTGGTTGTGAAATTAACATGTGCGAGAGGTTGTGACGTTACATGGAGATCACATCGAACAACGGCCAACAGCAACCAGTCACTCTGTAAGTACCTCCCTGTCTCTCTCTTTCTCTCTCTCTCTCTCTCTCTCTCTCTCTCTCTCTCTCTCTCTCTCTCTCTCTCCCTTGTGACGTTCCTGTTACTTCGAAGGTGGGGGAATGCATCATCCTTACCTGCATGTACATGGTTTGCGGAAATCAAGCAATGGATAATTTCACTAAATCTTTGCCTGCATGTTCTTGTGAATTTTCTCTCCCCTGTTCTACTGCTGCAGGCTCCATCCTTCTTGTTGCAGCTATTGTCTTCTCTGGATCCACATTCAACGTTTTCTCTCGCATTGCTGAGTTTCTCAAACTTTCTGTCATCCACAAAACAACTATGTACTCCATCCAAGAACAGTTTGTACTTCCAATCATCCAGGCAGCTTGGTTTGCTGAAAGGACACGCGTCAAGAATTTCTTTGCAGGTATGTAATATCAAGGAGAACCCAAAGGCATTTGGTGGTTTACATGCTTGGTTTGTTGCATGCGGTAGTTCTTCATTGCTTGTACTGATTGGTGCTTGTGCTTCTTTGTCGCGCTTCTTAACAGGGAAGAAACTTGAATTGGCCGGTGATGGTAGGTGTGACAGCCCAGGGTATAGCGCCAAGTACGGAACGTATACACTGATGGAAGTCCAAACGGACTTGATCGTTGATTTCCAGGTAAATGCTCAGACAACATGTCATGGTATTGCTGCTACCGCTACACATACGGCTACTTCTACTACTGCTGAAAAGTGTGTTATTGACGTACTCAGCGGCTATTGTTACTATTGGTTGGGTAGCACCTCTGAGACTGGCTTGATATTTTTATGACACTCTACATTGTTCTGTGTGACTCTGACTTGAATTCTGTAGGTAACAGAGTGCACGGAAACGACAAGCAGCCAAGCTATGGAGAAGTTTGCATTTGAGAACGTGTTGTCCCGCTGCTTGGAGGAGAAGCTTGAGGTGGCCACGATTGTCACAGATCGGAGCCAGTCCATCAAGAAATTGATGAAGGCAAAGAAGGACATAGACCACCAGTTCGATGTTTGGCATTTTGCAAAAAATGTTGCATCCAAGCTTCGAGCAGGCTCCAAAAAGAAAGATCAGCAACCCTTACTAGAGTGGATACCTGCCATCATCAATCACCTGTGGTATTGCAGCAGATCATGCCAGCGCAACCCACAGCTTCTGAGAGAGATGTGGACATCGATTCTATACCACATCTGCAATCAGCATGCCTGGACTTCTGCCGAATTGTTTCTGAAGTGCTCGCACAAACCACTGACTGAAGAGGACCAGAAGCGCAAAAAGTGGCTTAAACCCGGTACGTATTTTCTTCGTTTTTGGCTAGGAAAATAACTTGGATGTTTGCCCATCGCATCAACGATAAAGCCTTATTTCCGTAATTACCTCGCGCTTGCGACAAGGTAGTGAACTTTGTTCTTTTTTCTTTTTTTTTCGTTCTGTCTTTGCTGTCCTAATTATTACTTGTAGACTCAGCACCGTACAAGGTACTCCATTCCGTGGTGTTTGACACAAGACTCCTGAATGACTTGCCACAGCTGACTGGATTTCAGCACACGGGAAACTTAGAGGTAATGTACACACACACCCACACACACACACACGCACGTGTGCACGCGCACACACACACACACACACACACACGTGCGCGCACACACACACACACACACACACAACGTGCATGCACTTGGCTGGCTACACAATAGTAACAGTTTATGATTGCTTTGCCGTGTGTCCATTATGCAGGTGTTCCACAGTGTCATGACGAAGTATGTCCCCAAGCGCATCCACTTCAGCCGGGCGGGTATGGAAGCTCGGACACAGTTAGCTGCCCTGGACCATAATTTCAATGTTGGCCGGCATCAAGCCAAGACAACCAGCGGAGAGCTCCGCTACAAAAGTCAATTTTCGCGTCACAAGGGTGACTACGTAGCCAAGAAGGTGTATGTGGAGAAGTCCTACGACTATGTCGGCCAGCTGATGAACAACGTGCAGCAGGCGGCATTCGGAAAAGAGTTTCCGTCTATACCCATGTACAAGAGTGTCAGCATTTCGCGCCAGACGCCAAAGAAGAAGGCAGATGTGGTAGCCAAGTTGCAATCGAGAATGGCAAAGCTAAGCGACAAGAAAGATGATGTTTGACCGAACTGATCATTATGTGACAGATAGGCTATGTGTATATAATAAAGTACGGTAGGAATAAGATTTTGGTACGTTCTTGTCTCTCCTCTGCTGCTTCCCTTAGCCAGGCCAGTGTGGCTGGTCATCATCTGTTGCTTCTGCAAATCCATGGTATGGTTCACCTGAAAATATAAATCCACAGAGATTTGTAGCAATGAGCTTTCGCCAATGTAATTTTTAGTCATAACTCGTAACATTTTGTCCTCCTTTTTTCACCATACTTTTTTTATTACATCTGTATATAATTCAATAACAATTCGCGCTGCATCAGAACATTACATGACTGGATGTACGAAGTTCAGGATTTGAAGGAAATTTTGTCTTTTGCAGTTGTTGTTGACCGTTACTTGTTATAGTGCTTCTCTGTGTACATGTGTGCTAAAGTGTTATTTAGTTTAGTCTTCTTATTATGACAAGATAATGTACAAATTCTTAGAAAAGATGTGCGCCATTTCCGGCTAGATTTGAAGTTATTTGCACACAATAACCAATGACGTGTACGAAGAGAATTCACCTTCAGCATTAGGGTACTTCCGCCTTATAGCTGAAACTGCACATGATGGTATTCGGTACCGGACTCCTCGGCCAAGTTTTCCGAATACCAGCCATATGTATTGTCGGTATGCTGCATAACGGTACGAGCTGCAGTGGGGAACAGGAGAGTAGATTTTCCTGCTGTTAGTCTCCCATGTCGACGTACATTTCATTGTAACAGCAGCACACTACAACACAATTATTTTTGACGAAGTATACAAGCCAATATCCTGGCTATATCTTTGCACCAGGGAACACTATTTATTTTGATGAGGAAATACATTTCTCCAATGCAACATCAACGACAGTATTACACTACAGTATTAGCACGTACCGGTTTTCAAATTCAGATGGCTTCGATCCGGCCGGCTGATGGATGGTGTCCAAATAGCCGCGCAGTGCAATGTAGAGCGCGTGCTGGTTGCTGCAGCCTTCCTCGAACTGTGAGGTGCAAGAAATGCAGCCAGACTCACCAATCGCTGCCGATTCCGGAACATCTTTGCAGCAAATGCAGTCGTTCCGCAATAACTGAACGACGCATTTGCCACATTCACACCACGACGTATTGCCAACGCGATCGGCAGGTGGCCAGCAGTCCTCTAAGCAAGCTGCAGGGTCAGTGTCGGCAGCAGCTGCTGCAGCTTCGTCAGCATTTACACCAACTTGCTCCGCACTCGCCATCTGCATGATCTCATCCTCGGTATACTCTGGTTCCTTCGCGTATGCGAGGACATCACTGGCGTCCAACTCGCTCTCTTCGGAGTCGCTGTCATCTCCTGACAAGGAGCTAGACCTACCGTCTGAATCGTCTCCGCTCATACTGTTTCCGCCTTGGACATTCACGACTTCACTTTCTTCTCCGTCCAACTCCAGGTAAAACTTCCGAGCTCCAGGAGCTCCTCTATCTCTTTGACGTCACAGCTCCGTGACGCCATGGCGGCGCCAAAAACCGGGGATCAAAGTGATATTTCAGTTGCGTATATCTCCGGTTACAGTCACCGGATGAAGACGAGACATACACCAATCGACTCAGCTGATTTTTCCCAATAACATATCTGATTTTGATTTTAGGGTGAACTTCCCCTTTAAGGCAAAAATTAAAATTTCACCAGTTGTAGTCTTCGGGGTGCTGAGTCGAATGGTCTTGGTCCGAGGAAGCTGAGACGCTCCCTTCCTACTTGAATCCCAATCGAACTCGCGCACTTCCACCGAAACTGGGTGACTGCGCCCTACTAGATGGGGATTTGTATGCAAAATGTCACTAAAAGCGCCATTTCGTTCTTATAAAAGCACGGATGACCGCGATTGGCCCATATGTTGTAGTCTTTTGGACGCTGAGTCGACTGGTTTTGGTCCGAAAAGGCTGCGATGCAGCGTTCCTCCTTTATTCCCAATCGAACATGGTTGAAGGAGCAGTCACGTGGTCCTGGGTGCCCAAATCACCTGGTCACCACGCCAGCAGGTGACAACTTTCACACCAAGGTTCAACTCGAGTTCAACTCGAGTGACAGGACTGCACCCAAAAAAGGTCAAACAGGCTAGTAAGTTGTACCCTGCAGGCACGGTGACCAGCTGACTGGTGTACGCAGGAGCACGTGACCGCTTCTTCAACCATGTTCGATTGGGAATAAAGGAGGAACGCCGCATCGCAGCCTTTTCGGACCAAAACCAGTCGACTCAGCGTCCAAAAGACTACAACATATGGGCCAATCGCGGTCATCCGTGCTTTTATAAGAACGAAATGGCGCTTTTAGTGACATTTTGCATACAAATCCCCATCTAGTAGGGCGCAGTCACCCAGTTTCGGTGGAAGTGCGCGAGTTCGATTGGGATTCAAGTAGGAAGGGAGCGTCTCAGCTTCCTCGGACCACGACCATTCGACTCAGCACCCCGAAGACTACAACTGGTGAAATTTTAATTTTTGCCTTAACTTCCCCTTTAAATGCTGAGACTCAGTGAGAGTGAGACTGACAGACAGTACAGTCAGTGAGTTTTGCAGCTCGCTGAGCTCAGACATTCGGAGAGACTGACAACAGTTGACCATAATGCATACCGGTAGTTGACAGCGTCAGCAGCGAGTTGACTTCTTTATCATTCTACCGTATGACGCCACGGTTACATACGATTGGTATGTTCGGAGATCCCGATTCTGCGATACGGAAACCGTGTGTACTCGCACGTACGTGCACGTGCACACACGGTGGAATGACTTCCGCCGATGATCGATGAGTCGATGACACTGAATCCGATGATTCATTTCTATTCATGTAGAATCTACATTGTACACGTACTTGAACTATGGCCGTGATCGTTTGGTCGGATCCAGATCCAGATCCATCGGATCCACTGGATCTGCAATGATCGATTGGTCGAATCCGGATCCAGATCCTTCGGATTTGGATCCGAGCAACCCTGCCCCGGGAGCAGGGTTGACTGGATCCATCGGATCCAAATGTGACCTTTGTGCGTACATGTATATGGTGGGTAAAAATCATTTTTATACTCATTGTCGTACGTCTAGTGGACTTTTGTTGACTTTTCGTACGACGCGGGCGATCAGTACGACTTGTGCCTTTTTTGGGTGACCTGTCAGCGCCATTTTTTACTTCGTCAACATGGCAACAGCCAAGGTCCGCAAAAAAGTGTTCGGTTGATTCTGAAGGATCCGACGGATCTGAGATTTGGATCTGGATCTGGATCCGACCAAACGATCATAGCCTAAATCTTGAAAAGTAATTTAGTTGAAGTAACAAAGTCATGTAACAGTACACGTAGATAGTAGTAGTAGAATTTATTATTTTGATAGGGAAGGCCCTACAGACGTTGCCGTCTTGTTACAGGGAACTCTAAGTGCTCTTTACAGAGCGGAACAAAAACGGATAGATGCTCAACCTGACGACACGAGACAGGCAGAGAATTCCACCTATCAGCGCCAAGGAAAGAAATACAGAACATGCCATATCTAGTGGCAGCAGCGGGCAAAGAAAATGAAGAGAACGATTGCCCTCTAGTGCGTCTCTCGGTGCAAGTAGCAGCCGACTGGAGGGTGAACATTGAGGAAAGAAGAGGACTTGTAAGCTTATGAATACAGCGGAAAACAAAAATAAAAAGCCTCAAGTTGAGACGAGATTCGAGGGAGTATAACTTAGCGTGCCGCAAAACAAAGACAGTCGGGGTACGGAGAGGGAGACCAAAAACCTTTTTCATGCTGATATGACTTAAAGTAACAAGGCGAGAGTATAAAGGTGGTGTCAGACAGTGAGCCGCATGATACGAGTTGCTGGCGTATTCAATAGTGGATTGGATGAGAGATAAATAAAATATTCGCTTAGTTGTGTGATCTACTGTACGGCGGCAGCGGCGGAATGCTCCTATCTTCTTATAAACAGATGTACATACATGGGATCTACTCGGCGGACACCACTGACTGTACTTCCCCGGCACTTGGCACTTTTCTTTTGTATTATCATTATTGCCGTGTCGGAACATCCGACCAACCTCGGCCTCGTCTACAGAGAGCACCTTCTCACGACAGTGTCATGGTGGTGACAGTATTAAACTGAGTCTGTTGTCAGCTGACGAGCTGAGAGAGGGACGCCATATCCATGGGCAGAAGTTGGAGTATAAAGAGAAGGAACTACTTCAAGTTAGAAGTTGCGACTTCGGCGGTAATAGTCATGTTGATTGTTCCAACTAGGAACACACGCTTCCTGCCGAACTTGACACTTGACTGACTCACGACTGCCATCCGGAGCACACGAGGAGCACGTCGCACCTTCCAGCCTGGTTCCACTCGGCAAACCTGCAAGAAAGCACCACTCCCTGCTCACAGTGTTTCGGGGAATTCACCCCATTCTTCATCATTTGTGAGAACTAGACCTGGTCTAGTGAGAAGGCATTCTACTGCCTGTATATTCTGGTGAAGTAAAATAAAGTAACAACAACAACAACAACCCCTCATCAGTGCAGTTTTAATATTAATTTTTTACGATATGTAGCCGCATGCGAGCGCGACGCGACCGCTCATACCAACGTCATGGTAACAAAAATGCGTAGGAGACGCGCTGATTTTCACGGTACGAAAAGCTCGCTTTTAATTTTTTGTTCATTTTGAAAACAATCGACACACAGTACAGGTCGGGCCGGTAGCAGCATGCTAGCAGTGTCTGATTCATTTGCCTTTCAAAGAAAAGTGAACTATTTGGCAGCCGTTCAACTCAGAATCTTCTTGTCTGGAGAGCTTCACAAGGGGTCCTTTACTGTTGGCATCTTCAGCATGGAACAAGCCGGAGATACGGTTGGTCATGATCGCTATCCGCTTGGGATTCGAGAATGAACACACTCGATTATCTATTATGCTGCATTTTTGTTCCTTTTCATTGTCAGGAGAATGTAGGTGAGCCAATGGCAACAGAGGAGCCCGAAGCTGTTTCTGGTGAGCCGAATGGATCAGGCACCCATACTGCTATGCAGGCAGCTCAAGTCGAGGTATTTTTTTTGTTAATTTTACGCTGAGCACTGGGGAATTTAGTAAAAAGAATGGTCTACCAGTACTCGTATGAATCAGTCAATCATTGTGTGTGCTCCAGTACACGTGATAGGTATTATTAGGTCATACTTGTAGTAGAAGTTTTACTAGTTACTTGTGGATTCATCAGAGAGGAGAGTGCATACAGTGTGTGTTACTCCTACATGGGAGCCCACGTATTTTCTACCGTCTTGACACTTGACTGACTCATGAGTCTCGAATCTCGACTGCCGTCTACAGCACACGAGAAGTCCATAGAACCTTCTACTGGGCAAACCTGGAATAATACACCACTCCCGGCTTAATACACAGTGTTTCGGGCAGTTCATAACTCATAAGTTGAGCTTGAGTGTGCTTCCCGTGTGCTCTGGATATCAATCGTGGGTCAGTCAAGTCAAGACGGCGGGAGATGCACAACCCCCCACATATGGAGCAACACACATAGTTTCTCTACCATCACCGAAATCACTAGCATACCTCTATTTAAATAAGCGACGTGGAGACAATAATTTAATGATGGCATAAGGACGGCAATAAACAGAATCAGCTGAAGCGTCATGTCACTAAGGTTTTACTGAGCTGTCACGAACAAATTCTAGAGAAATGATAGCAATGAATAATATTACATGTAGTTCCGCGGTTGTGTGACATGACCGCGGAACTAATATTATTCATTGCTATCATACCTAGAGCTCTATTTCATAGGAGAGTGCACGTTTGTAAGATTCATGACAGCATCACAAGCTGTCCCTCCTCGACGGAACGATACACAATGCCGATGTAGGACACCCTCAACTATTGTGTGCAAGGTCAATTGTCATCCCCCGTCAGCTGAGCTTGAGTAGGCTTCTTGTGTGCTCTGGTTGGCAGTCGTGAGTCGGTTACGTGTACTAGCATTATATTAACCCTTATTACCGGATTACTTGCACAGCATGCACCAGGATTACGAATTTCAGCACAATTTCCAAGTTCACCAGGTCATAACTTTGGTCTCCTTCACTTGATTTTTAAAATCTAGGGCTCATTGGAAAGCTCTTGGCGAGAGCAACGCCAGGGTACCAAGCTCCATTATCCAATCGCCACAGATCAGGCGCGGTAACATAGCAAAGTCGTCTCCAAGCCTGATATGCAAGCAAATTCGTCCCATCAACGCCATTCCACTCTCCTTCTTCGCAGAACGCTCAAATTTGTTTGAGACGATTCAAACCTCAGCTGACTACGTCATTATCATGTGCTTAGTCGCTCAAAGAGTGCACGAAAAGGGATTATCCCAAAAAATGGCGAAGTGATCGATCAAAAATTTGAATTTGCCGAGGTGAGAATACGGCGCGCGATATCTCTGGTGTCCGACATCGTAACTCTTCGGTGATTGTTGCATTGGATAGCTTGGAGTTTCCGCTACCAAATAGACCTTTCGATTGTTGAATTCGCACAAGAAATGATCGAGTTACGAAGATATTACTGGCCTGCAGACTTTCGATCATATATGATCGAAAGTCTGCAGGCCGGTAATAAAGGGTTAAGACCGCATCTGAGTGAAGTGTGTATATGGTGCTACTGTTGATTGCTGTTTTTTTGTTAATGCACTCTTACTCTTGCAATCTGCATGCAGCCAGTTACCTGGTGAAGCCCAGCTGTATGGAAATACTGATTCGGTGCGTGTGTGTGTCGCTTCTCTTCAGAAACTGGTTGCCGGTGATGAGGCTGCCGTGCAAAGCCTAGCGTCCGGCAAGAATGTTGTCGACTTGCAGTCACTACCCACCAGACAATACTTAGACCAGACTGTAGTACCGATCCTACTGCAGGCAATGGCCGAAACAGCCAGGGAGAGGTAAGTCTTGTATCCTGCACTGGAATCATTTCAATATCCATGATAATGATTGAAACTGCATCCCTTGGCAGTAGATGAAGGCATTATCACTGGATCATTTCTTGGTGTCACGGGAAGACCAATGTGACAGCCGATGTCCTATTCATGTTGAAGTTGGGTTTGGGTTCTTGTGTTTCCAGGCCGCCAAATCCAGTGGAATACCTAGCTGCCTTTCTGCTTAAAAACAAGGACATGGTCGAACAGTTCTCTTCAGCGACGGAAACAGCTAGCACAGCTACAAAAAGCTTAGCTAGCCCAGCGCCAACACCCAAACCGACGTAGTTCACCAATCCCCCCCCCCCCCCCCCCCTTTGTACTTATGCCATTAGAGTAGGATCCTTCTTTAGAATATTAATATGCATGAATCTAGGCGAAACAATGTTTTGCTGTACAGTTTATATGCACGGCTGATACCGAAAAATCTTCTATCGCCGAAGCCGCTCCTCTGCAACTCTATACATGTACTAGTACCTACACTACGTAGGCGTGTTTGTGTATAAAATACATAGTCTATGTGTAGTGTACATTGTTTATTCTTTACTGAGATCAAGCATGTCTTTGTGGACTTGTTTGAAAATTGAGTAACATGCATGCCCAAAACTTCTACAGCTCCGCAAGCATCAGTTCCAATGCGGTGGCAGTATTACCAGGGTCTTGTTTTTTTACTGCTGGCTTGTGTTGCTCCTTTTTTTGGGACAAAGATGTAAAAACACTAGGTAAACTATTGTTTTCTACATATCGTACTTTCCAATTTCAGATGTTACCAGCAGTCTCGTCCACAGAGCGAAACAATTTGTTTCTATTTCCAAGGCGCTGTATACATTTTTGCTGCTCTTTAAGTTTTTTATTTTTTACAGCTTACGTTTATACTTAGCTGTATTTGGCTGCTGTCCGAAATGTAGGCAGACTACATGTACCAGGACTTCTACTCCTTGTTTGATACAATTCTTCGTCTGTTTTGAGAATTTCTAGCTGCGCCTAGTATAACTGCTATTAATCGTACCGAAACAAGTGAACAGGCCGTGCACAGTCGAGTCGGTGTTCTATACAGTAGAGTTGGACTTGAAGCACACGGTGCAACAGTGAAAGCACATAGGAAACGAATAGGGCTGAAACCATCGTAGCAAATAGTGTCAGAAATTTGTGCAAAAATTACTGTTTCCACAAGCCTGGTCTTCATAATACCAACAAATCTGCATTAGTGAAAGGGTAGCTCTGAAACACGGTCGTTTTGAAGAAGTCAGTTGAATCGCAGAACATGAGCCATACCCTTGGCAACTGCATACTCACAGCGAAAACTGATTCGAACTTCGCCCATATGGGGATTTTCAGTCTTTTTGGACTCTAAATCCCTAACGAGTAATCTATAACGTAACGATTAGCTGATTAGTTGATTGTTCAGGAAATATCGATTGAATAGCGAGTAATTGGTATACTGGTAATCGTTTCGGCCCTAGAAAGAAAGAGAGCAGGGGCATCCCCTCTCCCCCTATCTAGACATTCAGCTTTGTTCCGGCGAGGAGTTGTCTTCATACAAGGCAACCAAGCAGATGATTCCACAGCTTTCAAAGTGATAGGCACCAACAAACCTTCCAGCTAGCTAAGTCCATTTCCTCATAACATCTGCCACAGTATGCCTCATCTCAAATATACGCTGTGTTTGTGTTAATTTTAAAACGTCATTGCGAGAGAAAGAAAATCATAATTTTGCCCATGTAACGAAAGCAAAGAAAAAAAACACACGTAAAAGCAGCACACATGTGTGATCCACACAACTATGTTCATAGCAACATAACACGTACAACACGAGAACACTAGGAGGAGAGGGTAGCATACAGGAGGACAAACACACACAAACACAAACACATAAGCACACCTGGAGGGCAAGGGAGGCAGAAGTTTGCTGTTTAAAAAAATATGAATTGTGCTTCTGTATGGTAAGCTGCAAACAATGACAATTTGCCATTACTGGCACACCCACATGATCTGCACGAGGTGGCAACCCGCTCATACAGACACAGTGCCGTGCCTGGCTCTGCGGGGACATGGACGATTCGGCTGGTGGGATATAGAGATGCAACCTGTACAGGCGTACTCCACAGGAACTCAACACGCTCGACAAGGAAAGTGTATACTGTTGGGCAATAGAGAGGGAAAGAGATCGGCACAACAGACAGCGTATATCTACAGAAGAGCACATGTCTCACAACCAGCACGCAACTTGTGTTCAGTGCAGTTAACAGGTTGAGCAGCAGGCACAGCAGTGCAGCACGATGCGGCATAAGAGCACGGTCGGCGACAGCTAATTCAATCATCATATGCTTGCTGAAGCAAGAAGTTTGCTGCGAGATCCTCGTTCTTGTCACAAGCAAAGTATGCTTCAACCACTTTATATTCTGCAAATCCAAGAGCCTTCAGCTAGAACAGAAAAAAAAGAAAAGAAAAGTAGATATAACCAGCTGCATTAGTGACAGTGTGCCGAAACGACGTACATACTCCTAGCTTTTGCAAAGCATCACGACCATACATACATCACACGGTAGTGTCAATAACGTTAGTCATAGACGGAAGGACAGATATCATGCATGCATGCATATGGGGGGGGGGGGGGGGGTGCGTGCGCGTACACGTGTGTGTGTGTGTGTGTAAGTGTGTAAAGTCAACTTCGCTAAGGCCGTCATCACACTACGTTCTCCGACTCCTGTTTACGTCTACAGTGAAAAAACCAAAACGGGTATGTAGTCGTGTCATCAGACAGGCACAGTTCTTGACGCGTACCCACAGTCACGGTTTTGGAGAAATATGAACGAAAGTACATCGAAGTACAAGGTCGCTCGGAAAAATGGCTGGGGGAGATACGCACGTTCATCCAAAAAGTCGTATACCCCCCCCCCCTCCCTACCAGGTCTACGTTTCCCGTTTTCAACCCGTATACGGATCATGACAACCGACAAAAAAACCCTTACGTGGACGTAGACGCAGCGCTTTGTACCATGGTGTGATGACAGCCTAATAACGACTACGGATATAACGACAATTCGCGTATAACGACAGAATTTCCATGCCCAGAGCAAAGTCCCATCTAACTGTGATACATATGATGAGACTTCGGGTAGAATGACACTTTTCTGATGCCCCACTGAGTGTCGTTATACGCAAAGTTGACTGTATGTGCGGTAGAAACAAAAAAAAGGCTACATACATGATGATTGTACATGTAGTCACTTTGGAAGGTCTGAGAAATGTTCTTGGTTTCCTCTTAGCATGCTAGCACGGCTGGAGGCCCTGTGGGACATCCATTAACCTTTCATGCTAAGGATACGCGAGGTACTCTCTTACCCGTTCAATAGCTTCTTTCTCCTCAGCAGTCACATACATGACATTAGAACCCTCGCCTCCCGGCATGACGGGCTGTCCACCGATAGTGGGAGCGCTACCGCCAGCGGGCTGGCCTGCTGTGCCACCTTGCTCAGCGGGAAAGTTGAGGTCAGGCTCGTTCATCATGTCAATGAAATCTTGCTGATTGTGGCTGATCAGCTCCAGGAGACCTGGATTCTGAGAGCCGATCTGCTGCAGCAGAGCTGGAAGCATTTGAGGGTTCTGACGAATAACATTTCGAACCTGATCAAATTGCGGCATTGTGCGTAGTGCTGCCAGTGCATTACCTGGAAACAAGGAGGACACGTTTACACATCAACCATATGAAAGCGGCAACACATGAAAAAAGGTGCACATAACGTGTCCACAGAAACACAGGAAGGTATGTGACAAAGGAATAACAGTCGTGTACCAAGCATCAAGAACAAAATGCACTGCACGGTAAACACCAATGCTCTATTTCTACTCGAGAGCATGTGAAATGCGAAGACCCAATCTTTACGAGTATGATCCTTGGAATAGCCGACATGGCGATACAGAATACAGTGTGCACCCCTGCTCTAGGTAGACAGTTGAACTACTCGTTCACCTGTGGAAGAGGAGTGTGCCCTCTTCTAATATTCATCAACAAAGAGCTTCACTACTTTTTTTACTTCTGAAGCGATCAACCACCAGCAACAAACTGACAAGCTCCCGTATACATTGACAGCTTTACACAACAATCGATCTGATTTATCAGAAGCGCAACATCAACGAGAGTGCTCAACTGACCTGCACCTGAAGCTGGTGTCGGCTGAGATGTTGATGAGGAAGATGTACCAGCAGATGTATCCATTGGTGCACCGCCAGAGGATGGCGGTGCTGTAGTTGCAGGAGCTGCTGGGGCGTTTAGGCCTAAGTCGGTTTTGACACTCTCAGGAATACCCTAAAAGCAAAATTGAACGACAAAGATCGTATGTCAAATAGCGTCACATTCCCAAATGGGAATCACTTGGAATCACTCGGAATCATTCTCGCCCGTTTGGTTGGTCAAAAAAGTGCGTTAGGTTGGTCACATTCCACATGATTCCAGAATGGGAATCGCTGAGAACGATTCTTTTTGGAGAATGATCATTCCACCTCACATGCTGGAATGAGCATTCTCATTCCGGAATCAAAAATGATAATGGCTGCCACGAGCCAAACAATGTAGCAACAGGTTCAAGTGCCTCAAATCATGCACTCAGAAGTACCATGACTCTCTCAAGGAAACTTGAGTCGGGTAAATGAAAAGACAGCCGCCGTTCCACAACGACATCATGGAATTGTTATATCAAGTGATTCCTAATTGATTCTGGCGCGTTAGTTTGGTCAGGTGATTCTTGCCGATTCCCATTCCAGAATGGCTGTCATACATTCTGAAAATGCCCAACCAAACGCAACCCGAGTGTCATGAAACTACATTTCAGGGTCTTCAATGTGTGCTCGATATGAGTTCCAACTGCATAAGCACATACATAACAAGACACACTTGAACCAAGTACATGTACAGTGGGTATCGGCAAGAGTACATGAAAACCAGAGTGTGCAGCTTGGGGCCTTTTCTGCTATGGGTGTCTGTCACGGCGAAATTCCGTGATTACATCATATTTGGCCCAGATCTGAGGCGGGAAATGGCGTAGTGCGTACAACTGAGCTGCAGTTGTGCAGAAAGAGACCTGCTTGAATCCTGCTTGTACGCACTACATCACTAAAATGATGTAATCACGGAATTCCGCCGTGACAGCCACCCATCCGAGCTGCACACTCTGGTTTTCATGTACTCTTGGTATCGGTTATAGAGGGGGTGTTTGAAAAACGACTTTCTATTCTTATTTCCGATATTTCTTACACGGGATAAATCAAGGGTGACATATAATACGCATGTGCGCAGAGGTAGGGAGGGGGAGGGACTTTCTATTCTTATTTTCGATATTTCTTACACGTGATAAATCAAGTGTGACATAATTATAAGATGCATGTGCGCAGAGGTAGGGGGGCCATCATACATGTAAAGTATCGCTGCTGTGCATGCGGGTGTTCATAGTCCCATAAGCTCACCATGTGGCTATGCACTAAGTTATGAGTTACATGACAACAACAGTTGAACATGCAGCACTACAATGCAGTGCGAGTCGGATCAGAACTGCATTGGACAGATGGTATTACTACAGGCGATACTAATCTGGCATGTTTTGCTACACAAAGTCCATTCTTAGGACCGATATATTCTACTATGCGACTTTGGTTGTAAGAATTTGGTCGTAAAAAGAAAACATATGAGAGTTCATTCTTGTAGGCAGTATTTTCTTTTACACGACCACACTATAACCGCTACGCACTGTACATGACTGTAGAGATGGATGCTCACACGTAGATATCTAAACAAGTAGTGTTCATCATTATGACGATAAAGCTCAGTTTGATTTGTCAACAAAACAGTTCGCGCAAATATGTTATTCCCCCTTCAAGTGCAAGTCATCATCATGGTTATCGTTCTGACGGCTGAGCCGAGTGGATCGACACAGTACTGTCGGGCGCAGAAGAACGGACTTCAGAACTCAGCGCCATGGCCCAGGATCGAGTAGCTTGGAGAGGCGTTATGTTGTCTGATGATTGGCCCTATTGCCATTAACCCTTTGGCTCCCCCATAACTCCACTATTTAGCAATAGCCATAATTTTCGCTCAAATTGTGTCAACTTTTGGTCATAACTTACGTTCTAGTAGCCTGATTTCCACATTCTTGGGCTCTCCGGAAAGCTCTTCTCAGCGCGAACACAATGCGCCATCACCGAGTGAAATCAGAGTAGCAGGCCCAGCTCTACAGCCCAGCGAAGGTACCACATCGCTGGGAATGCCCTCAATCCCTTTCTTCTTCAGCCATTTCAATTTCCTTGCTCGCCCAGCTCTGATTTTTTTTGTACTGCCGTAGCAGGTAGCCTGCACCATGATTTACGCAAAAAAATTCATCACAGGTACTTGAGAACAAGGGGAATTCCCCGGTTCATGCTCAAAAATGTGCTCGGAACGAGAAAAGTGCCGTCCTCCAACTTTCGAGCGCGATATCTCAACAACCGTTGGAGCTATCGTGAAAACGATTGCACCAACGGAAAGCTGAGGACTTCAGCTACACCCTACATACTTCGATTTTCACGATAGTGCAATATTTGAATGAGTTATGGCTGTTTGAAGTCATCGACGGAATACCGTCGAAATTTGTATAGTGGGGAGCCAAAGGGTTAAACTCTCGAGCTATGACAAAACAAAGTTTCCCGCCATTGTGAAATTGTGTACTAATATGTACCGGGCTAGCTGGGCTGGCAAGTCACCGCAAGCAATCCCGTACACACGGTACAGTGTGTCTGGATTTTGTCAGGCTCAGATCAGTGCAGCACAGTACCGCGGGGACGCAATAGTGTCCGCATTTTGTATTTCACAGGTGACCACAATTTTCAAGTGCCAGCCCAAACTAAAATGTACACAAAACGAGAGAGCTTGGAAGCTCAGGGCCCTGCGCTATGCTTTGTTGCCTAGCTCATCGTGCATGTTGTTAGATCTGATGGAAATGCTTTTTCCTTTGATTAGCTACATCATTGTATTGCAAAAACGTTTCAATGATATACTGAAGTACAAGTAACGCCTTCTGCATAGCTATGGGACCGGCGCTGACTCTGCCGATCACGGGCGTTCTGGAGTCGACGGGATGTCTGTCCTGACGTTTCTTGGGACCGGCGCTGACTCTGCCGATCACGGGCGTTCTTCTTCTTCTTATTATTATACTGACGGCAACTAACATCCATTCCTATTGCATTTACTCGTCTCCCTACTTCGTATTTTTTTCAGAAAAGCTCCCCATACAGCAGGGAGTCGTTTACATAATATGACTCCCTGCTGTATGGGGAGATTTTCTGATTGCATTCACTCGTCTCCCTACTTCGTATTTTTTTCAGAAAATCTCCCCATACAGCTGGGAGTCGTTTACATAATATGACTCCCTGCTATAGATCTACATGACTGTATATACGTTATAATTACTCAATCTGATACGTTATAATTATTATGCTATCAGCCTACATGCGATCCCCGGGCTGGTCGACAGGCGGACCAGCCAGCCTGCTAGTGGGTTCTCGGCCTCGCACACAAATCCACACAAAATGTTACTGCACTGAATGCATTCCCCCGATACACTTCGCATATATACTCATTCTCTTGATGGTACCGTACTCTTGATGGTACGGGACAGGTAGGGGATAGCGCCAGGCATGTCGATGGCACAAACAAACAAACATATAGTAGCCAGCTGTCTTTGCTGGTACGATACAGTACGGTACAGATACGGGATAGCGCCAGGCGTGACACAAACAAACAAACAAACAAACACCAAATTAAAGCTGTGTGGACCCTGGCTAGCGCCAGACGTTACTGAAGTAACGTCTTCTGCATAGCTACGGGAATAAATGGGACTGCGACGAGCTGTCTTCACTTTACAGGTGTCCGCAAGGACAGGTTTCGCCATATTAGAAAATAGATTGTGTCTCCACAACTATCTTTCCAATGGAACTGCATGTACAAAGCATTGAGAACAATACCAGTGCTCGTCAGCAAAAGAGAACACAGCAAAGGAAAAGCTTGACATACCGTCATCAGGTACTCTACAGCACGATCTGGATTGTTGAAGCTGGCACGGAGAGCAAGACGAACCTAACACGAGAGTGACAGAAAGGGAACAAAAAATACACAGAACCCAAAGAGAGATACAAGCAAATCACATAGAGTAGATCAGTGATGAGCACCTAGCGGTGTACACTACATGTAGTGCAAGAGCAATTGGACCAATCCATTAAAGGGGAAGTTAAGGCAAAAATTAAAATTTCATCAGTTGTAGTCTTCGGGGTGCTGAGTCGAATGGTCGTGGTCCGAGGAAGCTGAGACGCTCCCTTCCTACTTGAATCCCAATCGAACTCGCGCACTTCCACCGAAACTGGGTGACTGCGCCCTACTAGATGGGGATTTGTATGCAAAATGTCACTAAAAGCGCCATTTCGTTCTTATAAAAGCACGGATGACCGCGATTGGCCCATATGTTGTAGTCTTTGGGACGCTGAGTCGACTGGTTTTGGTCCGAAAAGGCTGCGATGCAGCGTTCCTCCTTTATTCCCAATCGAACATGGTTGAAGAAGCGGTCACGTGGTCCTGGGTGCCCAAATCACCTGGTCACCACGCCAGCAGGTGACAACTTTCACACCAAGGTTCAACTCGGGTTCAACTCGAGTGACAGGACTGCACCCAAAAAAGGTCAAACAGGCTAGTAAGTTGTACCCTGCAGGCACGGTGACCAGCTGACTGGTGTACGCAGGAGCACGTGACCGTTTCTTCAACCATGTTCGATTGGGAATAAAGGAGGAACGCTGCATCGCAGCCTTTTCGGACCAAAACCAGTCGACTCAGCGTCCAAAAGACTACAACATATGGGCCAATCGCGGTCATCCGTGCTTTTATAAGAACGAAATGGCGCTTTTAGTGACATTTTGCATACAAATCCCCATCTAGTAGGGCCCAGTCACCCAGTTTCGGTGGAAGTGCGCGAGTTCGATTGGGATTCAAGTAGGAAGGGAGCGTCTCAGCTTTCTCGGACCAAGACCATTCGACTCAGCACCCCGAAGACTACAACTGGTGAAATTTTAATTTTTGCCTTAACTTCCCCTTTTATCGGACAAGCAAAGGCAAAACATTGCTACAAAGGAAAGGCAAAGTTGCAATCAGCTGCAAAAAGAACACCAGACGCAGAACACAATCTTCTCACTGACCTGTGATGCTTCAAATCCCATCTGACAGAGCTGAGCTACCATGCCGTCAAACTCGGCATCCACTGCTGTGGCGTAAAACACACACACACACACACACACACACACACACACACACACACACACACACACACACACACACACACACACACACACACACACACAACAGTTCAATGCACACCGTGTTGACTTCAACAGGTAGAATCAAGGAGTAGCACGGAGCCGTTTTTCCTCAGTGAGTCTACTCTGTTGCGTGCTTTCACCAAGCTGGAAGGCAGCCTTACCACTGTGCCGGAGAAAAAGGATGACATGGATTAACTTAAGGGTAACAGTGCAGCTTGTCTTCTTGGTCACGATTTAAACTTCTGAAATCTGGACAATCAAATTCAACAGCTTGGAGTGATGAAAGTGTGGTATGTGCAAACTATTGTAACTTGCTAAATATTCACCAATTTTACAACAGAGGTGGAAAGTCATAGCTGACGGCTCACACAACTCCGACCTCTCTACGCAGACGTATTCTGAAAGTAAAACATTCATAACTTTGTCGTGATCAGTAGAAAGTATTAGACATGTTACGAGTCCATTTCAAAACTATAGACGCGTACCTAGGCAAAAACCGTTATGCCAGCATCTATACCACATAAAATCTGTGATCACTTTGTGCATAATTTTTTCCAAATTGGGCGTCTGTTATCCAATCGTTTAGAAACTATAATTATGAGAGTAATTGTGGAGCGGTCCTGAGCAATATTCCGAAAACTATTCTCAAAAAGTTCTAGCCAAATTTGAATTATTTCAAAAACCCTAGTTTTGAAATGGACTGTAGACATGTACCAACTCACTGACATCATCGATGACGTCATAGCGATTTAACCCTAAAACCGGGGGATTTAACCCTAATTTTCCGATTTACGGTAATTTTTGCGATTTAACCTAAAATCGGAGCGTTTTACATATGACGTAATGCGATTTAACCCTAATAACCGAGGCGTTTTAACCCTAAAAATCGGGGCATATTAACCCTAATAATCCCGGTAACCCTAACCCTATCACTAGGGACTTCAGACCACGTGACTTCTTGGCCCAAAAGCGTGCAAATCGACGCCTGCACAAATCGTGTGATGGTCATATGTCAAGTCGTGTAGAGAAATGTGGAACCGTTTTTCGAAATGAAGGAAGTCTTGTACAGTTGGAGAAAGTTTCGGTTCGTCTTGTTGGAGCTTGCCTTCGTTTGGGACCAGCAAGAATGGAGCTGTTACGTTCATTTTTGACGGAGTTACGTATGCGGATGGAAGGGAAAGGTGAGAAACCATATGATCCGTCCGGGTCCCCTTCTTGAAAATGTGACATTCGTATTCTACGACCTCGAATTAGTCTAGATAGAAGGTAATCTTTATTGTTTTCACCTTCCAGAAGACCTATTTCTTGCATTATTCCTCTTTGTACTTTGCCGTGCAGCGCCGCCATAGTCACAGTATGGAAAGCAGCGAGAAGTATCCTGCGCTAAATGATGCTGATGTACAAATTGAATTGCTCTTGGCTGTTTCGGTCCATGCCTCGATTCTTGTCTCCGATGCTGTTATGCTCGATCTGGTTGAGCTCCGCAAGAATAGCTGAAAGAGTGCCGAACTGGGAGATGTGCTATATACTCTTGTTGCTATTTGCTGTATCTCTGCCGATGATGATGTGCGTGCTACGATTACCCCAGCCAATACAATGTCCTGTACATGTACATGTTGAGCTTAGTCAGTGCCTCTTCCGTGATCATTCTTTTTCTTGACACCAACCACGCCAACAGTCCGAAGCTATCTCAGGACTGTATTATCAATGTCTCCTGTTACTAACCACTACATTGTAAACCATACTATTCAGCTATTTCATGCGGAGAATCAAGATTGTTTTTGGATCTGGTGTACGGTTGCTATGCGTTGCCAAGGACAGTGGGTTCTCTCAGTTTGACATATCTCTCTGATCTCAAATGTGTGGGACGTTTGTTGGACAAATCCGGTGATAGGCGATGACTATTTTGCTTGTAACTTTAGTTTCCTTTGTCCGATTTAGAAAAACTAAAGACCAAACTCCTCAGGAAGCTCTAACCTATCCAAAAAGCAAAACATAAGCCACAGAAAACCAATTTGAAAAAATGGTCTGAAGTCCCTACTATCACCAAGGCGATAACCCTAATATTTCTGATGATGATAACCCCAAGTTAACCCTAACCCTATCACCATGATGATAACCCTATCACCATGATGATAACCCTAACCCTATTAAACACCATGACCATAACCCTAATATTCCTGATAACCCTATCACCATGACGATAGCCCTAAATTTTACTGGTGGTGATAACCTTATCACCATTACGATAACCCTAATATTTCCTGTGACGATAACCCTAACACCATGACGATAACCCGTAATTTTTCTGGAGACAATAACCCTAGTAGCCCTTGTAACCCTATCACCATGACAATCCTATTGCCATGTCAACTCTACTCTTTTTATGTGTGCACACTGTCTGCATCAACCGGAGAGCAGCAAAATGTCGATATTTTCCCCCTCCTCGCGATGCTCATAGTACGCACAGCGTACTCGGATCGGGCGCAAGTTTCTGGAATCAACTAGAACCGACGACAAGTTTGAGCGCGACACGGGGTCCATCACCATCATCTTTAGCGGTTTTCAACTATATGAATCGCGCACGTTTCAAAGAGATGTAGTACTCACGTCACCGCTCAATTTACCCACTTTACATCCTTTTTGAGTGGTGGCCACCATGATCATCATCTTTATCGCGCGAGTTTCAACAATCTACCACCGTTTCAAAGAGATGTTCACCATGTGGTATTCACGCTACCGCCCAATTTACCCGCTTCACATCCTGAGCGGCGGACTCCATGATCATCGCGCAGAGTTTTAATGTTGAACTGCGCGCGCGCCGCACCCTTCAACCAACGAATATCAAACAACTGGGTGGGGATAAAAGTGATTGGATCCACCTTGATCAGTCCCATTCAACCAACCAACAACCATGCTTTTTAGCTGCTCCGTCTGTGCTAAAACAATAACCGGCCTCCAGCCGTTCGCCGATCTGGAGGCCGGTCTTCAGCCTTTATTTCTGTGCTCTTGGTAAGTGATCTGTCGTGCAGTTCTCTTTATTTGAAATACCGGAGATCTTATACATCTTGTTTTTATCTGTTTCCCCCATACAGTGACAACGAATGGCAGAGCCTCACCGGCATGAAGGAGCACCTAAAGACGACGGCTCACATCGGCTTCTATCTTCAGAAGCTTCAGCACTTCTATGGGGAGCTACCAATGCATAGTATTATTGCTCTTATACAAGCAAATGCCGAGTTATCATCTTTATAATTAAACATTTTAAAACCAACATATCTGTGTTTAACCCTTTGTGTACCAGGCATCTAATGTATGCGCGGGGTACTCATCGGTAATGATGGACCTATAGCATAAAACTAAGACACATTTTGTATGTGCAAGTTATGTTTTTTCTGAATCTGTTGGTATCAATGTGTCCAGGTAAGAAAATATTTTGACCGAGCACACAACTACAGATACAGGCCATACCTGGAATACCTATTTCTGAGTCAATTGTCACCCATATTCCTGACAATTTAGATCCGTGTACTTGGAATCGTGAATATACTTGCTGATATTGCCCTTCTTCACACAGAGCAACAGGAAACCACTGCACTAGTGTATAGCCGCCAGTTGCATGCTTCAACAATAGCGAAATGGACGGAAAAGAGCCATATTGCGTGAATACCAGATGCCAAACAATTGCATCAAAATTTCAAATTATTGAAATTGTGTCAGATTTGAATATGTACTTTTCACTTATCTACTTGCGTCCAGCGAGGGTATTGGCGATTGAGAAGACCAGGAATAGTCGATGGGAGAGGAAATTCACCTGCCTTGATTATTTCAGGCCATCGCTGCGCTCCCTCTCACTGCTGCTTGGAGAGCGAATACTGCAATGGCTTCAGCGATGGAAATTCTCATTTTCGATTCAGATCCTGAGATTATATCGCTACTACAACACTCTCCTGGCGTTCACCATCACTAGTAGACATCGACAACAGCTAGAGCAAGCTATATTCCAGATACAAGCAGCGTAACCGAACGAAAACACGATCGAAATTGCTAAAATATATCGCAGAGCGCTGAAATTGCAAAGCGCACTTTTCGCCGCGATCGTTCTCCATACTTTCAAATGGCAACCTACCCACATCATACATCAAAATTTGCAGTGGGATCTCAGCTGCCCAGCGCGGAAAACCGCGAGTCGATCGGAGCAAGGACGCCGCCGAACGGCGCGGCGCAGTGCGGTGCGTCGAACCGTAACGTACGTTACGGTTCGAGATGGGGCTGGTACACAAAGGGTTAATGTTTGTCTGGATGGAGGTCGAGTACTCATTCGATTGCATGTTCCGAGTCGATGGGTTTGGCATGTTGAAGTTCGATGTGATTGACGTAGTGGGTAGCTGCAAGTTTGTTGAACAGAGCGGAGGCAAACGTATGGCAGTTGTTTGTTGTCAAGAAGCTGGAGGCCGGTTTTCAGCCTGAGTTTCTTTGCTCGTGGTAAGTGATCTGTCATGCAATTCTCTTTATTTGAAATACCAGAGATCTTATACATGTTGTTTTTATCTGTTTCCTCGATGCAGTGGCAATCAATGGAGGTCCATGGAGAGCATCAAGGAGCACGCAACATCGGAAGGCCATCTTCATTTCTATATGGAGAAGCTTAGACATCACTACGGGGAGCTCCGAGCAACCAGCATCGTAACATTGATAACAGCAAATGCTATATTAACATCCCTATAATTAAACAGCTTTAAACCAACATATCTGTGTTAAATGTTTGTCTGGATGGGGGTCGAGTACTCATTCGATTGCATGCTCCGAGTCAATGGGTTTGGCATGTTGAAGTTCGATGCGATTGACGTAGTGGGTAGCTGCAAGTTCGTTGAACAGAGCGGAGGCAAACGTATGGCAGCTGTTTGTTGACACGTAAATACCCTTGACGAGATTGGAGTCGTAGAGGAAATATATCATATCCTGCAGATTTACATGTGATTGGTCAGCAATAATCTCCTCTATCGGAGTTTTTCGATTGGTACTTCGATAGGAAGATCTCACGCTTGAACGAGTCTTGCCTCTGCATATGCTGACACCGTCGGTGGTTTTTTTCCGCCGACCACCACCAGTTTCTCGTTTGAAAGACGACAAAAGCGTGGAAAGCAATCAAATCCGTCGGTTGAAGGTACCACATGGGAGTTTTGTAAATGCCCGCCCAGATGACGGTCTCTTCACCTACGAGGGGTTTGAGATAGGTTTTGATATCGGCGCTGTCGATTCTCCATGCATCTTGTCCGATTTTATTCACGTTCGGGTGGAAGTACACGGCTTTATCGTAGTTAGCACCTTCAAATTTATGCACGAGCTCCGAAAGTCCGCACGAGATGTTCGTGCACGAGATGTTCGTGCACGAGGCAGACATGATGACGATACTGTGATCGAACAAGGTAATGGATTTCACTAGCCAGACCTGTAGGACATGTACAAGCATGCTGCAACTGTAGGCCATGGCATATTTCCAGGACACAAATTCAGCACTTTCCATGGTGTCTTACCAGTACCAGCAGGATCTTCAGCCGCAGGTGGTTGGCTCGAGCCACCGTCAGAGGATGTAGTAGCAGTAGTACTAGTCTCCGCTGCAGGTGTTGATGCCGGCCTGAAGATTGGCATACAGGAGAACAATAGCATGTAAGACATGGCACCATCAAATCAGCACAATGACCAACCAGTGTGTAACAGTATCTTACTGGTTCCTCTCAGTGCATACTGCGCTCGTGAATGTAAGCTTCGATTGATCGATCAAACACAAGAAAGGCTTTCGCAATAGAACAGATCCAATAATCGATCGTGGTCTGTGTGAAGCCCTTTTGAGAACAGGAGAGGACTATCTTGCATGGTCCAATAACAAACATCTGCTTGTAATCTACAGCTTACACTGTCTAATCGTCTACAAATGTGACAGCAATTGAAACCACCTTTTCCGTTGGTCGAGATGAGCTCAGCAGCTCCACAAAGTTCCACAAGGTGGTACAAGAACAACAGCGGCAGCAGTGCATACAAAGCATACGCGCATGTACAAGTACAGTGAAATCTGTCTAAAACGACAGCTCAAGGGACCTTCAAAACGCAGTCTCTGTTACCCGGTCACCTTATCCAGGGTCATTTGACTGGAAGTAGCATCCCTTGGTCCTGGTAGGAGTGGTCTTTTGAGACAGGTGATCGCTTTGACAGGTATTACTGTATGCATACACCCATACCTCAGTTATCCGGCCATCGCAGTTACGAGCACTTGGGTCTATCGGGCACTATTTGGATGAGCTTTAGTAGATAACTGTTATATTACAGCTATTGATCACTTTTAGTTGAAGTCATACACCAAATTGCTGGAGCTCCGGGAAAAGCGAGATATGAGCGCACACAGTACATACTAGCACTACATGGCGTGCAGGCAACACCGGCTCCGTACACAGGTCCAGTGCCTACATGTACTTACTGTGTCGACGCTGGTGCAGGCGTGGAGCTCGAGCCTTCCGCTTCCGGCTGCCGGGACGAATCACCTGTAGATGACTGACCAGAAACCAGTGGCACTTGGGCTGTCATTCCAGATTCCTTCAAGACATCATGCATACAGGACATACATAGCCAAGAGACTCGGAGGCTTGAGTGTGTTCCTTGCACACAAGAAAACTACCACACTTGAGCAGTATCTTCCCCTGCATATAATAATGATTCTACCTACCTGCCATCATTCAACAACAACAACAACAAAACTAACACCAGTAGTAACTGGTATTCATAAGTCTTGACCAGGAAGTAGGACTGAACCACCCTCTAAGCATAGGTCTTTTAACTTCCTCTAATTTATGCAATGGGCTATGCACACCCTGAGGAAGGGGTTATACTCTAACTTTATTCATAAAACTGTCGGGGCCTACACATACACATGTACAGTACATACCTCGATGCCAGCGGCACGCAATGCAGCGCGGGCCTGCTCGGGTACGCTGTCAGGCTGTGCAGCCGGAGCAGCTGCAGCTTTAGCAGGTTGACGTGGCTGTAAGCAGAATAGTGAATCACCGCGTGCGTGGACACAGAATGTTTGTTTACACAACTCCTCTTTGGAACAGAAATCTGCGTTCAACATGTTCTGACACCACCACCACAAAGGACTCTTGACAAGGACAGTGAGGCACTACTAACTTCTGATACTTGCAAAGTACCAACACGGTGGAGGAGTATATTGCTGTTAGCAATATTAGGGGGTTGAGTTTCCCAATTACGAAGTATTCCGCATAGAATATTTTGTAATTTGTATGTGCCACAATTTGGTATATTGTATGAAACTAGACGCATTTGAAATTGCCAGCATCATTCTTACTGATGAAGCTCAACCTCGCTGTACAAAGAAATTTGTGAATAGACCCATTGCGCATTGACGTCACCGGTGACTCATCACTTTTGCGCGTGCCAAATTGTGGGCATGCAGTCTGCAGAAGAAGCCTGCCGAATTTTTTTGCCTTGGAGTTGAGGTCTGAAGGCTTGCAGCGTACGCTGTTTTTGTTCTTGTCTTCTAACAGTAGCAGCAGCACCTCAGTCGTAGCTAGTAACTCGTATGCCGGTAGTCTTAGGATCCGAAAGTTGTCTACCTGACACCGGTCATGGCTGAGATTCGTTTGACGGAGGACAACGTTCCTGGAGGCTCACTTGGTACCAACCCCGATGGATCTTGTCGAGTACCGGAGCAGCTGAATGTCCAAGAATAGAAGCGATGGCTTGCGTGTCGTGGAGCTAGGACAGGGAAGAAACCCGATTTGTTGAAGCGGTAAGTTGTTTGCTTCTTGGTTGGTTATTCGTAGTTCCGTGATCTTGAGTAGATTTCTTTTGCTTCTGATCTTGAGTAGATTTTATTACTTTTGCTATTATTTTCATGTCGTGATTGCAGAGTGAAGGACTACATCAATGCTGGATTGGACTCCAAAATCGTCGACCCTGATGGTGGAGCAAATGTTGCTGCGAAGGCGGAGAAATTGAGATCTGCTGGAGTTTCCAATAGGCCGTCGAAGTGCCTACAGTAGACTCGTACGCCCAAGAACGCGGTTTCAGAGGGCCAGCCTAGCAAAGTTCTTATTTTTCAGCGCCCCGGGCTACGTTCTTATTTCGCGTTCTTACGCGTCCAACATGACTCATGCTCATGTACAATGCACTTTGCGCTACATGTACCGGTTGTACACTTTACATGCACGTGTAGTATGTAGCGCTGCACTGGGTGATGTTTTAACTTTTCGCGAGGACCCGACAAGAGTTTGTGGTTGCGGACTTGTTTTTCGTGTACTCGGACAAGATCATGAAGGTGCAATCCGCTTGCAAAACAAACCGGCGCTCAAATATCACGTCTCTTTCTCTCTCTTCTTAAAGATCTTGGAGTTCGTTCTTAAATCCAGGCTGGGGCGTTCTTATATTTCCAGCCTGGACGTTCTTGGGCGTACAAGTCTACTGTATGTCACGCTGCTTGAAAACTCGTAGTGACACGTAGTTACAAGGCCAAGTGGTGACAAACAAAAGTCGCGTCACCTGTACTTGTCGTGTTTCCAACGGTCACGGCATCACTTTGACTGGGGCACGCTGGAGCAAGATCGAGACTTCAAATTTTGTTTTACTTCAAGAAGTTTCTCCTTCGCTCTCAAGCCAACGTGCAGTGTTTTCCTGCTGAGTGTTCACCAGGATCTGAGAGATAAGAGTTCTGAGTTTCGCTTGCCGCTGGACAAGGAAACGAGCCGGAGTTGGTTGATCTCAGAACTAAAAGAAATCAGCGATCACTGCGATAGCCTACAACAGAGACTTCTTGGCCGGCGACTACATGTAAAGCCGAACAACAGTACAGGCACAGCAGTGGCCAAGCAAAAAATCAGCTACGGCTTCTCCTTCGCTTCTCTACAAAGCGAAAACTACAAACTCGGCGACAAGTAGGAGTTTATTTGAAATAAAAATAGTCTCGCGTGCGCTCCTCAGTCAAAATGATGCTGTAGCTGTGTTCACCGCATGCTGCTGCCACTGGAAACACGACAAGTGCAGGTGATGCGACTTTTGTTTGTCACCACTTGGCCAAGTAACTACGCGTTGTCATGAAGCTGTGACGTCAGACTTCGACGGCCTATCCCAACCTGAAAGCTGTTCCACCGTATCCAGCTGATGGGTGGGAGACCAACCTCGCCAGTCTTCCCATGTTCACATTCCGCACGATTTGTCAACATTTCACTGAGAGATCTGAGCATTAAGTGGTTACTGGGAAATCTGTGGACACCAGTGCCTGCGCGAGCTCACAGGACCCTGTCCCTTGCAGCTCTGTCTGTAGTAGCGCCGTCCCTAGTGATGTTGTGATGACAGTGATGTTCAAGCAGCAGTGAACCAGAAAGTCCGTGCCTACCGTGGTCTTTGACAAGGTATACCGCTTCTTCAAGTCGGGCTATGTACAGAAGCTTCAATTCCATGGTCTTCCCAGCAATCCTGGACTCTTACGTTCGAGCCACAGTTCTACCGTCCATGCGCAAGGACAGGAAGTACCAGGTGCGTCTGTGTTGCACCACCTCTGAGAATCCCAGGGCCCACGTCTCTGTTGTTAGTGTTGCACTCTGCACGTGCCCCGCAGGATTGGCTGGGTCATGCAACCATATTGCTGGTTTGCTCTACGCACTGGAGGACTTTGTACGGCTGGGTTTTGGGAGGTGGTAGCCGAGGCATGTACGGAGAAGCTAATGCAGTGGAACCGCCCTCGCACTACTCGCATTAAGCCCCGGCGAGTCATGAGTGGTGATGATGACAGTGATGTTCAAGCAGTGAACCAGAAAGTCCGTGCCTACCATGGTCTTGACAAGGGATACCGCTTCTTCAAGCCGGGCCATGTACAGAAGCTTCAATTCCATGGTCTTCCCAGCAATCCTGGACTCTGTTACGTTCGAGCCACAGTTCTACCGTCCATGCGCAAGGACAGGAAGTACCAGGTGCGTCTGTGTTGCACCACCTCTGAGAATCCCAGGGCCCACGTCTCTGTCGTTAGTGTTGCACTCTGCACGTGCCCCGCAGGATTGGCTGGATCATGCAACCATATTGCTGGTTTGCTCTACGTACTGGAGGACTTTGTACGGCTGGGTTTTCGGGAGGAGGTAGCCGAGGCATGTACGGAGAAGCTAATGCAGTGGAACCGCCCTCGCACAACTCGCATTAAGCCCCGGCGAGTCATGACCGTTCACCTGCGGAAAGACATGTTTGCCAGATGGGACAAGGCGCGGAAGAAGAAGATACCGTTCTACGACCCACGACCTACAAACATGCGCTTGCTCAACCCGCTTCGAGTTGCTGAGCTGACCAGTGCACTGAAAGCAATTGAGGACGACAGTTTAGCAGCTGACGATTCTGGCCGTGTGAAGATGTACGGAACCTCCACCTTCTCCAGCCCTCGCCTCTCCCTTCGGAAGCTAGTAGCAGTGAAAGTGATGGTGGCAGTGATTCTACTAGCTGCTCATCAGGCGAGGAAGAGCCTGCTACTGCTACGACAGATGTGTCGTTGATGCCATCAGACATTACCTCCACTGATGAATTGTATGCTGCGCATGTGTGTGTAACGTCTGAGGAAGCGAAGCAGATTGAGCAGATTGAGAAACATTTGAATTTACAGCATATTAGCACCAGGACTGCACATTCTGAATAGCTGTGAATAGAAAGTGCTTGATATAAAACTGATATGAATAAAAGATCAGATTATATCATATTTTGGTTTTAGTCATCAGTTGATTAACTACTTTCGTCACCATCCTTCTATAATCAAACCACTACTTGTTCAGTACAAGGCTAAATGCCTTCTTCCTTACTTAAATTTAGAGACTGCGCAAGTTGCGAAAGATAGAAGAGAGAACAGGGAGAAATTTGGTAAGTAAAATTTCAATTTCGAACTTTCCCTGTGGAAAATAAGAGAATAATAATAACAGTTCAGGTCCAAAAGGAAGCTTACCTTGCTGCACATTATTACAATGAAGCTCGTGTCAGTAAAGGTATACTCGCTTAGACTTGAGTCATCATGTAGAATTTTACCTACCAGAAGGAAAGACAAACCATTCACGTTCATGACATGACTTTCTACACTACCTAAACAGCTAATACCAGAGATCAAATCAAACCAACCTGAAAAAATCAGCTTCTGTCCATCAACGGGAAACTCATCTCCTTTCAGGTCCGCAATTTTATTCTTCAGGTCCTTCACCTGCAAATAGACAAGGAAAAATCGATGAGCACTCATTCTCGGTTTGAGCAAGACGAATTGAAATTTAAAGTTTTTTTTATTACCTTCCATCCTTCTTCTAGTTCAATAGAGAAGGTTTGCTGCTTTAGCGTCTTCAGTGTGACCTTCATCTTGCTGCACTCCCAAGAACCGCGTATAGGTTTCAACAACCAGAATAATTCAAGGAAAGGTAAGGACGTGCTGTGCTCCCACTGGTCAAGTCAAGATCGTTTAGCTTTTTTGCTGAGCACCACAAACACTGAAGTCTTTGTCAAAAACTATCCTCCTTTGAGGCTGCATGCATGCAACTACGTCGACGTCTTTGAACTGATTCGCTGTAGATCTACGTAGCTAGGTAGATATGACTCACCATCGACTTCTTTCAGTTCTTTTGCGCTTCCTTGCACCGCGAACGGGCCTCATATGGTGCCGGCCGGGGTGCTAGGCCGCGGGCGCGGGCGGGGGGCGGGCAGGCGGCCGCGCGGGCGGAAGGCGGACGCTGCATGTACCCCATCGCTAGCGCGGCGCTAGCTGAAACACAGTGACTTAGATTTCATGCATGATCGATGACATGCCATGTCGCCCATGAATCATGATCGATGAAGAAAAAGAAGACGCCGGGCGAAATGATTCTGTTGGCAGATTGCAAATCTTTTCTTTGGACTTGGAGCTGACAAACGAACATAGTCATTGTATTGCTCTCTACGTGTGTAGACTAGTCCCGTTGTTCCCGATCCGAGTGCCGATACTAGTGTCGCCTAATCGAGCTTACATTATTTGGTGTGAAAAACTGTGGGAAGTGAAATACTAGTATCAGTTTGTCGGACCTATCTGACCCCTTTCTACATTGACTATGGCCAGCACAGAAGCAGCTATTCTGGCGATTGATCAAGGCACATCCAGCAGCAGAACTCTGGTGAGGCTTACAATAATTACTCAGTCATTATATCAAGTACAGTGGTCCCTCTATAATCCGGCACCATTTGTGCCACGAAAATCTGCTGGATTAGGGAGGGTGCTGGATTAACAAATCTGATTTACTGCTGCAATGTGCATGAAGAGGACATTTTGGCTACTGAAAATTGTGCTGGTTTATCGAGGGTGCTGGATTATAAAGTGCCGGATTAGAGAGGGACGACTGTACTAGTAACACGCAGTTACCTGCACTGCCAGTTAGGCCAGTGGGGATTGCCCTATCAAAACTTTGATAATATAATAATAATAATAATAATAATAATAATATAATTCACTGGTTTGAGGGAAAGACACAAACGGGAAAAGTCTGAAGAAGAAAAATTGACTGTCACCACCAGGACTCGAGCCAGAGACCCTCGCTTGTAGCCAGCGATGCTCTAACTACCGAGCTATGGTGTAGTCGTCATCCCAGCAGAGACCGTTCAACGTTTTCTTCGGACTTCGTAACTCACACTTCCTGTGAATCCACACAGGCGGGTGGGACACAGCCCTCACTGTAACCCACACACTTCACGTCAGGGAGTCGTAAAATACTGGTATTTTACGACTCCCTGCTTCACGTACAAACTAGCACGCGGGGAGCCCCAAGTCATAAGATGTTCACTGGTTTGAGGGAAAGACACGAACGGGAAAAGTCTGAAGAAAAAATTGACTGTCACCACCAGGACTCGAACCAGGGACCCTCGCTTGTAGCTAGCGATGCTCTAACCACTGAGCTATGGTGTAGTCGTCAAATAATATTCAAATAATCTGCGAGGAGATAATAATTTTTAATATACAGGTGGAATCCTGATAATTCGAATATGGCTTAATTCGAACATACCGCATAATTAGAAGTTTTTCCAGGACCGATTTCTGTCAATACGATTCCCACATAAATTTTTCTGATAATTCGAACCTCGAACCAGACATGTCCGGTTAATTTGAAGTTCCACGGACTCCACTTACATAGAAAATGTGTGGGATTTGTGCTGATGATTCGAAGTTAGCAAAGTGTAATTCGAAGTTCACTGTACACTGTACTGGTCAGTTCAGTTTGCATGAGCAGGCTGTGCCGGTCAGTTCAGTATCCGTGAAATCTGTGTCTAAGGTCCATAGCGCAACTCTACGTGACCATGAGACTTGAGAGCATTTTGATATACATATTGTGTTGTGGGTTCATGTTTGGATAATTAGAATGTCCGGCTAATTACAAGTTTTTTCCTTGCATTTCGAGGTTCGAATTATTAGGATTCCACCTGTAGCTATGTATAGGATGAAGGCCGCAGACAGCACGCAACTACTTTACTTGTTCGACATATACAGTCAATTTCGCCTATAACGACACTCGGCGGGGCATCAGAAAAGTGTCCTTATTCGCGAAGTGTTGTTATACCCGAAGTCTCATTATATGTATTACAGTTAGATGGGACTTTGCTCTGGGCATGGGAATTCTGTCGTTATTCGCGAATTGTCGTTATATCCGCTGTCGTTATTAGCGAAGTTGACCGTATGTGTATTTTATAACAATAATACCGTAGAATCCCGCAGATAAGCCCACCCGCGTTTAAGCCCATGCTCGCGCATAAGCCCAGGGAAAGTTCGAACATCACAAGGCTTCGTTATACAAACCCATGGGCCTAATTCGTACCAAAAGTCCATAAATTATGGACTCTTGGTCGTACCAAGTACATGTAGTTTTTTTTGTACATTTCAACACAATCATCGTTTCTTTTTGTTTGCACAGTGGCTTTCAGCAATGTACTTCTCACTCCCTTGGTACTTTTCAATAGCACAATGTTGGTGTCAGCGTATAAGCTAGGGGTGAAAGGGGTGATCCGGGTAACCCGGGTACCCGTCTGTTTAGCTGCTGATCCGTTAGCAAACGAGTACCCGATAGTCGTGTAGGATTGTAGGGTACAGTATCAGAAGCTTGCTTGTACAATTTTACAGTTCGGTGCACAGTTTTGAGTGTGTTTTTTTCTCGTTCAATCCTGCTACATATCACAGTATCCATTGTAGCTACGACAATGTTGACTGTTTGCATGTAGCGCAGTGAGTGTGCACGCTGTGCTTGTCGTGGTGTAGTGTACTTGCATGACTTCGCATATTCTCCTGGTGTGAAATCCGGAAAGCTATTGTAGTAACTGTTGCCCGAAAATCTCTCTCCTATCAGAATGCTTGTAAAAGACATGTTGCGCTTACGATCTCAAGCAAATGCAATGTTTTTGGAAAAAGTATGGCGGATAAAGGGTACCCCATAACCCGCCCGTTAAGCCAGATACCCGTTTGTTCCCTTAAAGGGTGACCGTTTCACCCCTAGTATAAGCCCATGCCTGCGTATAAGCCCACTGAAATGTCCTTGTGAAACAGATAAGCCCATGGGCCTATCCGCGGGATTCTGCGGTATTGAAACCCAGAATCGATTTTCTCATTCCAATCATCACTGGGGAAAAATACGGAACTAAAGGATACCAACCAATGAAACTGAAGTTAAGGAATAGAAAGGTGTTAGAAATGCCACATAAAATCATGATACAAGTGCAATAAAACCACTAGAGGAAACGCAAAAAGGTAACAAGATTACGTAACCAAAGGTGAGAAGGCACAGGATGAAAGTGTCAACCTACGAATACAACCTAAGTGCAACAAAATGCTCTTTCTGCTTACACAAAACAGGCTTATGAATACGTATACAAACTGCCTCAAGGACTTTCAACTTCTGGACATAACGCGCACGACACAGTACAGACGTCGCAATGCCATCTCCAGATTTCCACGCAGCTCAGACCGTCGATGATTCCAGGGTATCCCGACTTCGTAGCGATTGTCTACCTGCTTGAGTGATTGCAGCACCTATCCTAGTGCATGCTCCTCAGCCTTCGTCATGGGCCCTGGTCCCTGCAGTTCGGAGGTCGAACCACAGGCATCAATCTGCCAGAACTGCTGCAGTGTGGTGTCCATGCTGGTGTGCACGGAGTTGATAAAGAAGCTGGCTGGTGGCTCTGCTGAGTCGGACGGTGATGGCTCTGGCTGGAAAGGACCGATGCACATCCACCCGGTTGGAGTCTGGCGTGCCATTGGTTGACCTGGTAACCACGTTTCTGAGCGACACATGGAGATCGGCCTGTTCCACCGAGCAACAAGTCAATTGTACTAGGTCTGGCTGGTGTTGGGAACGGAATTCCTCGAATGTGGGCATACTGAGGGCCGATCGCCGTCCAGTCGACTGCTCTCAAACCTCCGGTTGGCTTGTCGACAGTCATCGCCACCATCGCCTGCGAGACGCTGCCGTCCAGACTACAAACTGTGAGCTCAACTGGTGCTGCGGAGAACGTGGAGACTCTTACACACAGTGTGCTGACTGCCGTTTTCTGCAAATTGCCTTGCAAACCCAGGTGAGCTGCCACTGCCGAGCTGACATAGCTCGTTGTACTGGCGTCGTCCACGAGGGCGTTGACCGTCACCCTGCAGCCACCATTGCTCACCACCACCGGTATCGTGCGTAGCGCGATTCTGTCCGGCACCGGTTGAGTAGAGCACTCCCCCTCGGTAGCATGCTGTGTCATGAACGATGATTCCACGGGCCCAGCCATTGGGCTTGACGTGGTTGGAGCCGCCACTCTCGCTTGCTTGCTGTCTGCTGCCGCACGGCCACCGTCTGGATGGCTTGTATTGCTCTTGCCGCTCCGGTGTAGTAGCCATTGGTGAGTGTCGGAACACCCATCCGTCTTACAAACTCAATCCCGCTTGCACGCGACTCCCCGATGGCCGCCTTCGAGACATCGGAAGCAGTGGTTGGAATTCCTGACTACCGTCCAGCGCTTTGCCGGTGCCATGGCCTTGAATGTGGTGCACGTCCGTAACTGATGGTCTTCTGTGCACGCTGGGCACTGTGCGCATTGTTGCGTTGCTAAGAACGACCGATGTGGCTGCGCGCCTGCCGTTTGTCCGTCTGGTTGCTCCGCGGTGGAGCACTGCTGATGCGTGCTGCTGCTAAACCATGCACTGTTTCCGCTGCAGTGACTTGATACTCTGCTTCCTGGGTCACCCACTCAAGTAGCGTAAGCAAAGACTCGGCCTTGCGATGCTCAAACAGCCAACGCTGAAACTGTGCGATCATTGGCTCCGAAAACTTCTTGAGCAGGCTCGTATAAAATGTTCCTGCTCGCAGCTCAGCCGTGTGGCCTGCATCCTGCAGGTTAATGATGGCGACCTCGAGCAGGTCCGCGAACTTCTCCAGCTCACGTGCCTTGCTGCTCCGGAGATCTGCAAACTGTGCAAGATCCTCCAGGTATCCTGCCACTTGGCGCCGTGCACCGCCATACTTCTTCTCCAGCCGCTGCTTGGCCGCCGCATAAGCTGCTGCCGTGTAGCCCAGCTTGGCCGCTAACTGAAGTGCCTCGCCACCCAGGTTCTGTTTCAGTTGCAGCATCTTGTAGTCTAGCGCCGCTGGCGACGCATCGGCACATGCAACGAATGCGGATTTCCACTCCTCGTACTTCCGCTTATCTCCATTGAAGACTGGTATTTCCACACGTTTCATATGGCTCCAGGGCTCAGCCTGGCGCTGGTAGGTGGAGGCAGACACTGGCTGCGCAGCTCTTGTGTGAGCACTGCTATGCTGTGACGGTGCTATGACCCCTCCTGGCTGCTGGACTGTACTGGCTGCAGCGGTGGCCAGGTTGTTTCTGGGTGCGCCTGTGAGGCTTCTGACAAGGGGTGCAGTACTGGTGCCACTGCCACTGATGGTGTTCCCTGCACTGGTGAGAGCAGAAACTGACTGGGACACAGCAGCCAGTAAAAACTATGGTATGCATAGTTTTTATGAGTCTAGTGTACCCGAGGCGGCTGAAGAAAAGAATGTGATGGTAGCATGGGGAGGGGGGGGGGGGGGGGAGGGGAGTTGGCTAGAATAGTATCATCCTAATGACCATTAATTGACTTTTCCAACCAGGTCCAACTCCGAGGCCTTTCGTCCTGCTGCTACTTTGTTACTGTAGCGTTATTGTTTTCCGGTCTCCTCCTGAAGTGAAGATGAGAGTTGTTCTTCGGAGTTCTTTCTCAATAATCCATTCCTATACTTATCGTTTAACTCTTCGTGTTGCAAGAGGGGACGTGGCGCGGTGTGTGTGGCGATTTGCGGGGCAGTTTCGACCACAAGGGGTACTTGGAAAGTTGTTTGTCGTCCCTGAAACGAACATCGTTCATTTCATACTCGGACCCCTCCCCACTTTCCGAAATGAACACAGCTTGCTATGCTGGACGGCGAAAGTCACATGCATGTGCTAGTACATGTACCGTAAAGTACCGCCAGAGCGCCCCACCTTGATTTTACAGCCAGAGGAAGGAAGATCGTATGGCAGAGTGTAACGAAGTTTGTACGATATGAGAATCTTAGTGTACTAAGGTCACACTTGGCAGGTTTTTGTGTGGTCGAAGGTACGGATTGACTGCAAAACGTGCAATATGTGTACACGGTTCATGTCGTATGACCTACAGACGGCAGACCACCTCCACAATACGACCATGAAAGGATGAGATGGTGCATTGGTGGGGCGCTCTGGCGGTACTTTACGGTATATGTACAGTGCTCCGCTGACTTGTGATTTTGGCTCACCCCCAATGAATGATGTTTGTTTCAGGGACAACAAAGCGTCTTTTGTGACGACCCATAGGTCTACTGAAGTACTTTGCCTAGTCCAAACAGTCCTTTAAGGCCTCTCTGCAGCAAAGCGACGTGATGACTATATGAGTGTTTGGACTAAGTAAATAATTACTAGTAATGGGTTAACGGCTGGAATGGAGTTTGCAAATCTCTATGTTGTTTGATGGTGTTGCTACTGCTGCTGCTTCTTATTTTGATTGTTTTCAGGTGTTTGATGCGAGGACAGGAGAATGTTTAGCTAGTGCACAACGTGTTGTGAACAAGTATGAACCATGTGCTGGGTAAGGATGGAAGAACACAACATTAATTCTCTTCCGAAAAGCTGTGCATGTGATCTGCACTGTGCATCTGTGTGGATGTGGGTGGGGGAGGAGGTGTACACTTTTAAAATTGTGCAACAACAACAACATTTCTTATTAGTGGCGATGGTGCCATCGTGAGAATAAAGAAAACAAATATAAAAAATAAAACAACAACAACAACAACAACAACAACAACAACAACACTTAAGTACATAACTCTGTATGCTCGTGTGGCGACCACCCCTGCCCGTACACTTAAGTAGTCATTAACCCCTAGGCCCTGCCCGCCCAATTCTTCCTCACTCTTTCTCCTTTCTTACACTATTATCTCTTATTGGCCACTGGCTATCGTGAGAATAAAGATTTGAAACAACAACAACAACAACAACAACAACAACAACGACAGCAACAACAACAACAACAACAACAGCATCAGCAACAACAGCAGCAGCAGCAGCAGCAGCAGCAGAAATCTAAACGACCTAAGTTGAAGATTTGCTTTCTGGCCCATTTCTTGACATGTAGCTCTACTGTCATGGTTTGTTGTGTAGATGGGTGGAACAGGATGCCATGGAACTCTTTTCCACTGTTGAGGAGTGTCTGTCAGAAATCCTCCCCAAGCTTTCAGTTTCTTCGATAAAAGGTATGATGTTTTAGGAATGTCACAGGAGCCACCTCAAGTATTTGGGGAAAAATACAGGAAACCGACGGGAGGAATTCCAGCACCGGCGGAAGCAGTTTTTGATTGGTTCGGCCACACCCTAGTCTTTCATACTTTGTGTATGATATGGAGGATACACATGACCCCCTCAGCAGTAAACACATGGCCTGACCAAGCGGACCGGTTCCGCCGGGCCTGAATGCTAAAGGCCGATTCACAATACAACTTTCTGCGACGCGACAAGCGACTTGCGACACACGGTTCACAATATTCTTCATGTTTGCGACATCCTCATGCACAAGTAGTACTATGCACGTGCACTGCACATGCACCCAGGGTCGAAACTGTACTCCATGTGTGTATGTTGCGTGTCGCATGTCGCAAAAGTTGAACTTTCTTCAACTTCTGCGACAGGTGCATTGCGACAGCTCGCGACAGGCAGTTTCTTGTCGCAACTGTCGCAAATCGCGTGTCACGTCGCAGAAAGTTGTATTGTGAATCGGGCTTAAGACTAGCACCAGATACCGTACTCACTCGATTAGAGGCTTCTATTTTTTCAATACCAATTTTGAGGAGGCTTCTATTCAAGAGGGGGCTTCTATTCAAGAGGGGCTTCTATTCGAGAGGGGCTTTTATTGTTTCATTCCATACCAGTATTCCAATCAAATCTCTAAAACTTTCATATTCACGGCAACTCGGCCCCGAGTTAGTTTGCACACACTACGTCGACCAGGACATATACCAATATGAACGTGCACGGGGTGCTTTTTGCACACTTGACCTTCATGCATGGCATTACCTGGTCACCCCATGCTTTGCGAATAGTAGTCCGGGCTTCTATTCGAGAGGGGCTTGTATTTTTTCAAACAGTTCTTGTGGGGGGGGGGGGGGGGGCTATTATTCAAGAGGGGCTTTTATTCGAGAGGGGCTTCTAATCAAGTGAGTAGAGTATGTGTTGTTTTCAGAAAATTTCACCGCCAACATGTGCTCTTGACTACAGTGCAACCAAAGTAGTGAGGACACTTTGATGATGATCAGGATGATACAACTGATAAAACAATACATAATTACTTCATTCCTGCAGACAGTTGTATTGCTACTTCGGAACTCTCCAGTGGAGTTTGGGCAGATTCTGAATGAGTGAAATGAAACCATAAGTGCTGCTATGTAGGCTGGAGTTGGCTCTATTGCTGAAGCCGGTTTTGTCAAGAATTTATTTCTCAAGTATTACAAAAATTCTTCAGGTATAACACCGTGTTTGTTTGTGTTTTACAGAAGTGCTCTTCCTGCTGAATAGCTTTTAAAATGTTCTTGAAGGTGCTATGAATTGCGGAGTAGTATATGTGTGCTCTATATTGTGATAGATGTTTGTTTCTTGTGTACATTACCCCAGCTGTTGGTATCACCAATCAGCGAGAGACAACAGTGTTATGGGATAAGTCAACTGGGCAACCGCTGTACAATGCTATAGGTATGTTTGCTAAGCTGACATTGCATGTGCACACACTGGCTGCGTTCGATTATGCACTTGAATCGATTCATGAATCCATTCGCATGCATTCAAGTCGTTCGATTTTCATGTCATGAGCACTGGAATCGGTTTGGAATCCATTCACCCTATTCACATCTAGTGATGTGAATAGCGCGAATCGATTCATGAATGGACTCATGAATCGATTCGCGGGCATAATCGAACGCACTCACTACACTAGGGCATATGTGTCGGTGCATCTGTGTCTCTGGGCCTGTGTGTGTGTGTGTGTGTGTGTGTGTGTGTTGTGTTAGTGTTTGTGTCTATCTGTGTGTCTGTGTGTCTGTCCGTGTGTGTGTGTGTGTGTGTGTGTGTACCGTGGTATGTGCAGCTCAAGAGCCGATCAAATCATCTTTCCAAGATTCCTTTCGAGTCTCTCTCCCCACTCTCATGGAGACCCACATAGCCAGTTCCTGACTGGGAACACATGTGTGTGTGTGTGTGTGTGTGTGCGTGTGTGTGTGTCGGAGGAGGAGGAGGACCACCTGCTTGCTAGAGCGTTTGGAAGTGAGCATTCCACTCCATACCTGTATTGTGTTCCTTTGTTCTGCTTCAGTTTGGCAAGACCAACGCACTGCAGACATCGTAAAGAAGATGAAGCCCAACCTTCCAGCTGATTTTAGTGTAAGATTACCAATATTTGACAGAATGCACAGATGGTGTTGGATAGGTTCGATTGTTGCCAGCTCACAAGACCTGTTCCGTCGTGATAACATTTTAGCTTGTTGAGCATGGACTCACTGCTCCATCATGATCACATTTTTAGCGTGCCTTTGCACAAGTGCCATGAATGGGGATGAGAAGGTGACGAAACCATGATGCCTTTTTCGAAATAGTTTGAGCCCGAGGTCAGCATCAGTGTATGGTTGAGTTTGAGGGTGTTTGGCACTCGATAACTAACACTGATGCGGTGTACATGCTTATGATGATGCTGATGTGCAGGATGTGTGTGGCTTACCACTGGATACCTACTTCAGTGCAACCAAGTTGAGGTGGCTGCTGGATAACTGCAAAGCTGAAGAACTGGCACAGTGCATCAATAACGGCAACTGTATGTTCGGTACAGTGGACACCTGGCTTATTTGGGTGAGAAGACAACTGTTGCTGCTAGGTGTTGTTTGATCTGTGAAGGTAGAGAGCATGTACAGTATACAGTCAAACCTGACGACCGCTCAAGAGACCTTCAAAGTGCGGTCTCTGTTACCAGGTGGTCTCCATATCCAGGGTCATTTGACTGGAAATAGCATCCCTTGGTCCTGGCTGCAGTGGTCATCTGGGACAGGTGGTCGCCTGACCCGAGCGGTCGCCTTGACAGGTTTTTCTGTACCTGCTATGTGTTGTTTGGATCTGTGAAGGTAGAGTGTGTGTATACCTGGTATGTATCAGTTGTTTTGCTTACTCTTTGTGACTGATGTGTTGATATCACAATGTGTGTCACTGTTTGGTGCATGGTGCACAGGGTGTCTGAGAACACCCTGCTGCTTCCTCCCTGCTTAGAGACTCCACTGTCCTGACTTTTCTTTGCCTTTGCAGAAGCTGACTGGTGGTGTGGATGGTGGTAGACATGTGACAGACGTAACCAACGCCAGTCGCACCATGCTGATGGATATTAACACGTGCCAGTGGAGTGAGCGCCTCAAACAGTGAGTGAATTGTCCACCAAGCACTGTGTTACCAGCTATTAGTTAAACTGACGCCATGGAGATTAGTCCGATCAGATCCTTGGCTTCCATCTGTCCATGCAGCGGCAATGGCATGCAGTACAAAGAGTTGGTGGACAAGCCATTGGTTAGCCACTTTCATTGTAGAATCAAGTCCTCTTTTTAGACCAAGAGTGGTACATAATTATGATTAACAAAGATAGAATTTGTTACGATACTTTTCCAGACGTTTCGTCGTTCTGAACAACATCGTCAGATGACATGTCCCAATCGAGTCGAGATTCTGGTGGCCAAGCTATTCGTCTTCTGTCGGACACAGCTGCTGAGGCATCTTCTTCCTCAACATTTGTTACACGCGATGGCAGCTCCTCAGCAGAGTATCTGGGCTCCCTGCCCCAACCATACGTGGCGGTGGGTTGATGGTGGTCTTCACTGACCTCAGCATCGCTGCCTTCATTGCTGGGTACAGAGAATTATTCGGAATAGCTCATCTTTCCTTGAAATTTTATACTAAAATAGTGCTCCTAGATTGAGACCGTGCCACAATGACGTAGGCAGGCCGTGATGACAAAGCGAAATGGCCGCATGACATCATGGCGCGGCCCCCCTTTTTGTAATTTCAAAGTGAAATATCTCAAGAACGCTTTTTCGTAGAGACTTCGGACCAAGACCATTCAACTCAGCGCCCGAAACTCTACAGGATATGAAAGTTTCATTTTTCGTGTAGTACCTTTTTAACCTTTCCCTAACTCATGCACACACACACACACACACACACACACACACACACACACACATACACACACACACACACACACACACGCGCGCGCACACACATACGCACACACACACACACACACACACACACACACACACACACACACACACACACACACTAACCAACTCACTTTGACCAACTACTTGCGACAGTATGTTTGCGTTTGTGCTGAATTCCGCGTGTGCACGCATTTTTTTAAACGCTTTTCAGCGTAGTATGTGCTGTGTTTTTGGTTTTTATGTTGCTGACAGACTGTTTGGCATCCCGGATGGTGTTCAGTTTCCAACTATTTGCAGCTCATCTCAGATCTATGGAACCATACATTCTTCTGTGGTAAGGGGTTATAGGGCAGCAGTTGGTTTGGTATATTGCCCTGCTACTCATGAATAAAAATTGCATGCGGCCATTTTTTTTAGTGGAAATATAGTTCACACATCCGCATTACTGTCTTTCTTCCATCGTTTTATTGCACATTGTTTCCGTCGTTTGACACGGCACGAATACATCTGGTATAGACATGTCGATTCAGCTCGTCTTATTGATTGCGGTTTTAAAATTGTTGTCTCCTCGCCGGTTGTTCATCTTTTTGCTTTGTTCTTTTTCAGGCCGGCGGTCGGTATGAAGGACTGCCTGTGGCTGGGGTAAGTCGGACCTCTACATCTACATGTATGCTGTGCAGTTGTATCTATGGAACCACTCAGCCGTACAGAATACGGTGGTCCCTGCGGTGGTCAGCATCCACGATAGCTAAAACTACATACTAGTATCCCGGAGTGTGTTGAATACCTACCTGGTACTGTAAATATACAAAATTTCGGCACTTCACAATTTTTGACATTTCGGCGGCGATTTATTTTCGGCGTGGGGTAGAGGGCATGGTACTGTATATCACCTTATTTTCGGTGTTGTAAAATTTCGGTAAAAGCCAACCCCTGACCTTTCGGTGTAAGGATAAATTCGGTATGCATGGCACCAAAAAAAAAAAAAAAAAAAAAAAAAAAAAAAAAGGTCTTGCATCTCCGGCCGGCTGGGCTCCATATACATGTACATGTATGATTGTACATGTACTATACCAGTATACAAGTTGATTTTTTTAATTTGACAGTGATTTTCATGATTTTTACATATTTTTGGCACTCCGGGAAAATTTAGGTGTAATGTTAAATTAGGTGATCCAGGACCAGTACCGAAGTTACCGAAATTTAAATTACACCGAAATAAAGGTGTTATACAGTATAGTGCGACAGATGCTGTGAAAAATTTCATCAGCGTTTTAATTTAGGCGTTTTGGGTCAGTGCTGAATATAGCCGAAATTAAATAGCTGCCGAAAATTTGTATATTTACAGTATATACTTCTTTTTTTCACAATGTACTTCTGTGCAGTGGTGCTCGTTAGCGTGATATACATGTACTTGCTATTTTGAAGTATTATTCCACACGCACACACACGCACACACACACACACGCACGCACACACACACACACACCTCGTCTGTGCATGCAGTCCAGGACGTTATAGAAAATATTATTATAACATTGTATTGTGTGTTTGTGTGTGTGTGTGTGCATGTGCACTTCTTCGATACAATGTCCTCCTCTCTTCAGTGTCTTGGAGACCAGCAAGCTGCTCTTGTTGGCCATGGCTGCTTGACAGCTGGTTCGGCGAAAAGCACGTAAGTAAATCAACATTGTACAGTCCTTGAAAATGCAATGTGACCTCACTCCCTGGAGGGAAGTGGACAGACCTCCGGCAGAACCAGACTACACATCAACTGATCTCCATTGTACATAATAGAAAACACTCGTGCTGCAGTGGTTGCGAATCACCACCTGATGTGAGCTTTTGCCACTGGAGATCCATACACACTCACTTTATTTACTCTTGCCACCATGTCTGTTGACTGCAGTGTATGGTACATTCTGTGTGTGTCTCTCTATGACCTAGGTCTGGGTCATGTGGAGGCATAGAACCTTTGATGATTGATTAGAAATTGTTACGTGACTTGCCTCGGTTCTGTTCCAGGTTGAGTACAATCATTGAGTGGAGAGTTGCGTAGTATTTGTGAAATTTTGTGTAGTACTCTCCTCTCGCGGACAGTTCGCTATTGTTTTGTATGGATTTGTTTATGGCTTTATGTGTGTGTGTGTGTGTGTGTGTGTGTGTGTGTGTGTGTGTGTGTGTGTGTGTGTTAGTGTTAGTGTTTGTGTCTATCTGTGTGTCTGTCTGTCTGTCTGTCTGTATATGTGTGTCTGTGTGTGTGTCTGTGTGTGTGTGCGTGTTTGTTGGTCTGGTCTGTGCTGGTCAGGTATGGAACCGGTTGTTTTATGCTGTACAACACCGGCACCAAGGTATGCTAGTACATGTACTCGAATCCACAGTGTTTGGCTGTGGCTTGCTTGGAGTGTTGTCTTGCATTGCATGGCTTGGGCTAGAGGTCGCCCATGTGCGCGGCGTGTGCTTACTACTCTGGCTTTAGAGGCGATTTACATGACGGCAGTGCATCCCGCCGAGAAGTGAAGCACGTGATCCCGAGAGGTTGCTATGGCGCGGGAAAAACGAAAATCGATTCACACGGCGTGATGGACATTCAGTACCTGTACCTCAAAACAGTCCACGGAATGCCACAGCATGCCATTTCCGCCCCCAGCCACCTCACAGCACCGGGATAGCTCGCGGGATACGTTCATGCCACAATTTGAGCTCACATGACTGAATCTCCATGGCTGCATCACACACGGGGTAAATCCTGCCGTCGTGTAAATCGCCTCTTACATAGAACTCCATGCCACTGGTCTGGGACACACTGTGTCATTGCAGCTTGGTAGCCCCACAACACTAACACCGGTACTGGCTGTGAATGCATGGAAATGTGACACGAAAGCCTTGCGCGTCCGTTTCACGAGATTCTTAGCTACCTTGCGGCAGTCGCTAAAAATGCTTCGTTTTGTGCCGCGAATACGCGTAGTGATCGGTGCTTAATTTGAGTACCTGCCGGTCGTATCCGTGCCGAAGTGACTAACGGTTTGTTCAGCTGTATATCAGTTATGGTATGATATGTGTTGCGTGTGTCATGTGCTTCAGGTAGCGAGATCTCAGCATGGCTTGTTGACTACAGTTGCATACAAGTTTGGAGATCAGGACACCCACTATGCTTTGGAAGTAAGCTGTGCAGTTGCATAATTCCATACTCTGTGTGTGTGTGTGTGTGGTGGTGGGGGGGGGGGGGGGTGCAGGTGCGTGTGTGTGCGTGTGTGGGGGGGGGGGGGGGTACACTTGCATCTATGCACTGCTACTGTGTCTGCTTGCTATGTTCGACTGTTTTCCTAACATCTTACAGTAGTGACACTGATGCATGCTTCCTTGACCCTCCTTGCCAGGCGAATGCTAATCAATGCTACTTGAAGTATGGAGGTTACACTCTAATGTTTCTCTTGTTTTGTGTCGGACTGAGTGGGCATACCGCATGACTAGGCTGCGGAGTCTCTGCCTGCACAGCTTGTCTTTGGGCAGTGAGAAGCTACAGGACTTGGGGATTTGATTGCTTGCTTGTGATCAGATGTTGCTTTCACACACACCCACGTTATGTCATTCTGCACTGTATCCCTGCGAATGTGTGTCCGTACAGACATGTGCACACTTGTTTGTAGTGTGATAATACACAATGTATGAGTGTGGCTCACCGTTGTCGTGCAGGGAGCTGTGGCTGTTGCAGGTGACATTGTCAAGTGGCTGCGTGATCGCATGGGAATGTTTGAGAAGGCATCTGATTCAGGTACACTGGAACAGACATATCAGAACTGACTACATGTATAAGTATCTGCTCAAGTTGCACTGCTGTGTGTGTACGCGTGTGTACGTGTGTGTGTGTAAGTGTGTGTGTATGTGTGTGTGTGTGTGTGTATGTGTGTGTGTGTGTGTGTGTGTGTGCGCGCGCGCGCGCGCGTGTGTTTGGGAACACAAGCATCTCCGTCGGTATCCACTCGTCAAGTGGTTTGCGTGCGTATATTTCACAATAGACATACCCGTGCCTTGGAAATGTGCTTTGTGCTGTTGTTTGTTCCTCAGAAAAGCTTGCTGAAGCTGCAGAGAAGGAGAAAGACTTTGAAGTGATGTTTGTCCCTGCTTTCTCTGGGCTCAAGGCACCTTATTGGGAGGCTGATGCACGTGGGTAAGGCAGAATTTGGTATCATGGCGATGAGTGAGCATTTTGTAAACCAGCATGTATTTTTAGTGTAGTAAGAGTGCTGTGCATGAAACTTATTGTCACAAAAATTATTACCTGCAATGTATGTCTGTTGGTTAATGTAATCATTGCTTGATAGTGTACAGCATAGCACAAGGCGGAGGGAGGACACTCTGCATACAGCCCCATATGGCTCATATGGTCGCAAGACCGAGACTCTACCAACCGGTTTCTGGCTGCAGTCAGGAACACAGAGTTTTCCATACAGTGTGCCCTCCGCCTTGTGCCATGCTGTCATCATCATGTCTGTGCCATGCTGTCATCATCATGTCTGTACCATGCTGTCATCATCATGTCTGTGCCATGCTGTCATCATCATGTCTGTGCCATGCTGTCATCATCATGTCTGTACCATGCTGTCATCATCATGTCTGTGCCATGCTGTCATCATCATGTCTGTGCCATGCTGTCATCATCATGTCTGTACCATGCTGTCATCATCATGTCTGTGCCATGCTGTCATCATCATGTCTGTGCCATGCTGTCATCATCATGTCTGTACCATGCTGTCATCATCATGTCTGTACCATGCTGTCATCATCATGTCTGTGCCATGCTGTCATCATCATGTCTGTGCCATAGTGTGTTACACGTACTACTGCTTTACCAGTGCGGAGCTGTACCGGGTGGACGCTCATGTAGTTCTATGTTTCTTACATACGGTACACGGGCGGGTGATAAAATAACTTAAAAGCCAGGAAAAAATCAGTGTACATACAATCAAGCCTGTCCTTGCAGCACCTGAGAAAATGGAACATCTGTAGAGTGAGGACAGAACGGTCGAACTTGTGGAGAAAAGCATTCCGTGGTGACTGCCGAATCGAATACTCTCTTCATTGCTCGGGTGTGGTACTTGTAGACGCCAATGTCTTGCTTCAGAGCATCGACAACCTTTGATGTACAATCTGTGAATCAGCCGAGTCGACCTGGCGTGTCGTGGAAGCGATTGAAGAAGATGAGGACAAGGTCACGTTGCACTGCACCATGCTGGCGACACAGCACTTGGTAGTTGGTGCCCGTACTAAAAACTTCGTAAAGAGTACACTCGGACGTCTCTTATCCGCGCACCTTGCCCGTATCTCAGATTTGCCCGTATCTCAGGATAACTCATCTACCATGTATCATATCATTTTTTCAAGAAGTTTATTTGGAACGTATTGCACATGTTCAGAATACAGAAGGAACTCTTTGATAAATATGTGTGGATTATATAGGTTGGCAGTGAAAAATAAGCACTTCCACATATGGAAAAAAAAGTTCAAAAACCCCAAATTCGAAGCATTTGTGCTATAGGAACTCAAGCTGAAGGTGCCCGGTAGAGAGACGTGCCCGCATCTGAGGCGTCCGGATAAGAGACATTTGAGTGTATACGGTTCTAGGACAAATTGACGCATCTATGGCTGCTAGAGCTTACATATCATCATAAGTATGTACATGTACAAGTGGGAATTGTTTTCTTCTTCCGAGATGTGTGAGAGCCTACGTGCATGGTGACGTGAAACATAGAAAGACTCTGTGTGGCATGTGCACGGGTGTGCCATGAAGTACCACAAGCGCGCCCCCCCCCCCCCCCCCCCCCCCCCCCCGCCATCTTGGCCCCATCATAGTCATGTTCTGGAGATTGTCTTGGGCAGAGGAACAAGTCCTCGCTTTAGTTTAGTTCCTACAACACGTACTCCAAGTACATTGTTCACATGTTGCATAGTGGGTTGGTGTGTGGACCATGTTTGGCCTTAGTGCTGAGGACACTTACAGCATATGGCCTTAGTTGTACACGGCCGTGCAATTCTCCTTTCATAGGCTGTGAATCAAGGTGGGGTGCTCCTGCGAGACGCAATGGTCTGGCGATACTTGTATGGTATAAAATTCTGAGTGGCAAGGGTACAGTGAGTCAGTTTTCGGTGTACTGGAATTACTTCAGAAGAAAATTCGTGTAGTTTGATGCACTGCTACATCTCATTTACCATGCAAATGACTCTCTCTCTCTCTCTCTCTCTCTCTCTCTCTCTCTCTCTTTCTCTCATTCTCTCTCTCTCTCTTTCTCTCATTCTCTCTCTCTCTCTTTCTCTCATCTCTCTCTCTCTCTCTCTCTCTCTCTCTCTCTCTCTCTCTCTCTCTCTCTCTCTCTCTCTCTCTCTCTCCCTCACCTGTTGTTTAGAATTATTCTCGGCTTGACCTACAACACATCGCGTGAGCACATCTGTAGAGCTGCACTGGAATCAACGTGTTTTCAGACCAAAGAGGTGGGTGAGCTGCAGTGATGTGTTGAGAAATGAAATTTCACAATGATGGTGACTCTTGAATAGGATTTGATCTCAGGAAATGCATTTCCCTTTATATTTCAACTGAGGTAGGTTTAATACATTAGAAATCTCATCCTTCTCCGTAGCTTTAGTGCTTGGTTCATTTTGCTCTACGAAGCCAGCCCATTTTCTTTCTTACTTTCTGGAATGAAGGTGCTAGAGGAGATGATGAAGGAATCGACATCAACGGAGACTATGAGAATGCTACGTGTCGATGGTGGTATGACTGCTAATCGCTACTTCTTGCAGAAGCTTGCTGATATCCTTCACGTTGACATTGGTAAGCAACTACCTGTCGGAACAGCTACAGTATATCAGTGTGTGCTAAAGTTTGAGTAGAGCTGAGCTGTGTTTGAGGAGAGGAGAAAAGGATTTCAGATACTCATTTTCTTACCCCTGTTAATATCCTTGCAATAGTGATGTCATCAATTTCTAAAAGCCTGCGTAATCGTAAAGCAGGTAACAACCATGCTTCCTTCCCTTGTTTTCTGTACCCCGTAGCCTGCCCTCGCATGGCTGAGATTACAGCACTGGGTGCCGCGTATGCAGCAGGCTTGGCTGTTGGTGTGACACTGGCACTGGATTCTGGCATCGATGTACTATCCTCAAAGGAAACACCCGCCGGAGAAGGTAAGGTAGATGATGGGTCGGCTTGGCCGAGCTGTTGTGTGCGTAGATTAGGGATGTAATGGTGAGAAAGGGTTTATTCACAAAGCCAATCACGTGAAGGCATAAAGTAAGGACCAAAGCAAAAAGACAACCCAAATACAGCAATAAAATAATAGAACACTCAATTGAAGTGTCTACTAGTGGTGTGTGTTACCCAGCTGATCATTGCCTTCTGATTATCTGCATTTCAGAACTATTGCGACAGAGCTTTCGGCCGTATTTCCGAATTATTGCATTCCCAACTCATCACAACCACGCGCTCTCAGCCGAACCATACAGACACCAGCAAGGACACTTCCGTTGAGAGATAATATTGCTGAGACAGTGAGAGCGCGTGGTTGTGATGAGTTGGGAATGAAATAATTCTCTTTGCATTGCTTGTGATGGACAAATACGTTGTTTGACCAGAGCTACATGTACAGTCATCTTCGCTAATAACAACTGCGGATATAACGACAGAGTTTCCATGCCCAGAGCAAAGTCCCATCTAACTGTACTACATATACAGTATTGAGACTTCGGGTATAACGACACTTCTTAATCATTATTACATGTACCGTAAAGTCTTGTATAAAAGCCGCGGCTTCTATGACTTTCTTGGTGAAATTTTGCAGGCTTCTATATGACAGGCTTCTACACAAGACAGGTATTCCTATGTATGTCAACACTAAAACCAGGCTTATGTGTGATCTGTTGGGCCCAAAATTGCGGCTTCTATTCAAGTGCGGCTTTTATACAAGACTTTCCGGTATCTGAATTCAGTGCACCCAGCTCGCGCTCTGCTCACAACCCCACCGGATACGCACATGGTTATAGTTTTTTTGCCAGTTTCCGGTACAATGTCCACTGCGAGTGTACGATCAGTGCTGAGGGAAAGACGTGGTTGTCAGCGGTTCTGCTTCTATCCACTGCCGCAGTGTCCTCAATGAACGGTGTGCCATTTTGTAGAGTCAGTTGTCAACATAGTCCTGCTTATCTGTCTGGTGAAGACAATCAATCTATTGTAGCTAGAGTCATTGCATTCTATATCTGGTATCTCTTGCACAGCTGCATACTACAGGCGGTGGAAGGAAGCTGTGAAGCGCTGCAAGGACTGGCATGGAGATTCATTTGACACAGCCAGCAGCTCCTAGGTTCCTGCTTTCCTGCAGTACGTGTGGTGGCAATGCAGCAGCTGCTACATGCCTGCCCGGACGCCATCCTTACATGACCTAACTTACTAGCAGGGTTCTAGCCAAAGGAGGGTAGGTGGGTGGGGGCCCTGGGGAGGAGGGGCACAGCCCTGTACCAGTGCTAGACTTCTTTCTTATTCTTGTCTTTCACTAAAATCTAGTACTAGTAGGCTTTCATGTTTTAATAGGCTTTCATGGTTGATGCACACATTTTTGAGAGATATCAACAAACAAAACATATTTTCAAGATTTACAATCCACCTATCGTTTTTGAGTTGGGCGACAAACAAATTTCATATGCTTAGAACAGCCTTCATGAAATTAGTATCTGCACTCTATAGTAGGCAAAGTTTTATTGTTTTCTTTCACATGATTTTTAACTATGAAAGTATTTTTGAATTAATGAAAAAAGAGTGGGTTGTGCTGACTGAGGACTATTGCGTTTCTTAGAAGAAAGATCACCAGAGACTGCTGCTGTTTTATACATGCATGATTGTAATAATAAAACAATGATGATGGAGAGTGGAATGTTTACATTCCGTGTTGTGATGCTCGAGCAATCTGTTTCTCATGGGACCAGGCCATTGACCAACCTTGGCTTGAGCACACCGCACTCGTCTTGTTATTACAAAGCATCTCCATCTCTAGAAGCATTGGGCCTTCGTCTCCTCTGGTTGCTGCTTGGAACAGGCTGGCAGGTGACTGCTGTGTCAGGTTGCTTGGCTGTTGCACCGTACATAGCACACAGCAGGAGTGCATGCGCCAGCGCTGACACACTACACGTGACAGGGATGTTTGTTGGCGCAAGTCGAAACGCGACGATCGCATCGCCGGCCGAACATGGTGATCAGGCCACACCGCTGCAGCAAAGCCTGTCTGCATTCATATTCATCTGCAGTACAGTGGCGCTAATCATTATCATCGATCATCCCGGAGGTCAGCGACTATGACAGGAACCTGGCGAATGTCCACCTTTGCCACTTTGCGGAATTGCTTCACCTTTGATTTGGGACACTGCATCTCCGCCCAGCTGACCGCCGTCATCGGTACACCTACACACAAACAACCAGTTTACACCAACCGAATGAGCATTGTCCAGTATGCCGTTCAACTAAGATATCACATACACAGCAAAGCAGCCATGAATACAGCACAGGCACACAATGCAATGCAAAGAGGAGCAGCTATATTCCTACAGAGTCCTGTGTCAAGCATAAAGCTTCAAGGGGAAGTTCCTACGTCATCAGAGTATTCACTATGACAGCATGTTAAACTATCCAGCAAGGTTTTGCATATACTATCATCAGAGTACGACATTTCAACACAGAGTAGAAAGAACCCTTACCGACTTCACTGACAGCGTAGATCACTCCCAGTGTTGTTTCAGCGGTGGTCAGTAAGTAGGATTGAACATCACCCAGTGAATTGTGCTGCACGTCATCTTAGTCAAGGAAATCAAACTACTTCCAACCATGCAGCATTACTGAAGCACTGACAACACCCTCCTTACAAAAAACATGACCTAGAGGCGGAAGACATTGAGGACATGTTGGAGTGTATGTAATAATAATGTGTGGACCTGCATAAGCCACACGATAGTTTTCCTCCAGCATTATCCACACAAACCAACCCGATAACCAGTCTCAATTGTTAAAGCCAACCCAAGCAGAGACTGCGAAGTACACACGGCCATATGCAGCTACTACACAGTCATGTGAATGCAGACACGCACATCCCCCACTACTCGTACTACTACTACACAAACACGTCATGTGAGGATATCACTTTGGCAAGGACAATATCACCAGGGCGAAAGCACTTGTAGATTTCAACCTGCATTGGCAAAGACACGATGGAAAAAAAGGAAGCGGCAATGAGTACAGTACTAATAACTATCACACTAGTTATTGAGTAGTGTTGACGATACACACATTTCGCCCGTACAAGAGGCTCTGTACTATAACACAACAAAGTGTGCAGAACCAACTGTTAGACTCATGAACAACAATCAAAAACTACAAACCGTGTCAGTGCGAGCACCACGCAGTGTACACATAGTACACGTATGTTCAAATACAACACAATCATGTACATTCATTACAGCTAGACACACACACACACACACACACACACACACACACACACACACACACACACACACGCACACACACACACATGCACCAAATACGTACACACACACGCACATATAATATGTACAAATAGTCAAACACAGGTATTAGTGTTACGCACACGCACACACTGTGCCATCACTAATACACACCTTGTCTTTCTCCACAGCGCGTACATCTTCTTTTCTGGACAGGATGAAAATAAAGGTGATGAAACAAAGCAGGCACAACACATGACTGAGCAGAGCACTACAATTGTACAGTACCGTTAAAGTTAGTACGTACTAACTTTCGAACTTTGCAGCCACATGAGTACTAACTTTGGGAGGTGGTACTATCTTTCGGGGAGTACTTTTTTATCGGGGGTAAATGACACGCAGTGGGAAGCCTGCGCAACTCTAGTGTCCGTGCATATGATGTATGTACTGTACGGTGTCTGTACATGTAGGACGGGTACGAACTTACTATCTTTCGGGGTGATAACCTCGGCAGTGGAAAGTGTATTTTTTATAGAGGGGTACTAAGTCATTGGGGAGAACTTACTTAGGCCAAAACAAAAAATAGGTTTGTTTCCGGTCGGCAACCCCTCAAAAAGGAGACTCGGTCAGCCGGAATGAAACTTTTTTTGGATACTTTTTTTGGTTACTCAATCGTTGTGGTATTGATGGACAAGGGCATCTACACATGTACATTGTACATATATCATGGCAAGGATCAATGTCAAAGTTGACTGACTCACTGTTCTTGTACAGCATGTGGTGTATTCCTGTTTTCGTACATCCTGAGAAATCAAGCAAACAGTTCGAGTCCTTCCAGCTCCGTTATTCTAGCTCGTATCAACCCCGGAGGTTTTCGAGCTGACAGCTGAGAATCTCTGCTACCTTGTAGGTGTTTCGATTGAGATTCGACTGAGTTATGACTCGTTGAGTGCACTTGCACACATGGCATTGCCACCGTTTGTATACACTTGGGACCAAAAAAAAGTTTCAGAATTTGGGAAAAAGTGGCCCGGTCGGGCGACCGGAAACAAGGTCATTATTTGTTTTGGCCTTACGGGGAAATACGGTAGTAGACCAGATCTTGAACAAGAAGACGATAGTTGATGGAAGTACATCTTAACCCTTTGAGCACGCATGACGTATTAATACGTCACGTACAGTGTCATTGCACCCACGCATGACGTATTATTACGTCGTGAGTGTACATAGCGTACAAACGCGATTTGCATGAACCGCGTGAGTTCAAACTATCGTAACTCGGTCAATTCTTGGCCGATTCTCACGATCGAAATATGTATCTGCAAGAGAAAACTCTCAGCTTGCGATAGAAACAATCGCCGAAGCGATACGACCCCGGGTTGTTGAGATATGCGACTCGACACGGCAAATTCAAATCGATTTTTTGCGAACTCTGCAGAACGCGTATTTTCCATTTTCGATCATTTTCGCGCTATCTGCTGCCATGGAAACTAGATTCAAATGATGGCAGCGGATCTGGGAGTCCTCAAAAAAATTTTGAGCTCGATACGAGCAAGGAGAGTGAAATGGCAGCTGAGGATTTGATCTCCTGGCCGTGCTCAAGTCTGTCGAGCGCGTGCGTGAAGTTTGCCAGACTGTAGCATGGGCTTTTGGGTGTCGCTCCGAGCTGAGCTTGGAACTATTTTGTTCCTCGCCTCAAGACCTTTGCAGGAAGCTCAAGATCGTGGAATTCGTCCAAAGAAAGGTAAAGTTATCGATCCTTGAACAGCTACTACTTTCATAGGAAAAACGCGATTTTTGCAGGTGTTGACGTGGGGAGGCATTCAGGTAGCGTCGTGCTGAAAAGGTTAAACAAAGATCTACCAACTTTAGTAGATCATCGATGCACAATCCCCATATCACACTTCTTTGCCACGAGAATGGCACACGTAATTCGTTGAATATGCTCCATCTCAATGGACACACTCTAATTCCGTAGCTCTTATCGCTTTCTTCTAGAGACTTCTAAAAGCCTCGAACCTGGTCGAGCCAGTAGAGGAAAGTAGAAATTACACTTCTACTGAAACCTGTTGATCACAAACACCCCCTCCCCCCCCCCCCCCCTCCCCTCCACTACAATGTGTTACAGGTATACATGGTCCTCACTACCAAGTCAGGCATCCCATATGATACAGAGAAAACAGTGCCCTCTCCACTGTGACTACATTAGTAGTAGTAGTATTATATTTTACTTCATCACATGTACAGCATTACACACGCAGGTGTGTCACAAGCCTAACGCAGTAGCAATGCAGAAGCAACAGCCGCGTACCTGATCAGACCTCGGAAACTTTCTTTGAGTGACGTCTCGCCCACACGCAGGATAGAGACTTTGCAATGCCGAGGGTTGGTGGAAGTAACCTGTACACATACACACAATTCCCACAAAAACACTGGGGCTAGAAACAAACTACAGTACATGGATGTGTGCAACATCTCCTGGGGATCTATTGCTTCATACATGGATGTGTGTGCAACATCTCCTGGGGATCTATTGCTTCATACTGTTTGTACACATAAGGAAGTTGGTTGCTCTCCACACCGGAGCTTGTGCGTTCCCCACCGACTTGCCTTTGGGACTTGACTGACTCATGACTGCCATCCAGAGCGCACGAGAAGTCCATTGAACCTTCACTATTTAGTTTGTACACAGTTCGCTCGAAATAAAATGAAACAATGTGGATGAAGAAAACACGCCAGGGCACTTGAAAACAAGCTGCGTGGGATCTGCTACACTGAACAGTAACAACATACCAAGTAGAGTTGTTAGCTGACCTGTGAGACCTGAACTATTGCATATGCACATGCGTGATAGCGAAGCAGTCTAAAGCCTGATTCATACATGTACTTCATTTTGCGCACAGGAAATGCATCGCAAAAAAGTTGACTTGAGCTCAACTCATTTGGCCCATCACGCGACCGTCAAGTGACGTGTTTCCCCGTATGCGAAAAGAAGTACTTCGAAGTATGAATCAGGCTTAAGCCTGTTGACAAGAATTGTGCACAAGAGAGAAGAACTTACACGGCATGTGACCAGTGACCCTGGCACAGGAACAACGCGCTGCCTGGATGCATCATGGTACACAGATATCTCTTGACCCTGCAGCAAGTGCAGCCAAACACATCATGCACATGCAATCATTACTCCATAGTAGACAATACTGCATCCTAAAGCAATAGCAATCAGAACATGTGCTGAAGATTAATTCACCACTACAGGGGTGTCAGCATCCAATGACCTTGCCCGCATTGCCTTTCGACGCGGAAGGATATCGGCCAGCCAAAAGACAAGCGCCATGCACCCAACACTGTCCTGAGGGGTCTTGCCTTCGATTCTTGGCCAGCTGGCTCACGATATACACTTTTCGTTTCGTAAAAACAATCGGTAACCCGGACGGGCCCTTAGTCAATATTATGAGATACATACAATGCAGTAAAATTTCCTTTGTTGCCTATTCTGCAGTTGCATGCATATTAGCACCTCATTGACCCCGCTCGTTGCTCATTCTTCATTCCATTTGGCCTAAGCGAAGACTAGCCAAGCTTGTTTGGTGATGTCAACGCAAAAAGGCTGATAATAAAATAACGGTATGAGTAAAATCAACTGCGCACTCATTACTCCGACACACAAGGTAAGGCAGGTCAAGAGTTTTAAACGTCGAGTGAGGAGTATTTGTCACATTGCCTTGTGTGTCGGAGTAATGAGTGCGCAGCTGATTTTACTCATAGCTTTATTTAAATTATTATCTCCACGTCGCTTAATTAAAGGGGAAGTTAACCCTAAAATCAAATTTTCACCAGTTGTAGTCTTCGGGGTGCTGAGTCAAATGGTCTTGGTCCGAGGAAGCTGAGACGCTCCCTTCCTCCTTTATTCCCAATCGAACTCGCGCGCTTCCACTGAAACTGGGTGACTGCGCCCTACTAGATGGGGATTTGTATGCAAAATGTCACTAAAAGCGCCATTTCGTTCTTATAAAAGCACAGATGACCACGATTGGCCCATATGTTGTAGTTTTTTGGACGCTGAGTCGACTGGTTCTGGTCCGAAAACGATGCGATGCAGCGTTCGTCCCGTATTCCCAATCGAACATGGTCGAACAAGCGGTCACGTGCTTATGCGCACGCCAGTCACCTGGTCACCGTGCCCGCAGGGTACAACTTACAGCCTGTTTGGGTGCATTCCTGTCACTCGAGTTGAACTCGAGTTGAACTCGAGTTGAACCTTGGAGTGAAAATTGTCGCCTGCTGGCGAAGTTGACTTCATTCTACATTCCATGTTGTCATGGGTATTCCGACGAAAACGTCACGTACCCCATGTTTCGGGCGTAGTGTGAATGGCCCATAATTGCATTATGTGTCCACGCCTGGACACCCGTATAATATTTGATAACCGCAATCAATAAAACTAGCTGAACCGACATTTGTGTACTTTATTCATGCAATGTAAAAACGGTGGAGACGATGTGCAAAAAAACGATGAAAATATGAAGAAATGGTGTAGGGAAAAAAATATGGATTCAAACAAGTTTTCGTACAACACTCATCAGGAATCGTCGTTGTACTAAAGGACACTGAAACAAAAATTGAACTATTATAGAAAATCTAAGTTATGCCTTGGCTCGGTGAACACGCTTTTCTACACCGCTAGGACATACGCCATTGTCTAAACACCGTCTAAGAAAAACTACATTAAGGGCGACACTACAAACTTGTTTGAATCCATATTTTTTCCCTACACCATTTCTTCATATTTTCATCGTTTTATTGCACATCGTCTCCACCGTTTTTACATTGCATGAATAAAGTACACAAATGTCGGTTCGGCTAGTTTTATTGATTGCGGTTATCAAATTATTGTCTCCTCGCCGTGTGTTTACCGTATTATCTCTAATATAAGCACAGTCTCCAATAATAGCACGTCTCCAATAATAGAACACCTTGGGGCGGCATTCAAAAAATAAAGTGCTCAGTCTCCATTATAAGCACACTGTGTAAATTCATTATCTGTACCGGCGAAAAAAAACCCTGAAATGTGTGTGTCATACATGAATTTGGCATGGCAACATGCCTCTGAAATGAGGTTGAAATAATAATGGAATGGAACAGTCTCCAATAAAGGAACGTCTCCATTAATACTACACGGGTAAGCCATAATAATTATTAAAGATGTTGAATAATTCATTGCATTCCCAACTCATCACAACCACGCGCTCTTCAGCCGAACCATACAGATACCAGCAAGGACACTTCCGTTGAGAGATAATTTTGCTCCACGCCTCTAGACAGCTGTTTCGCTCCCTGTCGGAGCTCATCAGTAGAGGATAATAATGATGATAAAGGAGGAATGATCATTCTTATACACCAGAAATGGCGCAAATGCGCGCTTTCAATAAATAAAGAATAAATAAATAATAAAATATATTTTTTCTTCAGACTTTTCCCGTTTGTCTCTTTCCCTCAAACCAGTTAAAAAAAATATTATTGGCAAAAATTTAACAAGATTCTTCATGCATAAACGCACAGCAATTCCCATGACGAGATAGCAACCAAGCTACAAGCAAGAAACATGTACAATGTACATGCTTATATCCCATTGCCGTGAATATATCCCGAGACGAGATAATCGGGAAGACAGGTTAGAAACAATTTTAAAAGTACATTGTTCACGAATAGACTCACGTTTTTCGTATCGACGACAGACCTGAATCCGGCCATGGATGCATACACATAGCCATGGCGAACATAAGTGCCAAATCCAGAACTGTATTCACAGCTTGCGCCTAAACGCTCTCCAGGAATAACAACTTCCATTCTGATTTTGAATATTTTTTGTAGACGTTTGAAAGTTAGTTACTTCAATTCAGTGAATGAAAGCTGCTGGCAAGTACAACACAATTTATACTAGCCTGTGGGTACACGTACACCTATGCGCGGGCGCGCAGGCAAGAGTCATGAAAAGTTAGTTAGTTGAACTATTACTTGAACCTTTTCATGTAGCTAGCTACGTAGATCGACTGTACATATTCGTAGATCTACTCTCAACTACTGTAATCACTTGAAATAAAGACTCAAGTCAAGTCAAGAGTAGATCTACAAAACCTCTTGCACGGTATCCTCTTGATGATGTGGGATATGCGCTGACGTCAGTGACGAGTCGCCGTCATCACTCGAACCAAGAGTTTATCTACTCTTGCTCGAACTCATGAGTACAGATCCAGGGAGCCCTACACATATGTGTAGGGCTCCCTGTACAGATCTGAGTAGGGCGGCGCTTATGACGTGGGTGTAGGTCTACCACGTGATTTTTCAGTCAGTACTCGTACGTACTCATGTACTCAGTAGCATCTACTCACTACTCGATAAGGCCAAGTAAAATAAAATCCCAGTTTATCGTCCTTTTTTTCACAAAAATCGGGGAGGGAGGGCGGATTTTATTTTTATTTTTTATTTTTTGATGTGCTACAGACTAGTATAGTTCTTGGTAAACGATGACACATCATGTGCAACAATCTGCAACAGAATAGTGGTAGTGTATGGAATACACAATGCTATCACGGCTGTTAGCTGCACTTGGATCGCGGCAACTTCAGGGCTGGTATTTGGGATCACAAAACGGCAAACACGTCAGAGGCCATCTTGAATCACTCTACGTCATCAGATACCCGCACGTGATGCGGGGCCGCGAGATCACGACTGTGCAAAAGTGTACTTGCCAGTGCAGTCTTTGACCTAGCTGCAAGAGCAAGTGCTAGTTTTTTTATTTTTTGGTGGTGCTTGAACTAGTTCGAACTGCTTCCCTTCGACTTTCTTTGACAGAGCGGGTGCTGTTAGGGTTTCCTGTTGTCAGTTTGTATCCACCACCGGTCTTGTATGTCAGTGCTTGTACAAGGAGGTGTTCAGTAGTTATTTTCAGTCCGCACCATGGGTCGTATCCAGGGTAGGAAAAAGTCGCACTCTGACCGGCTTGATTATCCCGAGTCGAGAAAGAAGCGAACTAGTGGCCAGTTCGGCTCAGTATCATGGCCAGCTGGACGTAGATCAGATCGCCCAGAGGTCGAACAAACCGGCAGTAGTCCTGAAATCCTTACTTCGCAGAACATTGACGATGTGGAGCGCGGTGTTCAAGAACAAGGAACCATGGTAATAATTGGATTCGCTCCAGAAAATTATTCTCGTGGTTCCCGGTTCCTTTCCCATGACTCTAATATTTCCTATGGTCTGGATACGTGCATCACGCTGAAGCCTAGATGAATCAGATTGTAAGTCAGTCTTCTCTCTAGCTCAAGATTTTGCGAACATGTTATCAGTGAACAATAAAAGCAAAGGACACAGTGCAACAAATGGAAAATGCACGTCTCCTTCTTTTCCTTGCCGTGCGCTCTGCACTGTCACAGTCTGCAGTTCTGACTGGAAGGTGTCTTCCGTTTGTGAAAGAACCAGCGCAAATCGCGCGTGGCGCAGCGTCCTTCAAAACGACACAAGTGAGCTCCACATGAGCCGATTTTGACAATCGATGGCTCAAAATTTTCAGTAGGAGATGCTCCATACTTTGACCGAAGCGAATTTCGCCAAAACGATCCTAAAGGTGAGACACGTTTACCGAGTTTGAGGGTGTTATTTGAGGTCCAAATTGCGAAAATCGAAAAATCCTTCGGTGAATCCCTTTGCCCACATCTGAACTCGGTGCCTGCAAAATCTCAGCCTGCTAGAGAGAACTGTGGCTCACTTGCGTGGATTTGAACAGGCCAGAGTCGACGCGAAGTACGGCAAGATTCCCTGTACACAGCATGGTGTGGCACATGTCACGTGAACCAAAATGGCGCCCACGTGTTTCTGTACAAGTACTAGCCCTGAACTTAGTTTTCTGCACGTGAACCATGAAAAATCAATGCATGCTCATGCATGTTCATGCATAACCAGTCAGCTGGCCTGCTCGCCCACGCATTTGACAGGTAACAATTCCATCAAATTTGAGATAGCTTCGTTCTAAGTCTCAAAACAGTTCTAAAGTCACCAAACCACGCTGGTAATCGATGGCTATTCAATGTTAACATCTTCAGGAAGACTTCAGCCGTTTCCCTAGAGTTTGGGCATCGTTGCCGTTGTTTTTCACGGTGTTCTTCTTCCTCCTGTCTGGAGCTGCAATTGCATCCTGGAATTATTTGAAAGGTATTTCGTGCGGGCTATGGGGGGTTCCAACAGGCATAAACTGACATCGCTATAGGATAACTGGTAACTTTCACCCTTCAAGGAGGTAGAGCAATGAGAATTTTTTTGTGGCGGTCGTCCAATTTTTGTGGCGGTCGTGGCTGTATTTGTGCACTTCCAAGGCTTTCATTCTGCTTGATACTACTCTCTACTGTATGGGAATCGTTGTTTAGGCACATGTAGCTGTCTTATTTGGTAGATCTGCTGTTTTCAATCACTTGGGACAATTTGTCTAGCCTATTTTGTCTTTCGTTCGTGCCATCTATCAGTTTTGTGGGGTGCCTTGACCTGTATTTGTGAAGTTCTCGAGTAAAGACCCTAATTCTTGACTGGAGTCACGTCTTGAATTGAATTTGCTGGGCGAGCCCTCGTTCACGCAGTTGTCCTTATCGTAATAGTCAATATCTGCTTGCTGGACGGACTAGCGGCTAGAACAGGGATGACCAAATGGTCCAAGTGTGTACTAGTACACGATTATTGTTTCCATCATCGTGAAATCAGCGTTGTGGAATTGCAGCCGTCTGCCTTTGGCACTGAGGACATGAGGAGAGTTGATTGTTACTTCTGCTCAGCAATGAAGCGATCATCAGCTCTCTTTGTTCTAATTATTGAGAGGACATACCGGCATCGCAATCAAGTAAAGATTAGGCAAACCTCGCCTACCTCCAAAGAGAGTCGAAGATATTTTCTCCAAATGCAAAGGCGATCTTTGTGAGTTTGTGACTTGCATTTGCGTGCATACATGAGCAGGTCACGGACCACGGCACGTGCGCGGTTACCATGCCATCTCGAACCGACGCCATCTTTCTAAGTTGCCGCTTCTTGACAGCCGTGCTATAACAGTTATATGTACATAAACAATTACATGCAAAATCTTTGGATCGACAGATTGTCACTCCACTCATAAGACACACACCCCAATACTGTTTGGTTCACACAGACCACCAGATAAATGATAGAAAGCTGCAGAAGGGAAAGAACCAGTCAAAATTCTAGATTTAAAAAATAAAAATAAATTCCGGGCGGCCTCGAAAAATGGGGCGGGCGGGGACGATAAACTAGGATTTTTTTTTACTTGGCCTAACCATGAACACAAATCACAATGCTGTGCAGGCGCCGGCGCTACACAGCCTACAGTACGAGGTGATTCGTAATTTTTTAACATTGAGTCATTTCTTAAAGGGGAAGTTAAGGCAAAAATTAAAATTTCACCAGTTGTAGTCTTCGGGGTGCTGAGTCGAATGGTCTTGGTCCGAGGAAGCTGAGACGCTCCCTTCCTACTTGAATCCCAATCGAACTCGCGCACTTCTGTAACGTGCGTCGGCGAGGCTAGGAGGCTACTACCCACAGTCAGTCAACTACAGTAACGTATCAGAACTTACTCCGGCACGGCCTGGAGGTTATCTTATATCAAAGTGAAAGTGAACTTGCTCTCTCTCTCTGATCTCTATCGGATCTCTCCGATCTCAGCTCAGCTCACCTCAGCTCAGCTCATCTTGGCAGAGAAACACAGCAGCTTTTATAGGCAAGCAAAGTATGTATAGCAAAGCAGGCGGCGGTAGGAAAGTAAGCTTAGTAAGCCATTGCAGTGATTACGAAATCATCCTCCTAGTACAAGTTCTAGAATAGTGGAGAAGGCAAACCGAGATCATCATTGCTATACAGGTAGATGAAGTGAGCATTACGTAACATTAACATAATGACTAAGCGAGGTATTCTAGAAGATGAGATATCTATATTATGCAATTTAGTCAGCAACATTACTCATCGGGCATATGACGTGGAAGGTCTGGAATAGTCCGGAACAACATGACATACATGTACATGTGTACATGAGTCATGACTGTACCAACTAGTAACTAAAAGGAAGTGATACTAGAAGTGATGACAGCAGCATGCATGGAATCTATGATCTTCTAGAAGCGCGGTACTCCTGATGTAATCAAATCATATGTGAGGTACATGATGTAGGACTTGTCTGAAAGTAGTAACAAGAGTAATAATAAGAGTCATGCAAAGTACTAGTCATGCGTTAACTGTAAAGCAGGGATACTACACCCTCCCTTCCTACACTAAATCACGCCCTCGTGATTTGACAGAGAGTTCGATGATGTATGATGAACAGTACTCACTAGAACTAGAAGGCACCGTCAGTAGGTGGACTGGACAACTAACTTGCATTCACGTCCATGTATTCTTGAATCTTGAACAGAGTGCTTGATATTCGGACGAAAGGGTGACAACTGACACTAGTAGTAGTAGTAGTAGTAGTAGTAGTAGTAGTAGCTCGAGCTCAGCAGCAGATCATAGGAGGCGGTGTGAACGTCATAGTAGATAGCGTATTACTTGTAGAGCGTCAACCGGAATATGGCAAATAATATCGGAAATGATAACATTTTTAGAGTAGACAGAAGAACTGAACTGATAACAAATCAAAGAATGGAAGCACACCAGGTTCTCACCATCTCACGGGGTCAAAAAGGGAATATTGTCCTCCAAACAGGACCGAAAAACCACAGTTCACTTGCTGCACAACCCTGGCACAACCTGCCAGCCAAATCGCAGTTCCAAGCCGAACTGAGTACACAAGGGCATTCTCACACACATTGTCCCAGGTTAGCTAGGTAGACCGTGGCTCACCATGATCGGACGCCTACCGGACTAAACTGGATTCACTCACTCGCATAAAGGAAGACTGAAGAGAATAGAAGGACTGAAGGAAGACAGGAAAGAGAATGCCATACCTGGAATCAGCTTACATTGGACATGGAGCTTGATCGGTAGAGACGCTGTCCGTCATCATTTCAGGCTAGGGGGAGACATGGCGGGCGAAGGAGTAGCGGCGACTGACGCATCAGATTGGC